GAAAGATGCCAGAACAACCTTGACTGGGAGTGGCGGTGTGGGGAAGGGGGGTGTTTATCTGATTGTTACTAGGCAGGCCGCTCCCATAGCAACAAGAGAGTAACGATAAAAGTGTACGAGGGGCTGTCCAGAATATCCTTGACTAAGAAATGGTGAAATACCCTGAAAACGGGCCTGGTCAACATTTGGACTACATACAACTCTCTTACCACAAAAGAATGCAACAAGAATTCAGTTTTGTTCTTCCCTTGATGATTTATGAAATTAGCATTTCATCTGACCCTGCCGACACTGTGCTGAAGGCAGGACTGGCATTACCAGCTTCATGGATAAAATACAACTGTGATGAGAAGACAAGGGCTTCTCCTCCTCTCCCTCCTCCTCTTCCTTCTTATTATAGGACAGTAGCAAGAAAAAACGATTCCCCGTTTGAAAATCAAGAAGGAATCATTTCTCAACTAAAAATTTATCCCCAAACATAAAACAGAAATATAAACTGTCTTCAACACAACTAGAAGTCACGTATAACCTCAACCACAATATATGAGAAATGGATGACGTGCGCAGTCAAGGGCAAACAGGATGACGCGTGGAGAGGAGGCTTACCGCTCCAGGTCTCAAGATCACTAGACCAAAAGACTCCAAGATAGGTGGCATAACTGGAGAGGTAAAAAGCCAGTTCCTTGTCTGAAAAGATGGAAATGGGCTGAGTGCCAGCAGGAGGGGATTTTCTGAATACTGCCTGGTACCACAGAGGAACAGGAATAGCAAAGCCAAAGGAGGAAGTGCAGACACGCCACGTGCGTACCATCAGCAGTGAGTAGATGAGTCAGCGGGAGGAGATTCTGAGGTGGGGAGCTCTCAGTGGCCAATCCCTGTTGGCTGGAGAGGAGAAGAGGCTCAAATGGCTCCTCAGCCCCACAGTCCTGTTCTGAGGAGCTTCACTGTAAGCCTGGTAGAGCTATTAATCCCAAATGGTGCCCCATCCACCGTGTGACTTGATACCGAGTAGGGCAGTTGGAAAGAAACTGGCCTCACTTAAAGAGTAATCGATGAGAATGACCTTGCACGGTGCTCATGTAAACACTCCAAGAAAAGGAACAGGACATAAAAGCAGATAAAATCATTCCACAGAGAAAACGAATTCACTGTGCATATAAAATATGGGACCAAACATACCATCAAACATCGAAACATTTAGGGGAAAGTCCATCCAGATATACAGGTGATCAGAAGCTAGCCGGCAAAACCACCAGAGGAGATGCAATATGAGTGACAGAGTTCAGAAAAGAAAGAGAAACAAAGACATTCCAGAAATAAGGTCCCACCTGAAGGCATACAGACCGAGCTAAACTAAGACAAGGCAGAGAGAACGTAAGGTGAAATATTCTCTTTATCGTCATCACCCAGGGGCTCAAAATACAACACGTAAGTTGATAAGCATGTAATTAGGCACTTCTCATCAAGTTAAACACAGGAGAACCCAGTAAATCAGCCGACACTGCAGTAGAGAAAGGCAGAAGGAAGTATGCTAACAGGACATTGCTCATAGCAGGGGATCAATAGCGCCTAGACAATGGATAATCAAAGTTATAGCTAAAAAGAAAGCCACTAGTGGAACCAAAGGAACGACAGCAAACGTAGATAATGTAATTGATAGTGTTCAGTATCGATTACTTATTCATTACGCATCCCCTCACCTCTCCTTCCTATCAGAGCCCTGTGTTCACATATCCACCCCTCCTTCTCACTGTCACGGGCCCTGGGGCATTCTTTCTTGACTGAAGATGCTTCGGCCCTGCGGGGGACATCTGATATTGTCTGGAGAGGCTTTTGATTCTCACAAAGAAGTACAGTACTCCTGGCATTAGGGTAGAGGCCAGGATGAGGTGGCTGGCTCTAGGACAAATCCTATGTGTGATCTTTCAGATCTTATCATAGGCCACTACAAAGGCTTTGCCGGGCAGGATTCATGGGGAAAGGCTGCCCTTCCCACGTAGCTCCCCAAAGGAATTACAGTCATTCCCCCTGGGCCTGCGTGGTCAGAGGCGTTATCTGTATTCCTAGCAGACACCTTCATTCACAGGCCACCTGAGGAGACCTTGGCTGAGGCACATTTTAGGTCCCTCCACTGAGACCCCCTCATGGGGCGGCCTTGACCAAGACCCTGTTCTCCACTATGATGCGGTTTTCTCACTCCTGGCCTTTCCCCTTGGTTTATAAAGCAGCAGGAACCGTTGCTCCAGGCTCTCAGCAGACAGTCTCCTCCACCTGTGTATCCGTCATTTGACAGGCCCTTGCCCAGGGCCACCCCACAGCGAGTGGGAGGCTGGACAGTGAGGCGCAAGCTCTCCTGCCCTACTTTCCTTTTCGGCCTCTCACTTACCACACTAAACAAATAGACTAGTTACTTTCATTTTTGCTCACTGTGTCACTTTTGTAGCTTGGCACAGGGATACTGCAAAACATTCTACAATGTACCTAACCGCCTCCACAAGTGAATCACCCTCTCCAGAGTATCAGCGGTGCTGAGGCTTTGCAGGGAACGTGACCCCATCGCCAGCTCTAGGGTCAGAGAATTCTCCTGGTGAATGTTTTTCATCCAGAGTGGACAGATGACCAAAGAAGTCAGCTCAGTCACACTGAAGTAGAAGGCTTACAGTTCCATGGCTGAAGGAGTTTTCCTCCGTTTCTATGGTGCTGGACACGAACACAGCAACATGCAGTCATCCTGTGAACACGGGGCGAAACAACTCTGGGGTCAGGTGTTCCTGGAGGAGACCAGGAGGGAGCTGGGCCCTGGTGACACGCCTGACAGGACTGTGGCTGGGCTCACCGACTCTGTACCTTGAGGAATGTGTACCTCACATTTCCTTAGGACTTGAAGTCAATTTCAGTTGAAGTTTTTCTTACTTGGAATGAAAAGTATCCCTCTACAAAAAGATAAACTAAACAATAATACCAGAAAGCATAACTTAAGAGCAGATATATTACATATAAATGAATACAATTACACTATACTAATATATGAAATAAGATACTAAAATAGAATCACAAAGCAACATCTACCACATAGTATTGTATATTAAAATAAAATCCCTAAGTCAATCGACCCAATATAAAAAATAAAATGACAAATAAAGATGTATCACGCAAATGCAAGCCAAACTAAAATAGGTCATAATCATAGTATCTGGAATTTCAAAAGCATCCAATGAGGAAAAAAATAATATTATAAAAATATAAAGGTAAACATAAAACTCAACAGTGGAAATCTGACAATTGTGAGTTCATAAGCAACATATTGTACAGAAAACATAGCCATATATGGTAGAGAAAAAAAGTAAAAAACCAAATAAAATAAAAGGAGAACTTGACAATAATGTATAAATGGAATGTTTAACTTACCTCTCTCTCAAATCATGACTAAGCACACAGACTAAAAAGGCTATAGAAAATTTAAGTATCTTTAATCCCAATATCATTCATATAGTATAAAACAATACATACATTTTATATAGCCTCCATTCTCTGAAGTGACTAGACCTTCCACAAAAATTGACCCATATAAAGAAAACTTGACATGGCAATAGTTTTGATACCCAGGATTCCACACACAGGGATAGCTGTTTCTTCTTAGACTCCTGATCACAAAGGACTCCAGAAGCGTGAAAACTGTTGCCACGGGTAAGAATGCTGCTGTGTGTGGTAAGACCGGGTAAAAAGAAAGAGAATTAGAGAGGGGCCAGAGAGGGCATTCTGGGCCCTCACAGAAGTCACCCCAAACTGACCAAGGATAACACAGCGGCCTTCACTGTCCAGATAATAAGGCAAGGGTAAACTGACAAAAAACTAGTGAATGCTCTATGCAAGGCAAACTGTGATAAGCACACAAGGAAAGACTGAGAACTTTGTACGAAAGTGCATTACACAAGACAAAAAAGCAAATTCTTTGTTCAAACTGGCGTGGAACTAAATAGTGGAACTGTAAGGTAGATCAGTCAGCAGAACCTGAGAAAAATGTGGGTGACCTGATTTAAAAAAAAAAAAAAAAAGACTTCCTTTGTCTAGTTTTAACAAGACAGTTCTTGAAAACTATCACTTAACTTTTCTCTCATAATGCCATCTACTAACCTCATACTCTAGGTATATGTATAAAAAGTATACTGTCACATGTATACTGGTCTCCTGCTGCCTCCATTTCCTGCTCAAAGGAAACATGATATAAAGTGTTTTGCACACTTCTTCCCCATAACCCGAGACTATACAATATGCCTAGAACATTTGCTGGTGGTTAAGAATGGACTTCGAGAACACTCCCAGAACGTTTGCTGGTTGTTAAGAGTGGACTGCAAGACCTCATTAGAACCACAGCAGCAGAACTTGCTGGCTCTGGACTTCAAGGGCAAAAATTGGGTCTGAGTTCACACACAGGGTTTTTAAGGGTGAAAAGACTGAATAACGCACTATGAAGACTAACATGCCAGGATAAAGAGAACACCTCAGGCTGCACCTTCCCATCTCTTTGCTGGTTGGAGGATTAGGCTGTGAGAAGAAATATCTTCTAGTATTTAAAACAAACAAAAAGCACACTTTATGGGGACAGAATCAAGTGAGAAACAGATGCTTCAGTCAAACTTCGCTGAATGGTGAGTAACTAAATTTCTTGCTCTTATATAGAAGACTTTTTGTTTTGGAAAATGAATCTAAGATCCTTGTAAATAAAACTGTCCTGCTTACACAGCAGTGTTACCAAGTTCGGTGACTTCAGTGAAATTCTAGTTCTCGTGTAACCACGGGGAAACATGACTTGTACTGAACTTCCTAGTTAATTTCTAGGGAAGATATTGCAACAGCTATGGCTAAGACTACAAAATTCTATCTAATATCTAAGATGAGCACTGTTGAATATTAAAATAGTTTCCTTCTTTCTACTCTGAAAGCTAAAAGTAAAGGGACAGAGAAAAGAATAAAAAAATAACTTGCCATTTAAGTCATCCTCTGATTCCAGAAATAAAATATTTTAATTCAATTCCACTGAAAAAATAAAAGCAGTTTCTTTACTCCGACAATGAGCACATTAACCACATTTTCACATACAGAAAGCTTAGGTACATTCAACTGTTTACAAAACATGTCTCCATAATACATTTACATTCATGTGAAGTACTGACATACTAACTTATATAATTGTACATATTTGTGACTTTTGCATCTGGTACCTTTTAAAACGAACCTGTAATATGCTTAATTTCTCAAAGTCAGTTCATATATGATGATTTAAGGTTAGGAGAGTCTCTACTGAAGAATTTTAATAGATGCATTCATACAAGAATTCAGTAATTTTTCTAAACCTCAGTCTCAAACTAAAGCTTTAGCAACTTAAGTTACCTGACTAGAAATGGAAGAATTCTTATCAAGATGTACTGTTTGATTTATAGTTTAAGTCATTTCTATTGGTTTATAATTATTTGTGCATCAGGGGAAAATAAGCACCAAGGATAATAAATATTTTTCACATCATAGACGAAATCACAATACAATAATCTCAATGTTCCTCCAAAATCTAATAATTTGAAGTAAGCATTTATTTCAAATGCTCAATCTTTAAGTTTTCTTAGTGAGATCAACTGACATTCTAAAGATAAGAATGGAAATGGTAAAAACAGGTGCTTCAAATCATATCTACTGACAGTGGAATTCAGATATTCCCCTTACACTGATGAGGTTCATTTTTGGAATTCAGTTTTTCAGATCTAAAAAGAATTCTGAAAATAACTAACACTTATAAACTTGTCAACTATATCTCTTAAAAAGAAACTCTAAAGATGTCTTTCTTGCCAATATATGAAGCAAAAAACTTCCTGATGAACAAAAGCACCTTATGGTAAGGAAATATATAAAGAAAATATTTTCTACAAATTAATGTACAAATTTATGTGCATAAAGGTATAGTTATCCCAGCTGCACATATTTTAAATTAAACACAATAAAAAAATTCAAAGCACAGATTGAAAAAATAACCCATATGCCAATATTCCAGTTATTAAATATTGCAGCATATATGTAATTATAACAACTGGGGGAAGAAAGTTTCTATTCTAAACTGTGGTCAACGAAATCTCTTTGGAAATATGCTTTTTAAGAAGTCTCCAGTACAGCCATCAGATTTCAAGCTACAGGATTTTATAGCCAAGATGCAACCCCATGAAAATGAACATGTACAGAGACCGCCTCACAGACTCTTCAGTAACCGTCGCCACTATGTGACAGGGGCAGGCTGTCACGGTCCTTTTCTTTACCATGGGCACATGGCACATATCACATTAACAATGGACCTTTATCACCCTAAGTTCTGCTGCTCATAAAATGCTAATAAACATTGTTCTCAAACACTTCCAGATCATGACAAAAATTCCTTACCTGAATATATACAAAGAATTCTTTAGATTTAATCTATCTTTAAATGAATACAGAGATGTACAAGGAGACACAAATTACTTGCTTTGATATTTTTCAGTCAAGGTTTACTACACGCCTTTTTTTCCCTACTGAACATGTGATTTTTATAAGGAGTTCCAGCTTCTGCTTAGAAGAGTTCATTTTTTTTTCAAAGTATTTTTTTTGTGTTCATGCATTTCTGTTTTGCTAGTCACGCCCTTTTTTCGCGATGAGGTATTAGGAGCAGCTGTAGTAGAAGGTCCGCTGGGAGCTATACAAAAAAAAAAAAAAAGAAAAATTACGGCTTAGATTTTCATGAGCAATCCAAGTTCAAATAATACAAAACAATCAACAAAAGATCAAATAACACAAAACTTCTCTTTTTCCCTACATTCTTCCTGGGAAACTAATTTATTCCATCATTTTTAACTATCACTACTGTGCTGCACTGTGCTAAGTTACTTCAGTTGGGTCTGACTCTTTGTGACCCCATGGACTGCAGCCCACCAGGCTCCTCTGTCAGTGGGGTTCTCCAGCCAAGAATACTGGAGTGGGTTGCCACGCCCTCCTCCAGGGGATCTTCCCGACCCGGGGACTGAACTCGCATCTCTGAGGTCTCCCGCATTGGCAGGCGGGTTCTTTACCACCAGCGCCACCTAGGAAGCCATAATGACTATGCTAACAGCCTTCAAATTTATACTTCTGGCCCAGGCTTTCTCCCTTACCTCAAGATCTGTATATCCTACTAGAAACCCCTATATAAATACTGGATGGGAAATATAAACTTAACATGTTTAAAATTGAACTCATCAATTTCCCTACCAACATCTATTTTCTTTGGTATTACCTATCTTACCACTGTCTAAAAAGCTGAAAGATTAGAAAACTAGAAACATTCTTGACTCAGGAATCATCTTTTTATATCCAAACTAACCTCAAGCCCCAGTTAGTTATCAAAAAATTATTCTAAGTTACACTTCTGTATGGATGGGTAAGGTCCTGCAGATGGATCTTCCTGCAGATAACAAGTATAAGCTCCGAATAAAATAAGAAAAGAACAATTATCTGAAATACTGAAGAGGAACAAAAGCAGCGATATACTAGAAAAGAATCAATACTTGAAAGAAGGGAACAGCATGGAATTAGTTTCCCTGTCCTTTGAAAGAAAAAAAAAAAAATAAAGCTTTGGCTTAAGGATAGGGTCCAGTGTGCACCATGTGCAATGCCTAAAACTACAATGTAAAACTCAGTCTTTCCAGTACGAAGCACCAGAAAAGTACTGACGCAACAGTGGCTGGAAAGCCAGGTGGGAAATTCCAATTCTTTGTGTAAACACTGATCCAATGTATGAGTTCAGCAGAATAAGCTCCAAAGAAGTCCAGTTCAGACTAAAGCCAGTGAAGTGAAATGTGAGCTGTCAATTACGTCAGGGGACATAGTATCGCAATCTAAGTTCCGCCAAGGTCACTGCTTTGCTTTAAAAAAAAAAAACCCAAACAACCCAATACTCTTTGTAGGAACATTAAGAGAAAAACAGAGTCAAGAGTTGATCTAGAATACAATCCAAAATTACTGAATATATGAAAAACATGGAAAAAAACTTCCTTCTTGGGAATGGGTATGTTCATAAGAGATCAATCCTGAGAACAGCCTAACAGACAGGAATTTTAAAGCAACTATTTTAACTACGCTCAAGAACAAAGGAAAATATTCATATAATGAATAAAAATATAGGAAATCTCTGAATGAAAAAAACTATAAAGAATCAAAACAAATGCCTAAAACTAAAGAATAAATACCTGAAATAAAAATTCACTGGATGGTTTAACAGCAGAATGCAGATGACAAGTAAAAGTGACTATCAACCAGGATTTTATTACCAAAAAAAAAAAAAAAGTCCAAGGCATGCCACAGTCAAACTTCTGAGAACCAAAGATAGAGCAAAAACACTGAAAGTTGGCAGAGAAAAGAAATTCATCAACCCACTGCATACATAAGAACAAGTCTTCAAATTAACAAGGACTTCTCATCAGCAACAAGGGGAATGAGAAGAAAGTGGAACAACATCCTTAAAATGCTGAAAGAAAAAACTTTAGAGGTTCTCTGTCGAGCAAAACTACCTTTCAAGAATGAAGGTAAAATAAAGATTATTTTCAGATAGAGTAACAAACATGAAGTATAAGAAATAGTAAAAAGATTCAGGTAGAATCCGGGCTGAACAGAAAAGCAAGAGAAGACAGTCCATAAATCAGTTCAGAAAACTGTGAGTATCAAATATATTTTTACATACGTGAGGGGAAGGGGGATAATTAACAAAAGAAAAAACACCTCAAACATATCAATACACTACAGTAACAGAGTTCCTAGACTGTAATCACCCTACTGAAAAACAGATTTTTACACCTACAAAGCAAGCTATTACTACTCCTCTAAACTGCTATATGGAATCCACAAATTCCCACACACGCCTAACCTGGTTTGCTGCTTGCTTTAGTACTCTTGATGCTAGCTGTTGGTGTTGGGAGGATCTTTGCAGGTGTATATGTATTTAAAGATATTTTTCTTCTCATTATTGGACTGGAACGTGAAGTTAAACAGGCTGAAAAAGAAAAATCAAACAAAGTAATTCAGTAATTTTCTGAGGCAAGTCTATCAAATTTAAACTAATCAGATTGTAAATAATTGAGTCAGACTGTCTTCCTATTAATATAGTACCCAGATGAAATTTATTTTCATGCAAGAAAATGTTAAAGATTCTTTCTTCTTTCTAATTAAGGTGGGGAGATTGAGAAGTGTGAAAAGAACAATTCTTAAGTATGAAGACCTCTGGAAGAGGACAGGTTGCAGTAGGGAGTGCTACTGGCATGAGCTTTTGGGATTCCAAACAAACGATGGCGGAGATAACACAAGGCAGATCTGTCAATTTTTGCAATCTTGGAAGAGGACCTGATAGCAGTAAAGAGTGTGTCTCTGAAAAAGCAGTATGTGGAACAGCTGTGGCAAATGTGCCTGTAGGGGTTGATAACTACGCGGGATGAATATAAAGTTCACACTGGCAGAATATCCAAGTAGTCACTAATGAAATAATATACAAGTGACAATGGACATGAGTTTGGGTGGACTCCGGGAGTTGGCGATGGACAGGGAGGCCTGGCGTGCTGCAGTCTGTGGGGTCGCAAAGAGTCGGATACGACTGAGTGACTGAACCAAACTGATTAAAAAAGTGCTTAAAACATCTCATAAAAGAGTACATCATTACTTAGCTTTTTTCTGCTTACATCTTCTATTATAACTTCCAACCTCTAATTTAACCAATTAGTATTCTGAAATTGAGGGTCAGTGCCTTGTTGTAAGGCAGGAGGAATACTGGAGTGGGTTGCTATTTCCCACTCCAGGAGATTTTCCTGACCTAGATATTGAAACCACATCTCTTGCATCTCCTGCATTGGCAGGCAGATTCTTTACCACTGCACCACCTGCAAAGCCCTAACTGGCACCCTATTTTCTTTAATATTCAAAGAGAATGAAAAAAGCCACACACTTTAGGAGACCTGGGTTTTAGTCTCGCTTGACCACTAACTGGTTGATTTCCTCAATGGTGTCTCTAAAATTTTCCATCAATACAGTAAACTTCCCTCAAATGAAATCTTATATAAAATCGATCAAAGAATGGCCTAATAATTCTTTCTCTTCCTCATGGAACTTCCCAAAGCTCTTGGGAATACAGTCTGAAGACCAATGAACTAAATAAAATCTAAGTTTTATCCAGTTTTATGAACTGCATTAACTGTATTTATTTTCTCATTTAGTTCCCTTAGTAAGTAATGGAATGAAATTTTAAGAGAGCTAGAGGGATTGTGGTACAACTTGTATCTATGATATAGAGACGAGATCGGGCACGTTCAGGGTGGTATAGAGAAGGGTTAACGAGAACTGGAAAAGGAATTTAACATCTTTCAATTCATTAATATATCTCAGTAATACACTCTGAGGAACTGAACTCATTAACCACAGAAATGAAGCCATCATAAAACTGCAATGCCACAGTATAAACAAAGATTATCTTTTTGTAAATATCCCACCAAAAGTCTCTTTCCAAAACAGGTGTCATTACTGCTACTTTAGCTTTAAGTCACTGATTGAAGATCTTCTCAATTCAAAACAGTTTTAATGCTTACCTTAAACTCTTATTTACTAACTATAGTCTTTAATTTCTATTTAAGATCATAATTCCCTGCCCCAAGGAAGCATAGAGTATAAAGCCAGGTAGAAGAGAAAAATGAGTATTTATTCAGATTCTCTCTTGTGTTCTGAGGAACAGCACTGGCCTTTCTATTAGCTAACAGAGAAAGGAAAAGGAGAAATGTCCTTTAGTTTCCTCACTTCAACTGTACTGCTTGCAGATTATTTCATTTGGATTATTATCAATTCTCAGCATCAGACAAATTCATATGCACATTTTAAAATGGAAACCTACTTCTCCAAAACACTTCTAAAGTGAAATATTTTAAAACCTTCACACCAAGATACATCTCAGGTTGAAAGCTGATCTCTGCCACCAGACGTGAAAGAGAAAAGCAAAAATGCAGGGGGTACTATCTGGACAGAATATGCTGAACAGACGCTCTACAGAATCACAGTGTGGTGGCCCAGGAAAGGGGAGAGAGTCACGGCCACACGAGACAGTGGCTTTCATCCCAAGATCTCCAATTTTATTCTTCAGAAAAACACATTTACAGTATTCTTCTTACAAAATACTACTTGGGTTCTGCTTAGTCTCTCCGTCGTTTCCGACTCTTTGAGACCCCATGGACAGTAGCCTGCCTTTTCAAACATACGACTAAGACTAGCAAGACTCTTAACTCTCAGCAGGGCATTCTCTCCCAAAATGCATGCTTCCTACACTGGAATTCCAGTGTGCAAAGTATCCTAGAGTGATGAAAATGACAACAGCCAGCTGACTTCTTATACTTAAAAAGGAAGTCCTGAACATTTCCCAAACTGAAGTCCCTCAGAATAATTCTATACAATATTTAAATGTGTTACCAAAATGTTTTCTCAACAAATAAGTTTTGGAAAATGTGGGTATGGAGTTTTCCTTATAATAAAGTTTCCAAAACTGGCTTAGCCACAAACCGCTTTACTTTACACAAAGGAATTAACCTCTTCAGAATATTTCCTACAGAACACAATTTGAAAAACTGTTGCCCTAATTTGCTCTCTTCAGTTAAGAGTTCTGAGTCAAAAGTATTGAGTGGATGAACACATGGGCATTAATACAGACTAATATCATGTCTTTTAAAAAAAGCTAATTATACAATAACAGTAGAAAATAAGACTATGATTTTTGTATTATATATTGCTGATTTCTACTGCTGGGTCTTAGATTTTGTCCTCCTTTTGGTAAGAGAAAAAATTTGGGGGAAGAGTCAAGACAAGTGATACACTGTACATTACACCAATGATTCCAAACAATGTTCTTGTATACCCCTTTCTCTCCTAAAATTCTACTTACTATCACTACTTGAATTTATATTTTCATAACTATTTTATATTCAGATAAAATTTACTGTCTAAAAATCAAATAATAATAATTTTCCTACAAGTTTCAGGGGTCTTCCGTGGAACTTCACTTGATGGAGAAGCAATGGAAGCAAGAAATTCATCCACCTGCTTTAAGGACAGGGCATTGTGAAGAGTTTCTAGAGGACAAATAGATGGCACCATCGAATACAATTCAAAACCTGAGGGGAAAAAACAAAAACAAAACCAAAACCAAAAGTTGGATATCTTAAAATTCATTAATTAAAAAGGATCATTGCTTAGAACTGGACAGTTTAGGTCTTTTCAATCTACCACATGCAAACACACAAGATCTCTGAAGTCATGACACCAGATGCTATGCAGTATGGGGCTGGAACAAGATGTGACAAAGACTTCATTTTAAATATAATCACGAGGTACAGCATGCACACGATTCATTCTGTATTTGGAAAATCTAAGAGTAATACCTTAAAAACCCGGGGGAATAATAAAAAACAACAAAAAAAACCAGTGTTTTCACGGTTTTTACTTTTTAAAAGCAGGTCTATTTGATAGATGAATAAGCTGATGCCATGTGTCCCTGATAATGGAATGCTAAAGGTAACTTCTTGTTGAAAAACAATTAAGTAATTGCTTATGAAGAGTGATTTTAAATACTTTTCTAGTCATACCAAGGCCAACAACACTTCTAGTGTGACCCCAAAGCAACATCCATTCATTTATGCTGAAATTAAAATTTCAAAACATATTTCACCTACCTTGACTGAATTAACACAATTAATCCTATTGTTGGAAACTGCTAGCTGAGTGAAGTCAGGCCAAGTAAAAAGCCATACAAAATACAAATATTTCTGCATTCAACAATGGCACAAATACAAAAATTTCATGAAACAAACCATGCAGGTATGTATTAATACCATCCATGAAACGAAAGCACTTAAATATACAGCTTCTTTAAACAAATAGGACCTAGGTTATTTACTTTTTTATAAATATTGCTTATTTACATTTTATTCAACTGAATGGCTTTTAAAATTGTTTTTAGATACAACTAAAATACCAAGTCTTTATGCATCTATTTTTTCAAGAATTTAAACTAATTCTCCTCCAAAAAGAAATACTTTTAATGTTTAGTTTCTATATAAAGTCAGATATTTTTAACTTAAAATGAAAATTAATTAAACTTCAGTTGATTGGAAAACTTTCTGCTTCAATAGACATGTGCTCATTTTAACACTGACTTATATTTGATTTTGGGAGAAAATACTGACCTAAGAATTGTCTACTTCTTAGTTGGAATAGGGAAACTCTAGTTAAAAGAGAATCTAATTTTTCAATGAAAACAACCAAAGGATTTGTAAAACTGGTATGTTTGATTTCCAGGGGCAAACCAAAGCATGACGGAACATTACATATACGTAAAACAAAACTATAATACCATAATAGCAGCTAAAGCACCTACGTTAAGCACTGAAGAAATTAGGCTTGCACAAGTATTACATTTTTTTTTAATTACAAGATTCATGCAGAAAAGCGCAAACCCTTTCCTTGCATTAAACACTGTGGCTTTTTAAAAAAATCCTTTCCTCAGAATGGTTATTAGTTTTTTGTAAAACTATTTTTCTGCATTTGCTTGTTAAATTTTGTTAACAGGCAAATGACAATACAATCGAGTCCCTTTGGACTGCATCTTTTTCCATCTGTCTATAGTGAACTTTTTCTTTAATGCACAATGAAAGGGTTAGCGCAGCAATTTAAAAAGCCGCCTTGCTGTCATGTTTAGAAACTAGAGAAACATACCACTGGAGCCTAGAAACTCCACAGAGGAAACGGACCAGCACCTATAGAGGTGTAGGTGTTCTGCACAGAGGCCCAGAAAATAAGGTAAAGCACTGTCAGAAGATACTTGTTTCACCATGTTCCTTGAACTAAAGATGAAGGGGAGGGGTTAAGTCCATGATATGTGTTAAGATGGAAAAAACATGAAAGTTAAGGAAAATAAAAAGTAAAAGAGAGTCAAATGACAATTCATAGGACAGGTAAGACAACACAGCAAAAAAAAAAAAAAAAAAAAAAAAAAAAATTTGAAAANAAAAAAAAAAAGAAAGAAAGAAAATTTGAAAACCCAAGAGAAATATTTCTAGAGTTGAAAGGGATGCATTTTATAAGCATCAAGTCACACAATGTGTGGAAAAATCCACATTTTTTAAAAAAAGCCTAAATCAAAAGAATATAAAATTATTTTCTGTTGAACTTAACAAAGGCTTTTTTTTTTAAGCTTCAATAGGCAAAGATTTCTCCTATACAAAACTTGCAATACTGGCACAATAACACATAAGCACTCTGACAAAAACTACAGTCAGTCTTAAACCTTCAACGTCTCTTCTTCAGAATTTTGCGATTTTTGTTTTTTCTTGTGACTTCAGTTTTCTTCTAAGAAGTTCTTACACATGTTGGTTCTTTAGAAACTGTAGCTGTATCAAATAAGGGTCTTTTTCTTCAAAAAGATGCATATAAAGAGACAATGGAGGAAAAGAATATTTAGCTTTAAGGCCAAATTTTCACTTGTTGAGAACTGGATTTTCACCCTCCACCTTCAAGTATTAGTGCACTGTTACTTAGGTGTCCTCTTAAAAGGATTCAGAAGGAGGGAAATGACAACAAACTTGTGTTCAATCCTTGAGCTTCATAAAAGTTTCTGAAAAACCTGACTTGAATTTTTGAAAGACTTACTTACAATTAAAAAGAAAAAAAGTTGCAGGGATTAAAAACAACTTCACTCTGAATAAAAGTGAAAACATGTAGGCTTCCTTTGAAATTCTTTGATTTTGAGTTTTTTTTTTTAATGATTAGTAAATATTCCTTTGTCCCACAAGAAAAAACTCTATGTAAGAAAGCTGTACTAGTGCAAAATTCGGTGTGTAAGTAATGGCCACACAATTTTCCGCTTCAGGCTCAAATACTGAATTTAATTGAACTGGCTGTCTAGATTTTTAGCCTAATCATCTTCCTGTGAGTAGCCCTCCAAATTCTAACAAAAAGCAAGGGACCCTTCCCAAAACTGTTTGCCTGACAGTGGCAAACCACACTGCCATAGGAGCACTAAGTGAATGCTGAATGGTGTTTTCAGAGTGCTCCAGACAAAACTGGGTTTTGCTTTAGACAGTCAGGGATCAATAATGTTACACAGTGAAACCTGCATCCCCTGGTTCCCAAGAACTTTTCAAGGACACATCTCATTTGGCTATTTGACAGGTATGATCCCGTATTTTAGATAAATAGCTCAATGAAACAATCATGTGATCAGAAGAGAAATTCAGAAGAAGATCATTAAATTACTAAGAATTAAAAAGAAAATAAGTAATATTTATTGTTGCATTTTAAAAATTATGTAGATTGATGAGAAATCAGAAGGAACTTTTAGGTGCTAATTAAGTATTAAAACTCATCACTGTGGTCATTTAAAAGTTTGATGAGTAGTGCTAAATCACTGCGTAAATTATAGCTGAAAAAGGGAGTTAGACAGTATCAATATTTGGGGTGAACAATAAGTTAGAATTGTATGCCAATTGAAATTAAGGATTGAGAAATGTATGATACTGTATATCCCACATTTTAAAATCAAAGAAAAATAAAAAAGGATGAAGCAGGGGATTATCTTTTAAAATAAAAGCAAAACGTACCATTGGTTGGGTGTCGAGCAAATGAGATAGAAAACCTTTTAACAGCAGAACCGCGTGTGGCGTCTAAGAAAGAGAAAAACAGGTACCTGAAATTCATAACAGCTACCAAAAGAAGGACACTTAAAAAAAGAGGAGGAAAAACAAATATATAAGGAGGTTAGAATTAGGTGACATGCAGAAGGGACAATGAGAGAGGGAAATAAGTCAAATACTGGTTAAAAGAAGTAAAATGGCTTGATGATAGAGGCAAAGTGTTCAATAAAATATACAAAAGAAAGAAAAGCAGGATGAGCTGGCAATTCTGATAAATCCATGTTTTACTAACTAAAATAAACTTGTGGATACATGAGAAAAAGTTTTAGATAAAGCTAATTTCTAAAGGGCTAGTAAATACTCCTATTAACAAAAGGGGCACGCTTTGATGAGCCGCAAGAGACTTTCTGAATATTAAAACTCAAGGTGCGTTAACAACAGTGAGAAGATTTCCTTCACCTAGCGATCCTAAAATATTCTCACCTTATGTTTATTCTTAGAAAAATAATGCCAATATGTTTTCTTGTAAACATTCCATTCACTTTATTTAGAAGTAAAATAAGCATTAAGAATAAAAAAAAATGTTTAAAAGAACAAATAAAGATTTATTCTTTATTAAATGGCTTATTAACTATTTAAAAGAATATATGTGATACAGTTCTAAATTTCATATTTCAATGAAATACTCATTGAACAAGTACTGTAAGTCTAACTATGATTAACTGCTTGATGAAAGGTGGACCTAAGCAGTGGATAACAGAACACACTGGCAGTCACTTAGGCAAAGGGTGATGGGATTCTGTCTGCATCCGTGCGGCCTGAGGCCCGCCCGTGACAAGTATCATGTGCTCATGGACGTGTGCGTGGGTGCAGGCATGGCTCTGTGTGTGCGTGCGTGCACATACCATCTATGCAGCCAGAAGAGGTCAGCTTTTTACGATGAGTACGAGCATAATCCTGTAGGTTAGGTGCGCTTGAAGAAGCCCCGAGCACCGAGGTGCTAAACAGGCCCGCACAGTGAGACCCTGATGGGAGTTAGAGAAAATACACACAACAACGGGTGTTCTTCTGTTCACATTGGGAACTCATGCAGCATGCAACAACACGGCTCTTACCACGCGCATTTGGCAGTGCCCTCAACAGGCTCACAAGTCACTTACAATGTCAACTTAATACAGTCCCCACCACCATTTACCGTATGTACAAATGGAGGCATTTTACACTGGAGAAAATGTTTTTGAGGAAAATAATATACCCATACAATAATCAGACATATACATATTAAGAGTATTAAAAAACACTATCATAAAAATTAATTTAGGATGATAAGGAATTTTGTCAATCAGTTTGCATGAGCAGGCAATATTAGAAAACCTCTCCTAGCACAAATTAAATAATATTAAATCAATATTTTTGAAAGTATATCTGTGAATGAAGAAGCTTTCCTGATGCCCCTGAATGTGAGTTATCAATATCTGTTATGAAATAAAGTAAATCAAAGTTTACTTATTTGCAAGAAGGCCAGGTGAAACAATTCCTTTCACAGTGTGGTCATTCAGGCCTAAATCACTCTAAATTTCTAATACTTAAAAAACTTAAGATCTTAATTAATAAGAAGCCCAATTTGATGCTTAACTTGTAGTAAAAGTCTTTACAACCAAGGAAACCTTTTACCATTAGGTAAGGATTAAGTAAATTTTTATCAGATACATTACAACATGTAAAGAAAGGAGTAATGTGTGTGTGTGTGTGTGTATGTGTGTGTGTGTGTGTGTGTGTATCTGGCAAAATACCGCAGGGATATCAAAAGGTATCATTGTAACATGCATAATTAAAGAAAGATTTTTCAAGTATGTAGGCATAAGGGACCATTCATATACTTAGAATAGAGATAATAGTACATACATAATTAAAACATTATGAAATTTGTTATTAAACTGATTTAGATAATTATTTACAGAAAATGTCATTATCTCATGCAGTTTATCAATGCTTTTAAAACCAAAATAAATTTAGAAAGGTTTTCTTCAACATTGCTTTGCTTGAGTGTTCGCAAAGAACCAATTATGTTCTATAGGTCAATAAAAAAATCAACACTGCCACTAAACACTAGTTTTGCTTTGGCTTTCTTTAAGGGATGACCAAAAAGATCACTAGTATACCTAGACAGGTAATAACTAGGTAAACTAATTTTAAGTGAAATACTCTCCACTTGAAAAATTTTTTAACCAGAAAAGTAGGTTCTTTTTGTATGCACTAGCCTATTTTCAACTTTATCAACTGGGAAAATGAAGTTTCCTTCCTAAATTAAAACATGCTGGGATTTTAACTTACAGAGCTAGATTAAAAATGAGCACTGGCAATTAGACTGAGCAGTTTATGTTATGGGCATTCAAAAGCATTATAAAACAAAATTAATGTCATTTCTTGTTCATTTCATCAAAACTTTACTGTATGTTTCCAGCTTTACAACTCAACATTTCTGAATTAGTGCATGTTAAATAAAAACTAAAGCATAGCATTTGGTCATGCTTTCACCTCTGAAGAGTTTTACATGTGTGCAAAATCCTGAGTCTAAGGTTTGGAATACAACTTCCTTCAGACCACATACCTACAGTAGGGTTCTGCTTCTGTTCTACAAGAGTTCTTGGTGTTCGTAAGTAATTAGCATTTTCAGATACAACCTGCAGAAGGAAAGCAAAATAAATGAAGTAAAACAGTAAAATAAACCAAAAAGTCCATACTTCATTTGCAGCCTGTTTCAGACAGACAAAGGTTAATAAGCTGTATGATAAATATTAGTAGAAATACACAAGGTATGAAAGATCATGCAAGATCCCCTTGTGAAGGGAGTCCATTTCATATGAGGTCCTTGCAATGAAGTGGTGCGAAGCAGGCATTCAGAATAAATATCACGTATGAAACAAGACAGATGAAAAGAAACAATTAATATAGACTGATACAATTTCACTCTCCCTTAAGAGAAGCCAAATGCCCACTCTTAAACAGCTCCTGTATTTGAAGGGGGAGAAAACAATCACAAACAGAAGAACAGACAGACAGAGACTGTTGAGATCACCAAACAATTACGGATCCATGCACAGGCGTTATCAGAGTAACCTTGGAATAGTCACAGCCTTAATGGATGCCATAATCCCTTTTCCTATAATCAATGCATTGTATTTCCAAAAGGAAATTGCTGAAGTTCTTGGAAAAGTCATCTGTAACAGCAGACCTTCCATTGTGAAAAATCCCCCAAACCCACAGTATTTTAAGTTTCCAAATGTCACCACAAAAAGTCCTTCTGAAGTCATTTACTTTGACTCCTTTTGTTGGGGCATATTGTTGATGGTCACATATACATTGTCCCCTTTTATCTTAAAGAAAGTATTAGTATTAAGATAATATACAGCTAAAAAAAACCACCATATTGTATGTAATTAAGATACTTTCAGATAATACAAAGTGAGGGAGAGAATCACCAGTATTAGATGTATCCTGCTAATTAACACAGGGCCACATAAATCTGGATATTTTTTAAAAAATTTTCAGGTTCTCAGCAAATTCCAAATGGAATCTATTTTTCAATTACGGAGGAAAAGGTTATTAAATTTCCTTACTATCTAATTACATAACTTTATTTCTGAATATTTTAAAGGACAATTTTTAAAAAAGTCTTTGCTTTTAAAAAAATGTTATTAACAAGCTAAAGTTCCAGGAATGTAAATTTTATTGACTAATTTTAAAATCCTGGATATTTAACCCCCTCCAGTAAAAATGCTAGACACAAGCAATGTAAGTGGTTTCTTTCCCTCAAAATATTGTCAGACATCACAAGCGTTTCAGATGAATTCAAAATTAAAAAACGGAAGGATTTACTCTGATGTAAAATACAAGGGATTAGATGTCCTCCAAGACAGCTGTTTGTTGCTCTGAATGCGGGGAGGAAAAATGTTTAATGAAGTAAAGTTTAAAAACCTGTTGCCATGAGCCAAAAATACTGGATGTGAAAGCCAGTGATTTGGGGGAGACAGGGGAAGAGGTGATTTGCTCCCCTGATCTGCGTCTTCGACGCCCAGTGCCCACACCACTGGTGTAGTGCAGCCAGCCACCAGTGCCCTCTGGGCTAGACACACTCAGGGGGCTCTCTTCCTGGAAGTGAGAAAGGGGCAAAAAAAAAAGCAGAGCATGCAAAGTTAGATACAACAGAGCCAAATGACCAGAAAGAAAAAAAAATACAGTTTGTTTGTGCTTATCAATTTTTTAAAAAAAACTATTAAACAGTAATTTGGGAGCCAAATATTTTAATATTTGATAAATTGATAGGACTCATTTATAAATCTAATTTTGAGTAATAACAATTATGAGAATTACTTTCTTATCTTAAAATACAAAATATTTATACTGCTTAATAGTTGTCTTCTCTCTTAGAACTGGAAAGATTTTAACAATTTTTTATCTTGGCAATGTTAAAAATTTGAACATATTCTGCTTAATTTTAGATATTCAAGAGGTTTTATGCTATACTGGGTAAACTTTTCAACCCAAAGCACTAAAGAATCCTTCAAAGGGTTAAAGAGACTTCCAGTGTATATAATGTATAAAGGAAAATTTGTTTGCCAGACAAAAAAATTAGATATCATAAGATGAAGGATTCAAATTGCACTTGTCTACACTTCTATGCTATCTATTATTTACTCCTTCCAAAGATTATTTGTAGAATTCAGTAGACAAAACATGCAGCAAACATTCTCATTTTACATGTTTGCATGTTCAGGTTTCAGACAGTGAGGACATAGTAAAATCTACTTGCACAAAATGAAGAGAATAGTCTTTTTCTCTGTGTGTCTTTGGGAAGTACAAACTTCTGATATCCATGGAGATGATGGACGCTGGAAAAAGTCTTCAAGGTTTTACTTGAATAATTTACCTTATGGAAGTAAAAGTTTAGCATGGCATAGAAATAATCGCTGGAAAGCAACTATTTAAATATTTATGAGAAAAAGGTTTAGCACTGTGTCTTGTGTTTTAAGAGTAAACAAAGGGCAGTGATTTTGTTGAAGATTTGACAAATACAGTTCTGTTGGAAAATGCAGTCAAGGAATACATTTACTGTATCAGTGTTACAGACATCTTTTGGAGTGCAGAAAAAGGTTTAATGGTGAAATTCTAAACAACCTGATAAATTACAGATTGCTTTGTTCAAAATCATCAAAATCACTGCCCTCACACAAATGATATTTTAGGTTATATTAATAAATGTCATTTCCCAATTTTCTGAAATTAAAGATAAATGAAAATAACCCCAGGTTTCTCATTCTTAAATTAAGCTATTAGAACAAATAACCCCAAATTCTATAATTGTTAATCATCCTCTTTTATAATTAACTTAAAATATCTCATTCATGGGAAACCCTAACTAGTATGCACTTTCCATTATAAAACTACAACAATCTGTTTTATTTAGATGATGCTTTTCCTATGCATAATTGTTGAATTGGGAGAATCAAAAGCACATATGCCTGTATAATTTGGGGCGAGAGAAATGAGCATATTCTTTTTTTGATGTGTATGTTCTTACTTACCAACTGCTAGATAGTATACCTAACAAGATTTGGCATATTTAATCATCAAAAAATATTTTAGCTTAAAAGTTGATGGTGCTTCCTATCTTTATACTTTTACTTGAGAATTTAGAAAATATAAGCACTGATTTCAGATCAGAGATGAATCATCCTATAGAAAATATAAATAACCCAAAATGAAGGTATTTAAAGAATAAAAATGTATACAGATGTTAAAGATGTTACTTAACAAACTTCATTCCAACTGCTCAACTTTCCTTTTAAATGTTATTTTAGTAACTACTTAAATGTTATTTTGTTAGCATAAGAATTAGCCTAAGTTATTTAATTATAGATCTAAATACAAAGGTAAATTTTTCATTTACAGTATCAAATTTTCAAATTCCTATTCTGACTTTTACAATCAGTTTAACAATTTAGAATGTCACATCTTAACCTACAGTGTCACTGGAATCGTCTGCTGCTGAAGTGTCTGTCAATTCCTCACTACTTTTAACCAAAAATTATTCCTGACCCATTAAATCAGATTTTTTAAAAAGTTCTTTATTAGACTAACCTAAAGTGACAAGGCAAAAAATGGATCAGTTTTTAGAAAGGCCTTATTTTACTACTTATATTCAACTTTGTTATGAAATCTATAAAGCTCCAAATTCTAAAAGTAATCTTTGTATTTTCTGCCTCTACATTTTAAAAAATTTATTTGAAAAATTGATAAAATTGACAGTTAAAAATCTGGTAGGTTCCCAAGCTTAATAATTAAAGCTGTATTTTCTTTTCTGTTTTATTAAAATATAGTTAGTTTACTTCATTAAAAAAACATGCTCTGACAAATATACTTACTTCATTTGTAGCCATCTTCCTAGATCTTGGAAGTGGAGACTTCCTATGTATATGAATTGGCTCTGATACCATAGGCTTAAACAATATTACAGCTCGATCAACCTCATCTTTTTTAGAAGTATGTGGTTCATCATCACTATCAATTTTAAAAGCTCTCCTTCCTTCATTCTATGCAAAAAGAATATAACATAATAAAATTCAGATAAAACAAATCACTCTTTTTGGATGAACAAATTAAAACCACCAATTGCTATCGTCACTTGAAGTACATATACACAAGTTTACTTATTCAAATAGATTGATAACTGAATTCTTATGAAAATCTAGTATCATTCTGGGTATTGTAAGACAGATGACAGAGTTCCTAACTTCAAGAAATACATATACTCTCCGGATAAATGAAATAATAAAATGACAATTAAAAAGCCATATAAAACAAAATGCTTAATAAAATTTCATCCAGTGCCCAAATAAGCAATATTCATAAATGACAGTAAAAAAAAAATAGGTCAGTTTTATTACCAGTAATGTCATCAACTCAAGCATAAACTGAAACAATATCTGGTTATAGAAAATTCAAATTCTATTCCAAATATTTCTAACAAATGTGATGACTGCACACTTAAATAACAATCATTTGATGGCTCACTGACTATTTACTGAGTACTACCATGTGTCAAGACTCAGATGAATAAGATATTGTCTCCAAAATATAAGAGTCTCAAAGTATAGTACAGAAAACAGGTAAATTTAAAAAGGTTATATTAAATATTCATCTAAACAGAATGGATAAATTGGGGCATGGTCATACAGTGAAACACATATTTTAAAGCAGTAAGAATGGGCAAACTAAAACTAATTACATCAGTGAACCTCACAAATATACGTTAGCTAAAAGAAGCCAAAGTATGTAAAAACCTTCATTAAACTAAGGGGTATAAAAAATAAACTTCTTCAACTCAGGTAAGGTATACCTAAAAACTAGAAAAAATCATCACAGTTAATAATAAATCACTGAAAGAGAAGAATGCTCATCATCACGAAATCTACTCAACATTTTACTGGACATCTGTCATCATTCAGAGATACAATCATATACATAGAAAATTAAAATGACTGGATAAATTATCAGAATGAATAAACAACATACAGTAAGGTTGCTAGTTATAAAATCTTTATACAAAAATTGAGTTAAATTTCAATTGAAAATAGCAAACAAAATAAAATTTAAATGAGTCATTTATGACAACATTAAAAAAGAATTTAGGAATTAACCTGACAAATAAAAGATATTAAAACAATTTTATCAAAAAGATATAAAGAATAGCCAACTAAATTCAGAGATATATATACCAAGTCCTAGGACTAGAAGATTCAATTCTGAAGTGTTATGTCCAGAGAAAACTAGAAGTGTTATGTCTCTCAACATGATCTGCAGAGGTTATCTAATTTCAATAAAAATCCCTAAACATTACTTTCTGCTTTAGTCTGGGAATGAACAAGGATGATTGCTATCAATACTTCTACTCAGCACTATACTGGTCCTAGCCAGTAGCACTTCACAATAAACATAATCAAATGGCCAATGAATGTAAGAAAAAGTACTAATCCTTACTGGTTGTGAGGAAAATGTAAATTTAATACACAAGTGAGTTGCCAAACAACTCATTAAAAACACTAATCATACCAAGTGCTGATAAAGACATGGTAGTATCTTTGGAAAGTTATTTGACTGTATTTTTAAAAACTGAACATATGCATACCCTATAACCCAGCAATTTTATACATTTTATCCAAAAGAAATGTATATGCTCAGAAAAAGACCTGAACAAGAATGTCCATAAAAGCATCCATCTTCAAACCCTGAACTGCAAACAAACCAAATGATCATCACAGTGAAATGGATTAACAAACTGCACCATATTTATTTAATGTAATACTACATGGCAACAGAAATGAAGAACAGATGAATTTCAAACACATAATGAAAGAAGCCAAATCCACTTCCCATCCCTAAAAAAGCACATGTTTTGTGAGTTCATTTATATATAAAGTCCAAAAGTAGACAAAGTTAATCTATGTGCCAGAAGTCAAGATAGTAGTTATCTTTGGGGAGAAAGCAGGAAGGTTATGATATTGAGGGACAAAACCATTTCTTCTCAAATGATATTATTCTATGACCCAGCTAGCTGTTTTACAACTGTTTCTTTTGTGATATATCATTAAACTACACATTGATGATTTAGGAATGTTTACCAATATGTATCATAGTTAAGTAGTAAAAAAAAGTTTAAGGCTGAATACATATTTAACTCTGTAAGGTTGTAAGAATTAAAATGCGGTAATTAATTCCAAGTGTTTAGTCAAGCATGGGCTGTCCTCAAGTAAAACAACAGCCAAAAACAGAAACTACAGTTATCCATTCTAAATAATGATCTTAAAAATCCCCCCAAAAAATCTAGAGAAAGGAGAAAATATAAAATTCTAATATGCTTAAAAAAGTGTATCAATCCAAACCATACCTCAAGAAGTTTAAACCACCTTGCTATTTAGTAGTTGAGATAAGAATTACAGTATGTAACAGAAAATTCTTAAAGTCACATTTAAATTTAGGACTGCAGTAACTATGCAATGAAAATTTCATCTTCATTACCTCCCTTGAAGCTGGTCTATATCCATAGCCAGAGGGTAAATTTTTGTCTTCTTCACATCCTTTGGCTCCTGGACTGAAATGTAACTCAACATGAAAGCGTTCCTCAGAGGAAAGATCCTAAAAAAATATTATAGAACATCTTCAAAATGAGAAACTTCAAATTATTGATTTACCTCTGGTAACACATGCAAGAATAAACAGAAGAATTGTACAAAAAAGCTCTTAATGTCCAAGATAACCACTATGGTGTGGTCTCTCACCTAGAGTCAGATATCCCAGAGTGTGAAGTCAAGAGGGCCTTAGGAAGCATCACTATGAACAAAGCTAGTGGAGGTGATGGAATTACATCTGAGTTATCTGAAATCCTAAAAGATGACGTTGTTAAAGTATTGCACTCATTATGCCAGCAAATTTGGAAAACTCAGCAGTGGCCACACACAACTGGAAAAGGTCAGTTTTCATTCCAATCCCAAAGAAAGACAATGTCAAAGAACGCTCAAACTACCACACAACTGCACTCATTCCACATGCAAGCAAGATAATCCTTAATAATAGTTCAAAATCCTTCAAGCTAGGCGTCAGCAGTATGTGAACTGAGAACTTACAGATGTACAAGCAGGATTTAGAAAAGGCCAAAGAGATCAAATTGCCAACATACACTGGATAATATAAAAGGCAAGGGAATTTAAAAAACATCTAATGCTGCTTCACTGACTATGTGAAGCCTTTGATGGTGTGGATCACAACAAACTGGAATATTCTTAAAGAGATGGGAATACCAGACCACATTACCTGCCTCCTGAGAAACCTGTATGCAGGTCAAGAAGCAAGTCAGAATTGGACATGGAACAACAGACTGGTTCCAAACTGGGAAACAGGTACATCAAGGCTGTATATTGTCACTCTGCTTATTTAACTTACATGAAGAGTACATCACATGAAATGCTGGGCTGGAAGAATCACAAGCTGGAATCAAGATTGCCAGAAAAAATTTCAACAATCTCAGATATGCAGATGGGAGAAACTGAAGAGGAACTAAAAAAACCTCTTGATGAAGGTAAAAGAGGAGAGTAAAAAAGCTGTCTTAAAACTCAACATTCAAAAAACGAAGATCATGACATTTGGTCCTATCACATCATGGCAAATGGATAGGGAAAAAGTGGTAACAGTGTCATTTCATTTACTTGTGCTCCAAAATCAATGCATACAGTGACTGCAGCCATGAAATTAAAAAGACACTTGCTCCTTGGAAGAATAGCTATGACAAACCTAGATGGTGTATTAAAAAGCAGAGATACCACATTGCCGACAAAGTCTATATATTCAAAGCTACAGTTTTTCCAGTAGTCATGTAAGGATGTCAGAGCTGGACCATAAATAAGGCTGAGCATTGAAGAATTGACACTTCCTAATTGTGGTGCTGGAGAGGGCTCTTGAGAGCCCCTTGGACAGAAATGAGATCAAACCAGTTAATCGTAAAGGAAATCAACTCTGAACAATCACAGGAAGGACTGCTGCTGAAGCTCCAATACTTTGGCCACCTGACACGAAGTGCTGACTCATTGGAAAAGACCCTGATGCTGGGAAAGATTGAAGGCAGGAGGAGAAAGGGACAAGAGAGGATGAGACGGTTGGATGGCATCACCGACTCAACAGACATGAGTTTGAGCAAACTCAGGGAGATAGTGAAGGACAGGGAAGCCTGGTGTTCTGCAGTTCATGGCGTTTCAGAGTTGGGCACAACTTAGCGACTGAACAACACATGCAAATCAAGAACTCTGTTACCTTGTTAGGATCTTCATACAGCATGATAACAATCTGAGTCATGTAGTTGAGTTCATTGACAACATTTAAATAATCCATAGCTCGTTTCCACTGTTCATCCTTTGATTCCTGAACAAAAGTATATAGTAAGCATTTTCTCATATTCCTTGAAAATCACTTTATTTTCATTATGACAGTTCATTTAATCCTAATTGACATCACACAAATGAAATACTTCCACACACAATCTTTCAAAATAACTCCACTAATTTAAATTTAATAAATCACCTAAGCTTAAATAATTTTAATTCTCTTATCAGTAGTATTAGAAACTCTAGTGGTTTTTTCTTTTTTTTTTAGTAACTCATAGAAAGTAAAAATAAAGATTATCTTGAGATATGATACCTATTAATTGAATTTTGAGGGTAAGGGGCAGTTGTTAACCTTAAGTTTCAATGTAACTAATATAGTGTCATGCTTCATAAACCAAACACTATCCCATGAAAGTAATGACTATAATTAAATATCTCTCATTCCACTGTAGTTTTTTAAACTGTAGATATTTTAAAACAATCAGCAGGAGAAAGCACAGGCAGATTCTTAAAACCATCTCCTTCATTCTTAAAATCACTCCACCATGATTTAGAGAATCAATGGTCTTTAAACATGTAATTAAAGAGCTTCAGAACTGAAAGGGACCTTACAGAACACGTATTACAAGCATCAAAGTAGAAAATTCTATCTCAAAAGGCAAAACTACTCAAAGTTCAAACTCTACAATAATCAACAAGGTCTACTGAAATCTTATGTACATCAGAGATAATGTCCTTCATCTCATGTCATAAACATTACAAATATATAAACGCACCCAACAATTTTTTTGTATATAAGGGTTTTGTACATACACTGAGAGTATATAAGAGTTTCGGCTTTAGTATAGAATGTGTTTTAAGAAGAAATAAAATTTGATATGTAAAAGCCAAAAGTCAAGCCCACACGCTGATTTTTTTTTAATTCAACACATATTTCTTTTTTAAATTTGGACATCGTCTATCTCTGAGGAAGCATTCCAAGTTTTTGGAAAGTAAAGTTAAAGCAATATCATGTAATCTGTGTAATTACATGTATACTTAAGCCTCATCTCAACAAATGGCTATTAACACGTTTAAATGCTCCACAGCAGTTGCTCCCAACTTAAGCAACACTCCACAGTAAAAACTGCATCTGTGTGTTTGTGTGTGTGTCTATGTTTGAGGAGGGGGTATGTGCAAAGATGTATATACATTTTCTTTCAAAATTGATAGGAAAAACAAATTAGCATAGCATTACTGAATACCACTAGATGTGAATGATTATAAGTGATGGGCTTAAGTTAAATATTAAAAATTTTCAAGATTGAAAGGATCTATTAGATTCTGTGATATGGCATTATTAAGAACGCCATGTAATATCTAATTCAGTGGTACAGATACAGACTTTGCTAGATCTGCTGTAATGAAAAGATAAAACAAAATATTTTGCAGCATCTTCTTAAACACAATTAATATGCAAGAATTCATAAAAATCTTTTTTAAACAATTAAGGATCATTAAATATATTCCTTGAAATTTTATTTATAATCTTATTTCCTCAATAAATCTTTAAAAAAAAATCTATTAAGGAGAGACAGATTTTACCAAGTCTACATTAAAAAATGAAAAATCTCAACTGGGAAGAGACCATACAAGGTTTTAATTATATTAGCTACAGGCTCTTATTAGGATAATATGAGTTGGGATAATTAATTATGGTTCAAATAAATTTTTTAAAGTTTTAAAATGAGCAAACAGGACATCATTTTGGTATACAGCTTAATTTTCACTTTAATTGTTTTAAGTCCCAGAAGCCCAGGTTTTCACGGCAGTGGAGCTGTCCAGCTTTTGCTTTAGAAATGTAGCTGAATGCAGTACATACTACTGCCACCCACTCTTTAGATCACTGTGAGACAGCCTCCTAGCTGGCTTCCTCACACCCTTCTACCTATCTAATGCCTACACAGCAACCAAAGCCATTCAATTCCTTGCTTAAAACATTTCAAGGGCTTCCCAGTCCTGGAATGGCTCTCCAATCTTATTTGCGACAATTTGATCCATCATTCACTTTTATTCTCCAAGCATAGGCTTCCTATCCATTCCCATATCCTCTGTTCTTTCTACCTTATAATTAAGTGCAAGGTTAAAGGGTGATCACATAAGAAATGTATCTCTCCCCCCTCAAAACAATTCCATCATTATTAACGGATATATAAGCTCTTGCCTTTGCTAATTAAGAGTCATTTTTTTCTCTGTTTCTTTAATTAAAGCTTCACTAATCCACATGGACTTCCCAGCTGGCTCAGTGGTAAACAATCTGTCTGCCAATGCAGGAGATACAAGAGACGTGGGTTTGATCCCTGGGTCGGGAAAGTGCCCTGGAGTAGAAAATGACAACCTGCTCCAGTACTCTGGCCTAGAAAATCCCATGGGCAGAGAAGCCTGGCAGGCTACAGTCCATGGGTCACAAAGAGTTGGACATGACTGAGCGACTGAGCACACATACATAATCTGCATATGTAGTCAAGGGATGCCACTTTGCTACTCCATTAAGGAATAAAAAAAGAAAAACAAGGGGGAAAGAACAGATGAATTAGAAAAGTTGATGGGAATGGAACACTTCCACAGCCTTAGGGTAACTCTGTTAATAACTATTCATCAAGGCCCAATGATAACAGAGATTAAAAATCAAGAGACATATGCCAAACCTTCATGTATATTTCACTGCCCTTTATTTTAATAAGTACAAAAGAATATGAAGTTGAATTCATTTTCTTTTAAGGATTACTTTTTTATAGATGTGCATAAATGTATATACCTATATATATATATGTGTGTGTATATATATAAGTAAATTTTTTAATTCTTATTTTTTGGTAGCTTAGAGATGGCTGAAAAGATATTTTTGATATATAATAGAAGTGACAGTGTATTCTAGATAATCTGTGGTTTGAGTGTACTGAGAAAGGGGTATTATAATTTCTAAATCTGCCTGGTTAGCACTTTTACTGCTAATATCTAAAATGTCATTTTCCTCACTTTCTCAAATACAAACTTCCTGGGAATCTTATCAACAGCTGCTGCCTCAGCCATCATTAATGTGTTGGCTTCCCAACTCTTGTGCCTTCAACCCACACCTCTAGCCTTACATATGAACGTGCTACTGGTCATCTTCACTTGATTTATCTTCACCTGTTTATCTCACTATTGTATGTTGAACGTATGACAGACAGATAATTCGTGTCTTCATTTCATAGGTCTTTGAAATGAGATTGAGTTCTCTTGAGAACTAGTGCCTCAAACTCAAGCTGTCTAAAACTAAACTCATTGCTTTCCTTCTAACGCCTGATATTTCCGCAAATGTTACTCATCTCAGTGAATCATGGATAATTTTGTAGATGATCCTATGTTGGTAATATGGGAACTTTCCTTGACTCTCCTTTCTTACTTTCCATACCTGTACGTACAGGAAGGGCCTCAAGGAGAGTGTTAAGGCAAGTTAAGATGCCTCAAAAAGAGTGTTAATAAAAGCCTAAAGGACACTGAGGAGACTGTTGGTGAGGGATCATAGGAGGGTTAAAAAAACCTTATTGGAAACTATAGGATAAAAAAATGCTTGCTACGTAGTGGCATAAAATACAGAAATACTATAGCCTGTAGATAGTGGATTTCAACGAACTAGCTACTAAGATTTCCTGAAAAAATTCTGAAAACACCACCAAGATTCTTCTCGTTGCCTCTGATAAACATTGAGGAGAGGGTGATAAGCTATAGGAAATGGTTAATTAAAAAGGAACCAAGACTTGCAGGAATCAGAAATAAAACTGTTTCTTATTTCCAGCCTTTCCAGAGAGTAAACAATGCTATAGTTAAAAAGTGGCTTTTAGGAAGAATGGAAACACAAGAATCTGTCATGAAAACATGGGTATTATGGTAAAAACACTTGCTAAGACTTCAGAAAGACTTGGGGCTCACAGATTTTTCAAAGACACGATGACTTCTTAGGATCATATGAGCATGTCTCTCAGATACTCCCTATTAAACAATATAGACTGCTGAGTACTCTCTCAGCAGCCGAAGAAGGAGTCCAATGTACAAACAGACTTATTCTTAAGAGATCCGTGGGAATGAATTAATACAGTAGATTATAAATTATTCCTTTTTTTAAAAAAATTATACCATCTTGAACTAAAAGTAAACAGACCTTTGGATCTCCAAACTTCTTTGGGCAGGAAGCAGGTTAAAAAACTACTTAGCTGCAAGCATGAGCTACTTTTTATGGAGAAGGAAGGATGACTTAGATGAAGCCATTAAGAATCAAAAGTATAAAGCCATGAACCATTAAAAACAACTCCTAGTATGACAGAGCCCTGATTAAGGAATGGGCATTAAGTATCTAGGCACACAAAACTGCTATGGACCAGTGACCGTGGTGTAACTTCTGTTTTCCCCTCTTTCTGAAAAGGTTGCCTACAGCAGTTATTCTGTGCTTCTCAATACTGTATGTCAAATATATGACAGGCAGATAATTGGTGTCTTCATTTCACAGGTCTCTGAAACAAGACTGAGTTCTCCTGAGCACTCAAGAGGTTCTGCCCAAAGAGTCCCACCCATATCTGGACTATTTAGATAATGAGATCCTGGCGGTCAAGTTTATGCTGTAATAGGTAAGCCTAGAGGAATACTGTAGAGATTAAGTGAATTCTGCGCGTGGGAGAAATATGGATTGTATGGTAACATACTGTGACAGACCCTGTTTTTCAAATATGGCCGCCAAAACATAACCGACCCCAAGGACTCATCTGACAGTGAGTGACAAGTGATATCCACTCATCTAGTACTATGGGTCCATTTCCTCTTCCTTGAACCTGGATGGATCTCTGTGACTACTTCAACCAAAAATGCTTGGTAAAAGTGAAAGCATGTAACTTCACAGCTTAGATCATAACAATACTTTGTGTTTGCTCTTTTTTCTCTTAGTGCACTTCTGGAACTCAGCAGCTATCTTCTGAGGAATACGCTGTATTCTGAGGTCACATGAAGAGGCCATGGTAGGTATTCTGGTCCATAACCCCAGCTGAGCCCCCACCTGACAATCAGCACATTAAGAACTAGATATGAGGAAAAAGCTGTGAGGTGGTTTGAGCTCCAGCCACTGTCTGACTGCAATCTCATGAGAGACACAATGCAAAACTGCCTAAATGACCCAAGTCAAGCATTTAACCATGACAGAGAAAAAAAAAAATGCCTGTACTTGTTTTAAGCCAGTAAGCTTTGGTACTGATTCATTATGTTACAGTAAGTAAGAGTCGCACGTCCAAACACCAAATCCTATCGATTCTAACCCCTAAATAATGCAAATTCATCAGCTTTTCTTCATCTTTCTATCACCGGCTTGTAGAGATCACTTAGAATATTTTGTATTGTTGTTAGCCTAAAGGGATTTTCTCCAGAAGGAAGAAAACAAGTCATTATCTCCAACATCTAGCACAGTGCTTGGTAAACAGTAGACTCTTGACAAATGATGGCAAATAATGAATTATTAAAAACTGTACAATAAAAAATGATGTCAGTGATCTGATTACAAATTCAGTAACACATATTTGTTAAGTAGATTGATGTAACTTATTCTACTTACATCGCATAAGGCACCATAGCGAAGAATAGACAGCAAAGAATGTACGTGACTTTCACTGGTAAAATATAATCTGGTACGGACATGACGTTCAGGTGACAGAACCCCTCTGGAATACCTAAAAGTCAGAAGCAGACAGTGTTAAAACATTACCATACAGTTAAGACTTATTAAGTACTGAAATTATTTTGTAAAATGGAATTTAATCTTTCTAGAAGTAAAAGAACATAGTAAGTCAATCTATCACTCTTTCAATCACAAATTGAGGTGTTCTTAGTAGACATTTCTCTAACATGAAGATAACTGAAACTAACTGAGACCACCGAAATTAGTCAAAGAAGAGTTAATATTAGTCAAGTTCACTGTAAGAAGGTCATTTAAGCACCTTTATTACTAATGAAAGATCACATCACTAAAGGAGCTCACAGACGCTAATGCTGCTGAACGAGGGTGATCACTGATGATCGCATGTGAATGGTTAACACACATCCCCTTTCCCTGTGTCCCTCAGTGTTTTCCTCCAGTTTGGAGCCAAAAAGAATACAGGTCAAAAAGTTCCCTATTAGGAGCATCTAGGTGATCTGTATTTCCACAGTGTACCAAGTGATACACTCCTGCCTTAGTCACAGGAACAACAAAAATTTAGATTTCAAGTATGCAAAAACAGATGCCTATAGACTTAAATACCAGTACAGTCTCTTACACAGGATGGAGTTTATTTACAGTGTCATCATCTTGTGTCCTTTGAAGATCTGAGCGAATTTTTCTAACTAGAGGAGTACAGTAGCCTTTGGCAATCTCCAGTTTTTCAGCTTTAGTTATACCATATTCCTGAGCAGAAAATACACACTATTAGAAAAAGGGTATAATAATAAAGAACTCCAATAAAGGTATTACTAAATTTAAGAATTTTAGTGAGTGACAAATATTTTTATTAAGCCTTTTTTGAACATTACACAATTCCTAGTTTACATTTCCACAACTTCAAGTATATTAGTCCCCAAACTATTCAGTGTAATTAGAAGAATATTTTTTGGTGGAACTGAAAAAAAAAAGTAATTTCTAAAGAGGAGAGGATGAATGATGAATGCAACCGTTATGATAAGTATTCAACTCAATAAGGTTTTAAATGTAGAAACAACCCTAAAAGAAAGATGGATTAAGTGCACAACTAGTAAAGCATAGAACAAATACTCAATAAACATAAAGAAATACAAATTGAAACCATGAAATTTGTCTATTTGAATGTCAAAGATTAAAAAGGTTAACAAATTATTTTAGTCTTTGGCCAATACAAAGTTTTAACGAGTGGTGAGCCAAAAATGCCATGAAATTATAAAATTTAATGAGCTATATTGCCATTATAAATTAATCAAATTTATGAGAAATTATAATCAAAAGTGTTAAGATAACAGTAATTATAATAGTAATAAAAATTACAGTTCACAGGGATAGATGAGAAAATGATCTGACATGAAAAAATAATTTTTTGCATTAATTAATTAACTGCTTTAATTAGGAAATTGCTATAATAAAACAAGTAACACCATACATTATTTTTCCAATGAGCTTTGGTTTGAGAAACTGAACAGCAGAACTAGATCTTTAAGCTTTGACTCATGGCAAAGCTGGCAGTTCTCTGAAATCTGGGAGATGTGTCAGCAAAATTAGACACAGCCCACCCTTCACCAAAATCCTGGAGAAAAGTGTTTCATGCCTTTGGGGGAGTAAGACTGAACGCTGGCTAGGATACGACTTGTTGAAGCCCAGGGAATGACAAGAAATACTGGTACTGGTGGCAGGCAAGAAATAAACTGTGGGGCTGACCAACTGCATATTTTATTAGAGGCTTTAAATTTAAAAAGTGAAATGCTTCATTGCGTTTTCTCAGAAACTAATCAAAAGAGTGCAGTCCTACACAATTTGGAGACACAAAGTGGATGCTGGGCGACTATAGAGGTCACTCCAGGTGTGGAATTTTGGAAAGTCAGTCCTTGGAGTGAATGGCACTGTGGCTCTGGCAGCAGATACGAAGGAATGATGCTCTGGAGAGGAGGTAGGGGGACATTCTGCGGTCGGCCGCGGGACAGATGAGGGTTCCACCTGGAGGTGGGATCTTTAATTCTATGGTCTATCTTCCACTGCTCATGTCTCTGTCTTTGTAAATGGTAACTGGGCCATAAAGAGAGCTCAGCGCCGAAGAATTGATGCTTTTGAGCTGTGGTGTTGGAGAATACTCTTGGGAGTCCTTTGGACAGCAAGGAGATCCAACCGGTCCATCCTAAAGGAAATCAATCCTGAATATTCATTGGAAGGACTAATGCTGAAGCTCCAATACTTTGGCCACCTGATGCGAAGAACTGACTCATTAGATAGAACCTGATGTTGGAAAAGACTGAAGGCAGGAGGAGAAGTGGATGACGGAGGATGAGATGTTTGGATGGCATCACCAACTCGATGGACATGAGTTTGAGTAAGGTCCGGGAGTTGGAGATGGACAGGGAAGCCTGGCGACCTGCAGTCCATGGGGTCGCAAAGAGTTGGACATGACTGAGCCACTGAACTGAAGAAAAAAATCTGTGATGAGTGTATAAATAGGAAGAGAAGGTTTAAGAGGAAGAAGGCAGAAAGGGGGTAAAGGCAGAGGGAAGCAGGGACAGAGAAAGAAGGAAGAGTAGACATAATGAGGGAAGAAACAGGCACACATTCTCTCCCCAAGATTTTTCTGGGACACCTGTATTTAAAGGTTACATAAGGTACTTCCCAGATGGCAAAAAATTAATATGGACAACGAATCTCAAAGCTGCCTAATAAAAAAAAAGGTTGACTGATTACACATGGAAGATGTATGAAAATGGAACTTCTTGGGTCATTTACCTTTAAACACAAAAGTTTGGTTGGTGTGGTAATCTCACTAACATAAAGAAATTGGGCATGAAAAATATGAAATGTGTATGTAACTGCATATGTATGTGCAAACAAAAGGAAAATGCTGAAATTTAAAATCATCAAAGGAAATTTTTCTGTCATTATCGGGCAAGGTACAAGTAAACAGTCACTCTCATACACTGAGTGCCTGGAAGAAAGCTGGTAAGAGATCCGGAGCTACAGGGATAGTCTTAACTGCACGTAAAGACATACATAAGAAAAGTGTAAGAAATTAAAGGAATCCTCATTTCCAAATGCGAAAAGTTGGTTAAATAGTATTTCATTGGCTATTAGGAATAATGAAGTATATTTAGCTTTACCGATTTGGAAAAAACTTCTTGAGGCCAAGAAAAAAAAAATCAGGTTGTAAAACAGTATGCTTTCCTGGTTCCATTTTTGCAAAGAACATATTTGTTATATATATATGAATTTACCAAAAAAAAAAAGTCAATGATTTTAAGGGAAAAGGCCTTTCAGAATTTTCTGTAACTGAAATGTTTTTGTCTAATTGGTAATGCCATATTGATTTTTTTTTTGGCCATATATGTTCCAATTTTACAACAAAGATATATTATTTTCATAGTAAAGACTTCTTTCCCTTTAAAACAGTGACATATATTGTGGATCTGAAAAAGCAAGTTGCCACAACCAGTTAGGACCAAATAAATAACTGTTAGATGCCCAAGTTCTCTTATAATTATAGTATTTCTGCCATAAAAAGAACTGACTAAAATAACAGCTGAAGATATTTGAAAGTTTATTATGTGACACATTTAATAAGTATCATTGGAATTTATATTGCAAATACTATTATAAAGAACTCTCTGCATTTCATTATCTACAAATAACCAAAGAAATGATCTTCCAACTTCAACAAATGTGTGCCATCTCAATTCAGTTCAGTTTAGTTCAGTCGCCATCTCAATTAAGAGAATCTTAATATTAAATATAATCTTTTATTTTAATTTAATTTCATTTATTAAAATGTACATATAAAAATACATACAAAATATTATGAATTCTAAAAACTTTGCAAATGCTAAAGTATTTTAAACATTTCCAAAGGATAATTCAACTATATCAAATATTATTATAATCTTTAAATATCCTTATCTTCCATCATACCATTGAGGCTATTTTTACTATTCAATCTACTGAGATAATGTTGGTTTATAACATGTTTCATGCATACAGCTTCTGTATAAACTACAGTATGCGCAACATCAAAAACTTAGCTTCCACCCATTACCATACAAATGACCCCCTTTACTCAATTCACCTCCTTTCCCTTTTAGTAATTACTACTCTGTTCTCTATAAATATGTTTCTTTTGGTAGGTTTGCTCACTTATTTAAAAAATTTTTAATATTTCACATTTATGTGAAATTATATAGTATCAGTTTTCATCTGAAAGACTTATTTAATGCAATATCCTCAAGGTCCATCCATGTTGCCACAAATGACAAGATGACACATATCTTTTTTAAGGCTGGGTAATATTCCACTGTATTATATACCCTCCTTCATCCGTTCATTCATCAATGGGCAATTTCCATATCTTGGCTATTGTAAATAATGCCACAGTGAACACAGGGCTGTATTCAAATTACTCTCTTCATATTTTTTAGATAAATGCCCAGAAGTGGAATAGCTAGATCATACACTAGTATTATTCTTAAGTTTCTGAGGGACGTCCAAACTGTTTTCCATAGTAGCTGCACCAATTTACATGCCTGCCAACAGTGTACCAGGGTTCCCTTTTCTCCACATCCTTTTCAGTACTGATTACTTCTTGCCTTTTTGATAACAGCCTGAGATGATTCTAACAGGCCTGAGATGATCTCTCATTCTGTTTTTTATTTGCACTGTCCTAATAATTAGTGATGATGAACATCTTTTCATGAGTTTCTTGGCAGTCTGTATGTCTTTTTTGGAAAAATTCTTAGCTCTTTGGCTCACTATTTAATTGGGTTATTTGGGGTTTTTGTGGAGTTACAGGAGTTCTTCACATATTTTTATTATCATCTCCAAATTGAATATATGATTTGCAAATATCTTTTCTCATTTGGTAATTTGTCTTTTCAATATTTAATGTACAGAGGCTTTTTAGTTTGATGTAATCCCATTTGTTAGTTTTTGTTCTCTTCTTCAGTTGTTGCTCAATCACAAACTCTTTGCAACCCTATGGACTGCAGCACGCCAGGTTTCCCTGTCCTTTACCATCTCCCAGGGTTTACGCAAACTCATGTTTGAGTCGGTGATGTCATCCAACCATCGCCTCTGTTGTCCCCTTCTCCTCCTGCCTTCAGTCTTTCCCAGCATCAGGGTCTTTTCTAATGAGTTGACTCTCCACATCAGGTTGCCAAAGTATTGGAGCTTCAGCATCAATCCTTCCAATGAATATCCAGGATTGATTTCCTGTAGGATTGACTGGTTTGATCTCCTTGCAGTCCAAGGGACTCTCAAGAGTCTTCAACACAACAGTTCAAAAGCATCAATTCTTTGGCACTCAGCCTTATTTATGGTCTAATTCTCACATCCATACACGACTACTGAGAAACCACAGCTTTGACTAGATAGACCTTTGTCAGTAAAATAATGTCTTTGCTTTTTAATACACTGTCTAGGTTTGTCATAACCTTTCTTCCAAGGAGCAAGCGTCTTTTAATTTCATGATGCAGTCGCTATCTGCAGTGATTTTTGAAGCCCAAGAAAAAGTCTGTCACTGTTTCCCCTTCTGTTTGCATGAAGTGATGGGACTGGATGCCATGATCCTCCTTTTCTGAATGCTGAGTTTTAAGCCAGCTTTTTCACTCTCCCCTTGCAAATTCATCAAGAGGCTCTCTGGTTCTTCTTTACTTTCTGCCAAAAGGGTGGTGTTATCTTCATATCTGAGGTTATTGATAGTTCTCCCGGCAATCTTGATCTCTCTTCCAGTAGGTGGCACCATAGCACAAGCTTTCGGTTTTTCTTAAGCCACCGGTTGGTTGTATCTGAGAAACTTTTGACACTCCACTGCACCTGCTAGGTGTGGTCACCTGGTGTCCCTGTCCCTACTGTTGCCTCCAGGGTTGCTGGTGCCTTGTTTCTATGGGTGCTGCCAGGGTCTCTGCCCAGGCCGCTGGGAAAAGGAGCCCCTCCACTGCGTCCAGGATCTCCCAGGTCTCAGGCTTTGCCACTACAAGGGGACAAAGAGGTGGGGGAAGGGAGCCAGGATCACAGGAACCCCTTTCATGTCTAGGGTTGTTAGTGTTCATGGGCACTGCCACGGCCAGCGTGGTGAGAGTTGCAGCTCTTACCTCCACAGTGGGAGGGCCTCCATGGCTGGAAGGATGGGGTGGCAGGCCCCAGGACCGCTAGCGCCCAGTCCCTCGCAGCCACGGGTGCCACTGCAGCCGAGACGCTGGAGTTGTGTGTGCCACCGCCCCTAAAGCTCCTGCGTTCTCTGAGGCTCAAGGCTCAGCCTTGAGGACCAGAGGTCTGGGAACACAGGCACGTGCTCTGTTTCCTAGCCCAGCTACTTTCAGGTATAAGATGGACAGAATTTTGTGATGTCCTGGTGTGTTAAGCAGAGGCACCTTTGTTGAGTTGTATATATTTAACTGGTTGTTGATTGAAGGGGATAGACAAAGGGAGCATGTTACATGGCCATGATGCTTGATGTCACATCCCACTGTGACTATTTTTAAAGTACCTTCTTTTTTTTGGCTGAGCCACACAGCTTGCAGGATCTTAGTTCCCCAACCAGGGATTGAACCCAGGCTCTCAGCAGTGCAAGTGCTGAGTCCTAACCACTGGATTGCCAGGGTATTTCCAATTTCTAAGTATCATTTTTAGAGGACTGAGGCTGAAAAGTTGAGTCTATCACAGCAAAAATACATACCATAATCACACCTATTAACTGTTACAGTAACTAAAAGTAATAAATCATGTTTATCATATGTAAGAAAAGATCCTGATGCTGGGAAAGACTGAAGGCAAAAGGAGAAGAGGGTGGCAGAGGATGAGATGGTTAGATAGCATCAGTGATTTAATGGACATGAATTTCAGCAAACTCTGGGAGGTAGTGAAGAACAGGGAAGCCTGGCGTGCTGCAGTCCATAGGGTTGCAAAGAGTCGGACATGACTTAGCAACCGAGCAACAACAATATGATTAGAATTACATAATTCACAAAGCATAGTTATAACAATTAACGCAATGTAAGAGTGAAAACAGATTTTTTTGAGGCATAGCAGAATATATATACCTTTTTCTTAGAAAGATACTGATACTCTCTCAATCAAATATATTATTTGACTGAGTCATCAAGTCTCTAAGCTTGAAATATCTTTGTCAAGTAAACATGCAAATTTCTCATTTTTTATTATAAACTACAGCTTCATTATAATTAAATATGTTTACAACTTTAGTTATTTGTTCAGTGACTGAAAAAGTCTATCTCTTGCCTATGATTTTACATTTATGCAGAGTTTAGTAACAAAATTTAACTGAGTGAATTCAACTGTGCATTAAAAAAGAGGAAATCCCAAGTTTCTGCATAACAATGTCAAACCAAAAAGGGAGGTAAATATCTCAAACTTTTCCTAACCATTTCTAATCTTTAGTGTTTCTTTTAATTATAAAGTTTTAAAAAATTATAAATATTTAAATTACAAGGACTTGGTGAAAATTTTCTTCATCTATGTAAGTAACATACCTAAAACACATACACCATGGAAGTAGGAAAATTTATCATCTAAAACTCATTAATATGTAAGTTTTCTTTTGAGCCCAAGTCTTAGAAACAGACTTTCCATTCCCAACTCTAGAATTCTTAGTATACATAATTGAGAAAGAAGAGGGCTGAGATTAAAGAAGCTACGTACAAGACATGATTATGCTAATAAATCTTCAGTGTATCTATTTAGCCACCAAGTAGGTGAGACGTTAAGATATACTGAAAGCCTACCTTGACAAATGCATACAGCTACAAAAATATTTCAGAGGGTCAGATATTTACAGCTTATCTGTTAAAAGTATACTTTAAAATAATCTTCATTTTAAGAGTAAGTACAACTAAGATGCATTGAGCCTGGAATAATGTAAAAGCAATTCAATACAATGGAAAAAAAATCAGTCTTATGTATGCTTCCAGGGCAAACTAATTACATACTTATCAGAAATAAGAGTAACCATTCTCCTCAAATTTTTTAGTAAGTAAAATCTGAATAAATTCTCTCTTGAATTTCATAACAAAGATAGATGCTGATTTAGTAACTTTACTGAAAGAGATACAATCAAATCAGTGTTAGTTCTATAATCTTCTATGTACACCATGTAGCTAAAACAGAGTTCTGCAGAATTTAGTGTGTTCATTTTTATATTAATCTTAAAATGTTATAAAAATACAACTTTTTATTGTGTAAAATAAAATTTGTTTTGCAAAATGAAACTTTTATTTAACAAATGAAAGATGCTATCAGAGAGTCAATTCTTATTTTCTAAGTCTGTATTTCTTAAAATGAGTCCCAAAGGCACATTCTTAAAGTATGAGATATTTTTACCCTCTTTTGAAATCAATTTATTTTCAAATCACTGATTTATACAATATATTTATAATCATCTACATTATATATACTGACCAAAAAGAAAAAAAGTTGCTTTTTCATGTTGAAAGGATAAGCTAAACTTTAACAGGTACACACATACTTAGTTATGAAGTCTGAATTCCCAATTTTTCAAAGTCTCTATAGTTTTTCACGGACATTCTGTGATATTAGGAAAGGGAAACTGCAGTTTTAATTATAGTGGATTTACAGTACTATGTTAGTTTCAATTGTACAGCAAAGTGATTCAGTTTTTTATATATATATATTTTCAGATTATTTTCCACTATAGGTTACTACAAGATACTGAATATAGTATCCTATGCTATACAGTAAATTTGTGTTACTTATCTATTTTGTGTATAGTAGTTTATATTCCATATTTTTTATTTATTCCTTCCCCTCTCTCCTTCCATTTTGGTAACTGTAAGTTTGTTTTCTATGTATAGGAGTCTGCTTCCACTTTTTAATATTGATTCATTTGTATTATTTTTTAGATTCCACATGCAAGTGATAACATCTCACTTAGTACAATGTTCTCTAGGTCCATCCATGTTGCTGCAAACAGCAATATTTTATTTTTATGGCTGAGTAATATTCCACATGCATGTATACACCATATCTTAAACCAATCATACGTTGATGGGCACTTCAGTTGTTTCTATGTCTTGGTTATTATAAATAGCACTCCTATCAACATTGGGGTGCATGCATCTTTTTGAAATAAGAGTTTTTATCTTTTCTGGATCTATGGCAGGGAAAGGGATTGCTGGATCATACAGTAGCTCCAGTTTTAGTTATTAAAGAACTTCCCTATTGTTTTCTACATATGAGTATCTTTAAGTGAGGCTTTTTAAAAAATATACAGTCCTTACACTATTCATGTACAGTGACTCCTGAACAACATGGAAGTTAGGAGTGCCAACCCTCCATGCCACTGAAAATTTAAGTGTAACTTACTTGTGGCTCTGCATCCATAGCAGATGCAACCAATCATGGATCTGTGGATCGTGCAGTACTGTAGTATTTACTATTGAAAAGAATCCACATGTAGGTGGATGCACTATAGTTCAAACCCACGTTGTTCAAGAATCAACTGCACTTCCTTCTCCTGTTTGTAACCTCGGTTCACAGCTGGAAATGTGTGACTTACTCCAATCTCCCTTTCACAATGTCCAAATAACCTTTGAGTGATGAATGTGAGAAAAGATCTCCAAACGGCATCTGTCACTGTTTTCTTCTAACACATCTCTTATCTCAACTTGTTTTGTCACTTGACTTGTTATTATCAGTCTGATTCTATGTTTAATTTTAGTTATCTGAGTTTTAGTAGACCTTTATTTTTATTCTCCTATAACGAAAAGACCCCTCTACCATACCATACAAATAACTATTTACATCTTGACCTCTAAATATTCTTTTCAAAATACTTTCACATAAAGTAAAAAAATAAACAACTTCCAAAATTAACATAGAGACACAACTACCTCTGCCTCCCACTCTACACGCATCCCCACAGCACAGCACTGGCATGCACACAATGAACGCTCAGTAAATACTAAGGTGATTTATCCCATTGTACCTTCAGTTGTTTGTTCTTTAATTATTTTTTAATTACTCTTTAAGAGTATCAATTCTTAAAATTTAAAAGGTCATTACAAACTATTAAAAAATCAAACAGTGATTTCATACAAGAAGTTTTTGTAAATTCATTACAACTCAATTTCCTTTTTAAAGTTATAGGTTTACTGAGACACAGAAACCAACTTTCTCTTAACAGTGGATAGATATTTTAAAAGTATCTATAGAAAAGTACCAGAAAATTGAAATGTAGAAATTACTTACCTGAGGGATAACTATATCTGCTAGCGCCTTTGAAAGCCTATATAATTCCATCGTGTCTTCTAATTTCAAGGAACCATTATGTTGGACATCGTATTTTATACAGTCATATATGTCAGGGATCTTGCTAATATCATATCTTCCATTTTTTGTCTTAAAGTCTTTCTCCAACTTGGACCATCTACGGAGCATGAGCTCTAAGGTCTCACTATGATAAAGCTGAATATCTAAAACAACATAACAATTTTACTATATTAAACTTGTAAACAAGCTAGGAAATATCATCATAGGCATATACTATTAGCAACCATATATTCTGTAGATTTGAATAAAGGTACAAATGCATGGGTTAGGAACTGTTTTTATAAAAGACCTTCCCATATGTTACATACATCAGTTTCCCAGCCACTCTCAGCACCAGAGCACAGATCACCTTCCTACTGCTTTCTCCTTCTTATCATGCTGCCTGTTTGTTGCTCAGCTGTATGGTTTTTTGTTTGTTCTTTAGTCACTCAGTCGTGTCCAACTCTTTATGACCCCATGGACTATAGCTCGCTAGGCTCCTCTATCCATGGGATTTCCCAGGCAAGAATACTGAAGTGGGTTGCTATTTTCTTCTCCAGGGGATCTTCCCCACCCAGTGATCGAACCTGTTTCTTGCATTAGCAGGCAGATTCTTTACCACTGAGCCACCAGGCAAGCCCCAACTGTACGGTAATGCTACATAATTAATCAATGAACAATGTTTTATTATCTTTCTCACGATACCATAGTTAAAAGCAACTATAACTTTGCTATTATTCTTTTGCTGGATATATATTAACTCAAATAATACTTAGATATAGCAATAAACTAAGGAAAATTCTGAAAGAGATGGGAATACCAGACCACCTGACCTGCCTCCTGAGAAATCTGTATGCAGGTCAGGAAGCAATAGTTAGAACTGGACATGGAACAACAGACTGGTTCCAAATTGGGAAAGGAGTAGGTCAAGGCTGTATATTGTCACCCTGCTTCTTTAACTTCTGTGCAGAGTACATCACAAGAAACTCGGGGCTGGATGAAGCACAAGCTGGAATCAAGACTACCGGGAGAAATATCAATAACCTCAGATATGCAGATGACACCCTTATGGCAGAAAGCAAAGAACTAAAGAGACTCTTGATGAAAGTGAAAAGAGGAGAGTGAAAAAGATGGCTTAAAGCTCAACATTCAGAAAACTAATATCATGGCATCTGGTCCCATCACTTCATGGCAAACAGATGGGGAAACAGTGGCAGACTTCATGTTTTGGGCTCCAAAATCACTGCAGATGGTGACTACAGCCATGAAATTAAAAGACGCTTACTCCTTGGAAGGAAAAGTTATGACCAACCTAGACAGCATATTAAAAGCAGAGACATTACTTTGCCATCAAAGGTTCGTCTAGTCAAAGCTATGGTTTTTCCAGTAGTCATATATGGATGTGAGAGTTGGACTATAAAGAAAGCTGAGCACTGAAGAATTGATGCTTTTGAACTGTGGTGCTGAAGACTCTCAAGAGTTCCTTGGACTTTAAAGAGATCCAACCAGTCCATTCTAAAGCAAATCAGTCCTGAATATTCATTGGAAGGACTGATGCTGAAGCTGCAGCTCCAATACTTTGGCCACCTGATGATGCAAAGAACTGACTCATTTGAAAAGACCCTGATGCTGGGAAAGATCGAAGGTGGGAGGAGAAGGGGCAACAGGGGATGGGATGGTTGGATGGCATCACCAACTCAATGGACATGAGTTTGGCTAAACTCTGGGAGTTGGTGGTGGACAGGGAGGCTTGGCGTGCTGCGGTCCATGGGGTTGCAAAGAGTCGGACACGACTGAGCAACTGAACTGAACTGATAGCATTAAAGCTCTTTTATGATTGGTGAATCTTATTTTAAAATGTTTACAGAAATGGGATAGTGATTTTTATTTTCTGACCCCAGGAAAACAATATTTACCTGATGATTTGGGATCTTCCATTCGATGTCTGATTTGAGAAGTCAAACTTTGTATCAAGGAATACACCGTGTCACAGGTCTTTACAGGATTTTTAATTAAATGCATTGATTTGATAAGAGAAATGCTTCCAGATGGAGTAAGCTACAAATGAATAGAGTATACATTTTTATATCTGGTTATGCTCAACTGACCAAAAGGACAATATACAAAATTTCCTAGTAGCTGGAGATTAAATTCAAACTACAAATCCCCAGATCTGTAGTTAAATTAAATCTGCAGATATAGAAGAGGAAATAAAAAACTAAAAATTTCATGTTAAAAAAATCCTAAACCTTAGATAACATTAGATTATCCACAGGGAAAATCTAACAAAAGTGCTCTAACTTACAAAGAGATTTATGCTAACATAGTGATATTTTACTGACTCACTTGGTATTTGAAAATACGGTTTAATCATTTGACACATATTGACAAGTAATAACCCTAAGGCTATGATTATCATCACTTTTCCCAGATGAGGTACTTAAGAAAGATTAAAGCACCTTTCTCAAGATCAAACCACTAGTATGTAAACAGTGGCATAAAAAAGCAGGTAACCTGGCTAGAGACCTGAGCTCTTAACCATCATGTAAACGCCTTTGTGATGAGATTTCTTCCAAGTCAACAAAAGCCATTAATGACAAAACAGTTTCAATTTTCACTGTTGAAACTTTGCTTGGCAATTCAACCCTAAATAAGTTTCCATAAATACAAAAAATGTAAAGTGGAATTCCACTTCTTGTTATGGTGAACTAATTAATTTGGGTCAAACTAAAGACTGAAGCTTGGACAAAAGTGAAGTCCAGGATTTCCAGAGGTGGAACTCTAGTAAACTCTGCATTTGGGGTTCAAAAAAGTTATAAACTGTAGTCTGCATTTTTAACAAGAACTTAGATGACTCTTATTCAAGTATGAGTTTGAAAAACACTCTCATTCCAGAGTCCTTGCCTTGTCCAGGAAGAGGGTAAGAGCATGATGTAAACATTCAATTGGTAGATATCATTAAAGCCTACTGTTACTCTGGGGTAATGACAAAACAAATAATAAAATCAAACACAATTTTAAAACTACCAGGGAAATAAATAAATAAAAAGTACCAATTCCAATGAAGCAAGAAAGGAGAAAAATAAAAATAGGCAGTATAAATATAAAGCACTTAACAGGATAATAGAGTCATACATAAATTTGAGTATTTTATAATACAAATGAAATAACTGCCCTAAACAACGATTTTCACAACTAAAAAAAACTACATGCAGATTTTAAGAGATGCATCTAAAAATAGTTTCAGAAAGACTAAAAGAGATACGAAGGGTATTATACAAAAACCAAGTAAAAGAAAAAATTTTTGCAGCTATATTAATCTCAAAGTATTCTGAGGCAAAAAAATACTCACTGAGACATACCAATTCTAATTTGTATGCACTTAATAGCATGGCATCAAAACACATAAAACAAAGATTAAGAGACTACAAAGACAAGAAAAATCCATAATTACAGGTGGGAAATTTAACATACAACAGTAAAGAAAGAAAAAACAGACCAAAAAACATCAGGAGGACTATCTATTTTTACCAAAATGATATAAAGTTAGAAATAACAAAAATATAACTTAAAAATGTATCAGTTTGGAAATTATAAAAGTACACTTCTAAATAACCTATGATCAAGGAAATCACAATTAGAATATGCCCCAAATGGCACAAACCTCAGTTTATGAATACAGCCAAAACAGTGTATAAAGGGAAATTTATGGCATAGAATGTGTGTTTTAGAACAGATGGAACATTCATGATTTAATTAACATCCTTCTAGGGACATTAGTTTTTAAGAGTTAGAGCAAAATAAAACTGTAGAAGTGGAAGGAATAAATTAAACAATAAAAATTAATAAAACTGAAAACAAGTACATAATTTAGGGCACCAATAAATCTGAAAGACAGCTCTTTTACAGGACTAATAAAGCTCATCAACTATGGCAAAAGTGATTAAGAAAAAAAAGGGGGGAGAAAGACTGTACAACGTTATGAAACAAAAAGAAGTGTCTCTACTGATCTTGCAGACATTACAAAGAACTTAAGAGGACTGTATAAACAAATTTCTAGACAAATGTAACAATACAGACACAAGATACAATAAATAAAAATTACTAAATTACTCTAGGAACCATAATTATAAGTTTTCCCATAAAGAAAATGCCCATGGGATTTATCAGTAAATTTTACCAAACATCTAATGAAACATATATACATGAATTATTCCCTCCAAGGAGGACTCCCTAATTTTATGAAAACAGCATAATCTTGATATTGAAAGCAGACAAAGACAACAGGGATAAAAAAATAAAGGTCAATTCGACTCATGAACATAAATGTAAAACTCCTAACCAAAAATATTAGTAAACCCAAACCAATGAGATATGTAGTTTTGAAATGACTTTATTCTAGGAACCAAGGTAGACTCTATCAAAAATCATATATTTAACAAACAGAAAGAGAATATAAAATGTAAAAACTTGTCATGACAAAAACTTTTAACAAAAATCTGCAGAGATCATACTTAATGCACAGTGTTAAAAAAGCTTTCCCTTTGAGAATATGAACAAACACAGAAAAGCCACTCAATTTAATATGACTTTGATGGTGCTAGCAATTAAAGCATAGCAAGAAAAAGAATTAAAAGCATAAAGATAGGAAAGGAAGACAAAAACCTGTGGATATCTTTTGGAAAGGTTTTTTAAAAACTGAGATACATTACCAAGTTAATGAATAACCAAGTTAATAAATAAGTTTAATATAGTTGACATATATGAAGTCAATATTAAACAAACTTTGTACATAGCAGCAACAGATAGTAACCATTTTAGAGGTACCATTTATAACACAAATATTTTTTAAAAAATATGTTTTTTTACAAACTAAAGATCTAATCAATCTAAATCAATATTCCAACAAGACCTTTGGCCAGCTTATTTTAAACTTCATATGGAAATACAAGAAAAGTCAAGAAAACTTGAAGAAGGACCCATGTAGGATTTGGGAGATCTCATTCAATGGCAGAAAAGCCAACAAAGGAGTATGTTCCAGAAACTACACACATATGATAAAGCTGATCCTACAAGGTAGTGGGAAAGGATAGTCTTTTCAGTACGTGGTGTTGAGACACCTGGATGTACATATGGTTGGGGGGAAATACCAACTTTGATATCCTTATCTAATGGCACACACAAAAGTTAATTTTTAGCTGTATGGCAGATAAATGAGCACGAAAAAACAAAATTTATAGAAGACCATACATGGGCATATCCTATGACGCCCTTGTTAGAAAAAGGTATTATAAATAATAAATTAAAATGCCCTGAACGCACAGAGACCGACCAGACCTGCCTGTGAGTGTCCTGTCTCCTGCAGAGGCACAGGTCGGCAGTGGCTTGCCACGGGGGCAGGGGCTCTGACTGCAGCGGACCAGGCTCACCCAGTGTGTGGCATAAGCCCTCTTGGAGGAGGTCGTCTCAATCCCCACCACAGGGCTGCCCAGCAGATGCCCCACAAACTGCAGAACAATTATACCAAAGAAATATTCGCACTGTTTAGAAAGTTATAGGACCCACAACAGATTTCCCAACCTGGGGATCTGGCAAAGGGACTGAGAAGCCCCAGAGAATTTGACTTTGGAGGACAGTGGGAGACTGAGCCAGACTTGCCTGTGAGTGGCCAAACAATGCACCCATCAACAGAAAACTGGATGAAAGATTTACTGAGCACAGCTCTGCAAATCAGAACAAGATGTAGTTTCTCCCACAGTCAACCTCTCCCATCAGGAAGCTTCCATAAGTCTCTTATCCTTCTCCATCAGAGGGCAGACAGACTGAAAACCACAATCATAGAAAGCTAAACTAAACTGATCACATGGACCACGGCCTTGTCTAACTCAATAAAAGAGTTATGCCATGTGGGGCCACCCAAGCCCTACATGGTGTCGTGGGTAGGTCATGTGGAGAGTTCTAAAAAACATGGTCAACTGGAGAAGGGAATAGCAAACCACTTCAGTATTCTTGCCTTGAGAATCCCATGAACAGTACAGAAAGGCAAAAAGACAGGGCACTGAAAGATGAACTCCTCAGGTAGGTAGGTGCCCAATATGCTACTGGAGATCATTGGAGAAATAACTCCAGAAAGAATGAAGAGACGAAGCCAAAGCGAAAAGAACACCTAGTTGTGGATGTGACTGGTGATGGAAGTAAAGTCCAATAATGTGAAGAACAATACTGCCTAGGAAGCTGGAATGTTAGGTCCATGAATCAAGGCAAATTGGAAGTGGTCAAACAGGAGATGGCAAGAGTGAACTTCGGCATTTTAGGAATCAGTGAACTAAAATGGACTGGAAGGGGCAAATTTAATTCAGATGAACATTGTATCTACTACTGAGGGCAAGAATTCCTTAGAAGAAATGAAGTAGCCATCATAGTCAACAAGAGTCCAAAATGTAGTACTTGGATGCACTCTCAAAAACGACAGAATGATCTCTGTTCGTTTCCAAGGCAAACCACAGAATGATCTCTGTTCGTTTCCAAGGCAAACCATTCAATATCACGGTAATCCAAGTCTATGCTCCAACCAGTAATGCTGAAGAAGCTGAAGCTGAACGGTTCTATGAGGACCTACAAGACCTTCTGGAACTAACACCCCCAAAATATGCCCTTTTCATTACAGGGGACTGGAATGCAAAAGTAGGAAGTCAAGAAATACCTGGAGTAACAAGCAAGTTTGGCCTTGGAGTACAAACTGAAGCAGGGCAAAGGCTAATGTTTTACCAAGAGAACTCACTGGTCAAAGCAAACACTCTCTTCCAACAACACAAGAGAAGACTCTACACATGGACAACACCAGATGGTCAACACTGAAATCAGACTGATTATATTCTTTGCAGCCAAAGATGGAGAAGCTATATACAGTCAGCAAAAACAAGACTGGGAGTTGACTGTGGCTCAGATCATGAACTCCTTGTTGCCAAATTCAGTCTTAAACTTAAGAAAGTGAGGAAAACCACTAGACCATTCAGGGATGACCTAAATCAAATCCCTTATGATTATATATTAGGAGTGACAAACAGATTCAAGGGATTAGATCTGAAAGAGAGCCTGATGAACTATAGACAGAGTTTCATGACACTATACAGGAGGCAGTGATCCAGACCATCCCCAAGAAAAAGGAATGCAAACAGGCAAAATGGTTGTCTGAGGAGGCCTTACAGCCAGCTAAGTAGAGAAAAAAAGAGAAGCTAAAGGTAAAGTAGAAAAGGAAAGATATACCCATCTGAATGCAGAGTTCCAAAGAATAACAAGGAGAGAGAATAAAGCCTTCCTCAGCAACCAATGCAAGGAAACAGGAAAACAACAGAATGGGAAAGACTAGAGATCTCTTCATGAAAATTAGAGACACCAAAGGAACATTTCATGCAAAGATGGGCACAATAAAGGAAGGAAATGGTATGGACCTAACAGAAGCAGAAGGTATTAAGAAGATGTGGCAAGAATACACAGAACTATACAAAAAAGATCTTCATGACCCAGATAACCACGATGGTGTGATCATTCACCTAGAGCCAGACATCCTGGAATGTGAAGTCAAGTGCGTCTTAGGAAGCATCACTACAAACAAAGCTAGTGGAGGTGAAGGAATTCCAGCTGAGCTATTTCAAATCCTAAAAGATGATGTTGTTAAAGTGCTGCAATCAATATGCCAGCAAATTTGGAAAACTCAGCATGGCCACAGGACTGGAAAAGGTCAATTTTCATTCCAATCTCAAAGAAAGGCAATGCCAAACAATTTTCAAACTACTGCACAGTTACACTCATCTCACACACTAGCAAAGTAATGCTCAAAATTCTCCAAGCCAGGCTTCAACTGTACAGGAACCAAGAACTTCCAGGTGTTCAAGCTGGTTTTAGAAAACACAGAGGAACCAGAGATCAAATTGCCAATATCTACTGGATCACAGGAAAAGCAAGAGTGTTCCAGAAAAACATCTACTTCTGCTTTATTGACTATTCCAAAGCCTTTGACTGTGTGGATCACAATAAACTGTGGAAAATTCTGAAAGAGATGGGAATACCAGACCACCTGACCTGCCTCTTGAGAAACCTATATGCAGGTCAGGAAGCAACAGTTAGAACTGGACATGGAACAACAGACTGGTTCCAAATAGGAAAAGGAGTACGTCAAGGCTGTATATTGTCACCCTGCTTATTTAACTTATATGCAGAGTACATCATGAGAAATGCTGGGCTGGATGAAGCACAAGCTGGAATCAAGATTGCCGGGAGAAATATCAATAACCTCAGATATGCAGATGACACCACCCTTATGGCAGAAAGCAAAGAAGAACTAAAAAGCCTCTTGATGAAAGTGAAAGAGGAGAGTGAAAAAGCTGGCTTAAAACTCAACATCAAAAAAACGAAGATAACAGCATCCAGTCCCATCACTCCATGGCAAATAGATGGGGAACCAATGGGAAACAGTGACAAATATTTTCTTGGGCTCCAAAATCACTGCAGATGGTGACTGCAGCCATGAAATTAAAAGATGCTTGCCCCTTGAAAGAAAAGCTATGACCAACCTAGACAGTGTATTAAGAAGGAAAGACATTACTTTGCCTACAAAGGTCCATCTAGTCAAAGCTATGGTTTTTCCAGTAGTCATGTGAGAGTTGGCCATAAATAAGGCTGAGCACCGAAGAATTGATGCATGAGAGTTGGCCATAAATAAGGCTGAGCACCGGAGAATTGATGCTTTTGAACTGTGGTGCTGGAGAGAACTCTTTAGAGTCCCTTGGACTTCAAGGAGATCCAACCAGTCAATCCTAAAGGAAATCTGTCCTGAATATTCATTGGAGGGACTGATGCTGAAGCTGAAGCTCCAATACTTTGGCCACCTGATGCAAAGAACTGACTCATTGGAAAAGACCCTGATGCTGGGAAAGATTGAAGGCAGGAGAAGGGGATGACAGAGGATGAGATGGTTGGATGGCATTACCAACCTGACGGACATGAGTATGAACAAGCTTCAAGAGCTGGTGATGGACAGGGAGGCCTGGTGTTCTGCAGTCTATGGGGTCACAAAGAGTAGGACACGACTGAACTGAACTGAACATAAAGGAAAAACTCACCTGGAAATACATGGAAAATAAGAACTTCTACTTTATCAAAGGAAATCATTAAGGCTCAGAGTAGATGGTAGTACTTAGAATATGTATAATAAAGAGCTCATATCCAAAATATTCAAAGAAATTCTACCATTCATTAAGCAAAACACAGGCAACCAGTAGTAAAAAAGGACGACTTGAAGAGTAGACTTCATGAAAGAAGGTACTTAAATGGTCAATTGAGTATTAAAACCACAGTAACGTACTACCATACATCCACCTTCAGAACAGTCAAAATTGAATAGTCCAAAAATACTGAGAATAGAGACTATGTAGGGCAATGACAATTTTCACGGACTTCTGGTGGGAGTATAAATTGCTTCAGTGACTTTGGAAAACTGTTTGACATCATATACTGATACTGAAATATAAGCACACTGCAAGGCACAATACTTGTGCTCCTAGAATATGATATACCAAGAGAAATGTGCTCATCTACATGAGGAGGTATATATGAATATTCATGGCAGCATTAACTGTAACAGCCCCAAACTGTAATATTGGAAAGCCTATATAAATTGGAGCATATTCATAAAATAGAATACAGATCATCAAATTATGACCTGTAGGCCAAACACCACCTATAATAGTCTATGAGCTAAGAAATGGTTTTTATGCAACAAGTAACTATATGTGATCTGCAAGGTATAAAATATTTACTATCTGGCCTTTCACAGAAAAAGTTTGCCAACCTCTGAAAATACTACATAGAAATGAAAATTAATCAACTATGGAAATTCTCAAAAATATGGATGAATTTCACAAACATAATATTGAGAAAAAGACATCAGACACTGACCCACCTTTTCATAATCTTCTGCAGTAAAATCTCTGTCTCTCTGAAGTATTTCATGAAGTCTTGCCTTTACACGTTGCTGACAACTGCTCAAAGAATCACTATCACTATCCAAAAGGCCATTCATGTTTGCACTTTTCACCATCTGAACAAGAATGGGTGTAAGTTCTCCTTCTAGAGCTAACAGACCCTAAACACATTAAATAAAAGCCAAAACAGATTTAAGAATTAGTATGCAAAACAGAAGGCATCTTAATTACTATTTTGTTACATGCAGAATTTCACAGGGTATACACTTACTGTTATAACAAACTTTATTAACACAAATTGTCATGGGCATTTCAGGGTTTTAGTCTGAAGTTTCGAATTTAGAATATTAAAATATTACCTCAGTAAAAATCTTTTAAAATGCTATATCAGATGAAAATTTTAATAATTCTAAAAACATTTATTTATACCTTTGCAAAAGCAGCTGCAGTCATCTGAACTCGTCCTTCATCAGAGGCGTATATTTTAAGGTCATGTCGGTAGGTACTATGTAATCTAAGTAAACCACAACCAGGAAATCCTGCATAATCTCCTGAAAATAAATCCTCAAATCACTTAAGCTATATTTTTATCTCACTGTATTTCTATACTTAATAACATCTGAAAATGAGGATCTGGAAAGACGATGTATGAATCTGCCTCAAGTAAAGAAACGCCAAGATTTACCTTGACCTCCAGGATACATACACCTGAAAGCTCTTCCGAGTTCTTCGGCCTGGACCCTGCCTGCAGGGGTTAGTTCTCCTCCCCACTTTAGAACCAGAAGCAAGGACGGCTCTTCTCGTCGGCTGTCTAAGATACATATGAATGGATAGAGCAAATGTCAAGTTTTCTTCTTTTAAACAGATACATTTCATGATTATTTTTTTTTCTTTTTGTCTCTTCTGCAGTGGAATGCAGGCCTTATGTAGATTAATTTGTTCCTTAAACATATCTATCCTTTGTAGGCTGTTGCTTCTACTAGGAATACCATTTGCTTCACTTATTAAATCTTACTAAAATTTCAAAATCTCTCCCATACTCTAGAAAGAAGGCTCTTTCTCAGTTTTCTGAAAGGAAACTTCTCCCTTCCCTGCTCTCAAAATGGTATGAGGGCCAACGGCATTTGCAGCATGTTTTTAGTTGTACTAGATATGCTAGGTTAAGAGCTCCCTGATGACAGGTTCAGGGCTTGTCTTTGCAGTGCTGCCACACAAAAGGTAATTTTATCTGAAGGGAAGAAGATATATACATTTTTATGATTAGTAACCAGTGATCTGTATAACTTTTAAGAAGATATGAGACAACAGAGCTTAATATTTATTATAATTTACATTTAAGAGTGAGATATACAATAAAATATAGCCAAAAACTTTTAAAATTTGGAGTGGTAGAATCTGTATGTTCCAGAACAAAGTATTTTCTCAGACACAGAGGATGTCTGAGTTTCTATCCTGAATTTTGACCTACTCTTTATTATGGCCTAAGATCTGTGTTGGGTTCCAGAAACAAAGGTCATTTTATTTTATTTTATTTTTATAAAGGTCATTTTAAAAGTAGCACAAAAAACACTAAAGAATTTAATGATTCACTAAAAGTGATAGAAAATCATCCTTTACCCTGGGGCTAGTCAGTAATTGTACATGCAAGCCAACATTCACTTATAATAAAGGCAATTAATTTACTTTTAATTATAGTTATTTATGGAATGCTTTTGATATAAACATTAAAATATAGAGAATTAATCTGCATTGTTACTAATCATGCAGTGTGACAAGAGAGCAATATATGAACTTTCAGAATAAAGATCAACATAGTCAAATTTTGGCTTGCATTTAATCTTTACTTCAAGTTTTGCTCCTATAAATAGTGGGCCACTGTGAATATCCCTATAGAAGATCTTTCTCTCAAGATCTGACTATCCCATTGGGATAGATTCTTTTAAGTATAATTAAGGTCAAAGTATATGAAAAGTTTTTGAACTTTCCCCTGCAACCCACCCTCCAGCCGCACCACGCAACGTGCAGGATCTCAGGTCACCGACCAGGGATGGAACCCACGCCACCTACAGTAGAAGCGCGGAGGCTTAACCACTGGACCACCAGGGAAGTTTCATGAAATTTTCGTTATGTACTGCCAAATTACTTTTCAAAGAGTTATTGTCAATTTACAGTCCTACCAGTGGATAAAATTCTGTCACACTGCATTTTCGTCAGCATTCCTTATTACCATTTGAAAAAAGAATAAAATAAGAAAACACTCTGCCAGTGTGACAGGCAAGACTGATGATTATTATTATTGTATTGGGCATCTCCATTTCTCCATAAAATGGCTCCCCAACCCTTGACCATTTTTCTTTTGAAAAGTAAATGAACTTATGGATTTTTGTGCTCATTGCTCTTAGGAGACTCATTTTAAATGCTCATCTGATTTATTGAGTGGAGAAAAATATCTGCTTTAGAAACATGGTGATGGTGTATTTTTTCAAATATTCTTTTCCTACTTCTTGAGTTTTCTTCCTTTTTATCCTGTGTGGGTTAGGGGCCCATTAAATAATAATTAGTTATAAAGAAATAAGCTCTATAAATAATAAAAGAGCACTCCCAAGCAGTTTTTAAAGTAATAAAAGGTAACCTTTACCTAAAGGAGAAAAGGTAAAAGACCTTTTTTAAGGATAGAAAACAGTTACCAAAGCTGTACATTATTCTTCCTCTATTCAGCATGCCAACCCCTAAACTATTTGACAGAAGATTAAAAAGGTAATCAACGAGTAGCACGTTCCTACATATAATTAAAAACTAATAGGCATTAATAGTGACATACCCTCTTCTTCACTAGATGTCTTAGGACAACCATGAGGGAGATAGGTTAACTGGACCTTACGATTTATTCCAGAAAAATGGCCATACCTGAAAAATAAAATGGCAAATACAACAGAGAATATTTAATAAGCAGTACAACCTCCTAAAGAAAAACTAAAATCTATCTTGTCTTTAAAAATTAAAATAATGACTTTTTTTAAAATTTTGAGTGGTCAAAGAAATAAATCTTGTAAGAGGAATATTGGTGGCACCAATTTCACCTGATTAAAACATAATGTGAAGTTATTTTTCATTTAAACAGCACTGAGTCTATGATTAACGTAACAATGTGGTCTTCATCCTATGTAGTACTTCACCGACAATCCAAATGTGATGTTCTCTTTTGATGGTCTCATCAAAATTAATGCCATTATAAAACAGAACCTTCAATGTAATGATCTCTTTTCTCACTGGTAAAAATAAAAACTTTAGACTTTCACTAATTTCACCTGATTTACAGTGAGAAAAAGCAAAATAGATCAAACTGTGAAGGAAATTAACATGAAAAGTCACACATATTTAAAAAAAAAGAGCACTATAAGTAGTTATCAAAATTAAAGGTTTCAAAAAGATACTTACATCTCTAACACAGTCTTAAGTTGTTCAAGTTTTGGTTTGTTTTCTTCAATTTCAGAATCATTATTTTGTCCAAGTTCCATAAGAAGTTGTCGTGCAATATCCAGCACTTCCTGTAAAAGGAATAAAGAACTGAATTTTTATGTAATGTTGCCATTAGTAGTTTAAAACCCAACAAGAAAGCAAATGCACTTGCCTGTAATTGTTTTGGTTTTTTGAGTTTTAATTTCCCAGATTTATATCCATCACACTTTTCAAAGAGATCAAAGAATCTTACAAAAGAGACAGAATACTGTTAGGCATTGCAATAATATTATCTCTATGGAACAAGCAGCTATAATAAAAGATAGACGAGGGACTAAGGCAACAGTCGGCAACGAACAGCGGACTTGGGGTCTGTGGGCGTCACACAAGGCGTGCCCTCCTTCACTCTACAGTTTCTCTCCTTCATTTGACTGATAAAACTTAGTATTTTCCTAAACCATATTAAACTAGTAATCACTAGATTAACTGAATAAAGTAATAAACTTCCATTCTACTAATTTTCATCTTTACAACACTAAATAAGAGCTAAGTCAGGATGATGACCATTTATGGATATTGCTACAGTAATTTTCTGATACTGATACACACAATTTAAGATGGATTTTATTTTGATTTTATTTTTTCCAGTGGTTTAAATATTACTGGTCAAGAAATAGTGGCAGTCTTCCCTCATGATGTATTAATCAAAATAGATAAGCACCCATCAGAAACACTGAATTATCACATCCTGTGAATTAAATTATTCCCCTTTAAACATACTTTTGATGCCTCACTTCCATTTTCATTTTTTGCTTTGGTGTTCGATCCCCATGACGAATGACGGCTATGACACATCTAAGTTCCATCCTTAAGTTAAAAAAAAACAACATTCTCAATTTTCTAACAAAGATCTGTGTTATATAACTAAGATTAATACATCTAATTTTTTATTTGGAACTATCTTTTACCACTTCAAGATAATGTTCCCATTAAGAACAGCGCTTGTAACAGCTAGCTTTAATCTTATGAAGTCAATCTTAAAAAGAATTTAAAAGGCTGGAGTGGAGTAATATCAAGCTATATAATACTTGCTTCTTCTCCAGAGATGACTATACTAACTTTGGATACAAGCAAATGGACTATAATTCCCTAACTTCATTAATTACCTGTCCAGTGTGGTAGATCATTATACAGAGAGATTTCATTAAATCAAACAAAATAAAGCTGCTATATTTATTTTGCCCATGTAAGAAGAAAAGTATTTCAAACTTAAATTACTGGAAGATAAAAGTATCTTAGTATGAATGAAAGAAGGTGAAAGTGAAAGTCGCTCAGTGGTGTCTGACTTTTTGCGACCCCATGGAATTCTCCAGGCCAGAATACTGGAATGGGTATCCTTTCCCTTCTCCAGGGGATCTTCCCAACCCAGGTCTCCCACGTTGCATGAGGATTCTTTACCAGCTGAGCCACAAGGGAGGGTTTAAATTACCATTTGTCAAATTATGAGACACAGAACACAACTCTCTAGAGTAAGTCACCCGAAAATATATTTTGTACTAAATAAGTTTGGAAATACTGGTTTAAAAACAAAATTAAGTGTTTCGGTCCTCTCTTCTGCCCCAATCAGGAATCCTCAGAATTTTTAACATGCTAACATAAAGCTCAAGCTCACATGAATAACAAGTGAATTTCAGGTAGTAAATTTCCCTAGAAATTTTATAAAGCACTTTGGCAATATTGGTCTAATTAATTTACTTCAAGATATAACTGTATTTTTCCTTTACATGCTGAGAGCATGAAAACTGTAAACCACTGACCATGAGCCTTTAAACCACTGCCACCTCCTTTATTCTTATGGCTTAGTTCAACAGTTCTATAATTATCCAAAATTTTTTCGGAATTTTAACAACAGAAAAGATCTTCAGTCTAAATGCATGTGTGAGTGCTCAGCTGCTTGGCCGTGCGCAACTCTTCATGACTCTATGGGCTGGTGCCTACTAGGTTCCTCTGTCTCTGGGATTCTCCAGGCAAGAATACTGGCTGCTGCTGCTGCAGCCAAGTCGCTTCAGTTGTGTCTGACTCTGTGCGACCCCGCAGACGGCAGCCCACCAGGCTCCCCGTCCCTGGGGTTCTCCAGGCAAGAACACTGGAGTGGGTTGCCATTTCCTCCTCCAGGGAATCTTCTTGATGAAGGGATCTGACTCTAGGGATCCTGCATCTCCTTGCATTGGCAGGATTCTTTACCACTGAATCACCTGGGAAACTCCTTCATTCTAAATAGCCCATGGAATCCTCGGGCCTGGTGCACTGGTATGACCCAGAGGGCTGGGGTGGGGAGGGAGTTGGGAGGGGGTTCAGGATGGGGAACACATGTACACCTGTGGCAGACTCAAGTCAATGTACGGCAAAACCAATGTAATGCTGTAAAGTAAAATAAATAATTTAAATAAATAGCCTATGTAAAAGCATTTAATTTATTTTTCCATTTGGAAAGTGAATCATATGAAAATATACAAAGTAAAGTATTTAATATTATTCAGATATGTAATCTTTACTGTGATAGCACAGGCCAATAGGGAAACACAAGGAATTTCTAAATGAAAATATTCAAACTTACATAGTTCCAGATGTAGTTGGTACAATCGGGATATCTTCAGCTTCTAAGGGTATTGACCAGGGGATATGAAATTGTGGAGCAAGCTCTCGCATTACAATATTCCTTAAAGACAAAAAAAGAAAACTTAAACTAGTTCATTTTAAGACAAACCTGGGTGTTAATGACAAAAGAAAATCATAGAAGTTAAAATCAAACTATCTAGTAACTATGTGAATGCAGTACATAAAAAGTAAACTAAGGAAAAAATCAGTCCTGATCAAGCAAAATTAGATCAGCAGCACTAAACTGATACATAGAACACAGTAATGGGATATCATGAATTTAGAATTTACTTATTTATTTTTTAAAAATATAAATCACATTGGATTCAAGTAAATTCCCTGGTGGCTCAGATGGTAAAGAATTCACTTTCAATGCAGGAGACCTGGGTTTGATCCCTGGGTTGGGAAGACCCCCTGGAGAAGGTAACAGCTACCCACTCCAGTATTCTGGCCTGGAGAATTCCATGGACAGAGGAGCCTGGCAGGCCAGTCTACGGGTCCCAACTGAGTGACTCTCAACTTTCATGTCACTATAGCTTCCATAGATTCTAAAATCCAAGATTATCTCTGTGGACACTGAGTATTTCTTACCAGCTTTTATTGATCACCTATAAAGCTATTTTAAATATCATTGTTCATTTGTAACAAATTTCCATCACAGTTTGCTAAAAAGGTTAACAATCAAAATTTTACGTAATTACAGGACATCTTTTGTTTTGTTTAAATTTAGCATTTATTCATGCTAAAATTTAACTGAGCCCCCCTAAATTTTACTTTAAGGGTAAGTTCACCAACCTTTGAAATATACTATAATTGTTGACTCCAATGATTAAGATATATTTTATAGTGTAAGTTTTTATGGCTTTGACATAAGTATTTTGTCGTATACACTTTGAAGTGGTTAAAAACAGTCCTTGTCAGGACGTCCCTGAAGTGGGTTTGACCCCTGGTCTGGTGGACTGCCCCTGCCAGCGCAGCTAAGCCTGTGTGCCCTGACTACTGAGCCTGTGTGCCTAGAGCCTCACCAGTGAGAGCCCTGTGCAGAGCCACGAAGAGGGGCCCCACTTGCCTTAACTAAAGAAAGCGTGCACACAGCAATGAAGAGCCATGCAGCCAGAAATAACACAAACAAATAATGTTACAAGTTGTCTTTCAAGTCTTCTAAATCAAGATGTATGAAAATAAGTCAAAGAATACAAAAATGGCATTTCTGTATGCAATAATTTCTTTTATGTTCATTTGATAATCTCATGAGATTATTTTGAGTAACATATGCTTGTAAAAGTCAAATCAAGATTTCTAAATTCCAATTATTTCTATTTTATTCTTGTTACTTATTTCACAAATGTTAATTCTGTACCATTAAATACTATAATTACCTCACAAAAACTTGAGAAACAAGGTAATCTAATAAATCAGCCATTTTGATGAATGATCAGCCATCACTGTGTAAATCATTGCTATATAGCACTTCTAAATCTATAGGTTAAATACCTTTAAAAGTTTACACTGTTCATAAATTGTCTTACATAACCCAAAGTGTAATTCAGGAATTGGGGATGTCATTTTACGAACACTGAGTTTTTACTCTAGAGTGCTTATAAAGCCCTGATCACTTGATGTTTACAATTATTTGGTTTCTGTATGCACTAACTATAACAAAAGTAAAGAGGAAGAAATATAAAGAAAAAAATCTTACCCAAGTATTTTTGCACAATCATCATAATACTTCATGGAATTTTTCACAAAACTGAAGCCATTGACATCACAGACATAGGACTGTCCATTGGCCCGTAGCAAATCAAAGCCACAAACTGTTTGCTATTTAAAATAAATTATACACTTTAAAATTCCATTTAATTAAGACTGAGTTTTCCAGTCTTATTAGAATACAAATTTTATAAGTGCCCTTTACTTCAGAGTAAGTAAAAAACAAGGAAGCTACTTATTTGTAACTTGAATACTCTAAAATATATAGCACATGTCACATGATTATTTAAATTCTTCCTATGAAGTAAATGTAGAACAATAATGCTTAAGAGACTAGAGAGGCCAAGAACGCAAGAAGGTTTTCAATTAGTGTTTAATTAAAAAACAAAAGTAAAAAATTTTAAAGGCTTTGATAAATTTTATGCTAGCAGAAATTCTATTAAAAAAAAAAAATCCAAAAAGAAAAAAAAAGAGGAGAAAGCTTTGAAGACACAGCCCAGAAGAAATGTCCAATTATTCTCATGAATCTTTTAAACTCTGACAACTACACACTTGTGAGCTCCTGAAACAAATTTACTTTATTTGGGAGATAACAGTTAGAAAAGTATAAATTTCCTGCTTAGGCTCTAGGAATTTTCCGATCTTCTAGGTTTTATGTTCAAACCATCATGTATTAGTATAATATGATTTTACGTTATGGCTTTTGGAATCCTGGCATTACAAATTTAGAACAGTTCATATAAAAACCAATTAATATAAAGCTATTAAAACATACTTCAGGTTAAGATTCCTTCCATGAGAGACTTCAAATCATTAAGACACAAAAAATTTATTATTTAATAACTAGTAATATATACTAGTTTTAAGTTATATACCCAAGACAACGCTTCTACAAGGTAAAGTTTATCCTCTATGAGATGTAAGTTGTACTACTTCTGTTTTAATCTTTACTGCACAGGATATCAAACTCTAATAATACAGATTGAGAGAACAAGTCAAATATCTAAGTAAAAAGTTTTCAAGTGTATTAGAAAAAAATAATAAAATAAAAAGTGTATTAGTAGTTTTCATGAACATATTTTACTATATTTAACAGGCCAAATGATCAACTGTGAAGGCTAGAAGAATTCTTTTTTTTTTAAAATCATATATCAATTCTATGAGTAAATACTTATAACCAGTTTTGTTACAGGAGTATATTAAAAAAATACTCCTATAACTCTACCATTTCAGTTGTTTTCTTCTATAATTGTAGTTTCGGAATAAACTGTCAGTATTCTTCTATATAATGAAGAAAGAATAAGAAGGAAAGGACTTCATTTATTATATATTCTTATTAATGGCACTACAAGAATCCTTCGTAAAGTTCAAAAAAGACTATTCAGATATACTATTTTATTTTCTGTACTTATCTTTCCTATTATAAGCCCAAACAACATCTCTTTCACTCAAAAAAGAAAATTCAAATTTTTGCAAGAGTCTACATGACCTGCATAACATCTTACCTTAAAAGCAAGGCAGACTTTCCAAGCAATTAGTTTCTCTCGAGCATTGAGAATAACAGGGTATCTTACTTCTTTTCCTTCACTATCTCGTTCCACCTTGCCATCAAGTGCAGGAGATTTTCGAGCTTCAGCATGGGCATAGTCTGGACCCACTGTATAAACCTTTCAGAAATGTCAAAATATATATATTATTTTAAAAAGATATATATGTGAATATATAACAGCAGGCAACAAATTCAAATAAAAAATACCTCTGTTTCCAGGTGGTATTTTTTGACACATCTTTCTATTTTACGTGTGAAAATTTTCAACATTGGAAGAGGTTATAAGTAATTATACAGCAAAACTGGTCAAATGAGGATCTGTTCTCTCTAAAAAATAATTATGCTGAACATTATAAGGGACTACTAGAATGCATAATGCTGTCATCCTTCTCGAACTGTTTAACAAAAGAGAGGTATAAATAACTAAAAAATTATAGAAGAAAGTAACTGCCAAAATAAAGATCTAAGCATGGAAGGAAGATTTATAAGGGCAGCAAGAATTCAAAAGCAGACAAGAGAGGGAAAGGCACTCTAAGCAACGCTAATAAATGCAAAGGGCAGAGGAATGAAACAGCATGACATATTCAGGTGAGAGTTTGTTATTTGCTATGGTTTCTACTGTATGAAATAAGGTTTGTAGTACAGAGGGCAGGCCATGAAGTATCTCGTATGCCAGCCTTAAAAATCTGATTAATTACCTTGTGGTCAATGAGGATCCACAAGAGAATTTTTAAGAGGAGGCTCATGATTCAGTTTACATCTAGGAAAGAACTCTCTATTAGACTCAGAGAAGCAAAAGGCAAGGAAAAAGGGAAAGATACACTCAACTAAATGCAGAGTTCCATAGAATACCAAGGAAAGATAAGAAGGCCTTCTTAAATGAACAATGCAAAGAAACAGAGGGAAACAACAGAATGGGAAAGACTGGAGGTCTCTCAAATACTACTGGAGATATCAAGGGAACATTTCATGCAAGGATGTAAACATGAAAGGACAGAAAGCCTAAGAACCTAACAGAAGAAGAGATTAAGAAGAGGCAAGAATACATAGAACAACAGTACAAAAAAGGTCTTAATGACCTGGATAACCATGATGGTGGGGTCACTCACCTAAAGCCAGACATCCTGCAGTATGAAGTCAAGTGGGCCTTAGGAAACATTATTATGAACAAAGCTAGTGGAGGTTATGGAATTCCAGCAGAGCTATTTTAAATCCTAAAATATGATGCTGTTAAAGTACTATACTCAATATGTCAGCAAATGTGGAAAACTCAGCAGTGGCCACAGGACTGAAAACAGGTCAGTTTTCATTCTAATCCCAAAGAAGTGCAATGCCAAAGAATGTCTGAACTACCCACACAACCGCACTCATTTCACATGCAAGCAAAGTGAAAGTGAAAGTTGCTCGGTCGTGTCTGACTCTTTGAGACCCCAGGGACTATTCAGTCCATGGAATTCTTCAGGCCAGAATACTGGAGTGGGTAGCTTTTCCCTTCTCCAGGGGATCTTCCTAACCCAGGGAACGAACCCAGGTTTCCCACATTATAGGTGGACTCTTTACCAGCTGAGACACAAGGGAAGCCAAAGAAAACTGGAGTGGGTAGCCTATCCCTTCTCCAGCGGATCTTCCTGACCCAGGAATTGAACTGGGGTCTCATTCATTGCAGGCGTATTCTTTACCAACTAAGCTATCAGGGAAGGCCATGTGCTAGCAAGGTAACACTCAAAAATATTGTCACCCTGCTTATTTAACTTATATGCAGGGTACATCATTCAGAATTCTGGGCTGGATGAATCACAAGCTGGAATCAAGATTGCTGAGAGAAATTTCAACAACCTTAGATATGCAGATAACACCACTCTAACAGAAGAGTTGACTCACTGGAAAAGACCCTGATGCTGGGAGGGATTGGGGGCAGGAGGAGAAGGGGACGACAGAGGACGAGATGGCTGGCTGGCATCACCAACTCAATGGACATGAGTTTGAGTAAACTCCGGGAGTTGGTGATGGAAAGGGAGGCCTGGCGTGCTGTGATTCATGGGGTCGCAGAGAGTCAGACACGACTGAGCAACTGAACTGAACTGAACAGGAGAAAGTGAAGCAGAACTAAAGAGACTCTTCATAAAAGTGAAAGAGGAAAAGTGAAACAGCTGGTTGAAAACTTAACATTCAAAAAACTAAGATCATGGCATCCAATTCCATCACTTCATGGCAAATAGAAGGGGAAAAATGTGGAAACAGTGAGAGACTTTATTTTCTTGGGCTCCAAAATCACTCTAGAAGGTGACTGCAGCCATGAAATTAAAAGACCCTTGCTCCTTGCAAAGAAAGCTACGACAAACCTAGACAGCGTATTAAAGAGCAGAGACATCAATTTGCCGACAAGGGTCCATGTAGTCAAAACTATGGTTTTTCCAGGAGCCATGTATGGATGTGAGAGTTGGATATAAAGAAGGCTGCATGCTGAAGAATTGAGAGTCCCTTGGACAGCAAGGAGATCAAACCAGTCCTTCCTAAATGAAATCAGTCCTGCATATTCATTTGAGGACTGATGCTGAAGCTGAAACAGCAATACTTCGGCCACCTACTGCAAAGAACTGACTCATTAGAAAACACCCTGATGCTGGGAAAGACTGAAGGCAAATGTAGAAGGGAGCAGCAGAATATGAGATGGTTACGTAGTATCACCAACTCAATGGACATGAATTTGAGCAAATTCCAGGAAATAGTAAAGGACAGAGGAGCCTGGTGTGCTGCAGTCCATAGTGTCGCTAGGAGTTGGACACAACTTAGAGACTGAACAAGTTAGACAGAGTGGCTAAAGGTAAAGCAATTAAGACCTTAATTGTCACCAACAGAAATCACACCTATTTTTTTGTAGTCACATTATAGTTGTCAAAGCTCTCTAAACATTTTTTACACCGACTGATGCTTAGAAACTGTGGTGGTGATTAGACTCTAACCCACTATATTTTGGATTGATTTTTAAATATTTTGGTTAACTTTATTTCAGTAGAACTTGTCTCCACTGTAATCCTGTGTGGTTTATTTTAAGCACTGAAGAATATTATTCTATAAAAAGGATCCATAGGCTTAGATTGCCAAAGACATTCATAATGTAAAGAGTAAGAATACCTAGTTATAAAGAAAGAGAGCCAAAATAGAGGGCAGAGATAGCTAATTAAAGGGAATTCCCAGATGGCTCATCAGTAAAGTGTCTGCCTGCCATGCAGGAGACCTGTGTTCAATCCCTGGGTCAAGAATATCCCCTGGAGAAGGAAATGGCAACCCACTCCAGTACTCTTGCCTGGAAAATCCCACTGACAGAAGTGCCTGGCAGGCTACAGTCCATGGAGTTGCAAAATAGCCAGACATGACTTAGCAACTATATAACAACAACAGCAGCAGCTATTGTAAACTCTTTTTCTGGTATCACTGGTAAACTCAAAATACAAACTTAAAATATACTTTAATCAATCCTACCTTAACATCAGTACCATCTGTAGGCATAAACTCTTCATATATATAGGAGCCTGTTTTTCGTACATTGCTTTCTGGGGAGTAAACACTACTTCTACTGCCAATCTGAAAATAAAAGAAGTCTATCAATGTAAAAACCAAATTATTTTCCACTTTTTATAAAAATCTTCTCTTTTACCATTTATTTCTATCATTGATATTCCAAAAATTTTTTTTAGTCTACAAATATTTAACAACATGTTATGTAGTTGACACTATATTATTTCCTGCTATAACTTAAACAGCATAAAAATACAATGAACACTCAGAACAGTGTTTCTAAGATTCAACCATATTGCTGCAGGTAACTCTGCTTTGTCACTACTACAGAATTTTCCTCAGTATAATATTCAGTAATTCATTCACTTGCCTATAATAAATATCTAGGCAGGCTGTTGTCTAAGATTTAGCTAGTAAGGAAATGTTGCTTCGAACTTTCTTTTAAATATTCCTGGGACAAGTATGTGCAGGAGTATTCTGTGGCATATACTCAAAGTGAAACCACTAGTGACAGAATATGCTCACATTCAACTTACAAAATAATGCCAAAATCTTTTAAAAACCATTTTTAATTAGAGTCTCTGCAGCAATGTGTAGGTATTCCCACTGATCTACAATTATCTATAACTCAGTATTGTCAGACCTAATATTTGCCATCCTAATGGACATAGAACAAGTACTCAGTGTGTTCTTGCTTTGCATTTCCACGATTGCTTACATGTGCACTTTTAATACTGACATACTGCTAAGTTATATTTTAGAAGAAATACTGCGATAACAACATCTGGGCTTATGCTCGTTTTCCAACTACCTCAATTTTTTTGATCTTGCTGATTCAAAAAGTAACTTAATGTCATTATCTTTTAGACTTGATTTACTTTTTTTTTTTATTATGGGTGCAATTTTGAGCATACTTTTAAAAGATCACTGGTATTATTTTTTCTAGGAACTATTCATTTGTAGGCCATTTTTCTAAAAAAATGCTGATCTTTACCTGAAATTCTCACATGACAGATTCATAAATGGAAGGTAGAAAGAAAATCAAATAACTTTCTTGGTATTTTGTACGTAAATTTAATAACAAAAATGATGCCTTTTTTCCTTTAACAAATGATGACATCAAGTTTATGAATTTATCTCTCAATGATAGATTCTTAAACATAGTTTTACTAAATACTTGATTACTTTTAGTAAAGTTTATGCAACAATGTATAAAGAACAGTAGTCACTAGGCTAACAAAGGTTTACCTTTCGAAAAAGTCTTTGACTTCCACCACCAGCAGAGGTTGGATAATAAATGTAAACATTGTGATCTTCTGCACTGACTGGCTTTTCTACAAAAGGCTTTTGGAAAACTTCCCCATTTACTTCTACATGATCTTCGCCTTCAATCAGATTGCATTCTACAAATCAAACATAATATCAAGAAAAGTTACATACTGCTTAGTACCTAGATATAACCACAGTACTATTATTATTGAGGACTTTTTCACTAGAACAGAGGTTACAAAGAAACCTAACTGTGGATGACGTAGCGTTTTTTTTTGTGGTTGCGCTGGTCTTCCATGCCGCACACGGGCTTTCTCTAACTGCAGCCAGCAGGGCCTCCTCTCAGTTGCGATGCACAGGCTTCTCCCTGCAGTGGCTTCTCCTGTGGCAGAGCACCGGCTCTGGGTGTGCGTGCTTTAGCAGCTGCAGTTCTGGGCTCAGGAGTTGCGGCACACAGGCTTAGTTGCTCTGTGGCACATGGAGCCTTCTTGAACCGGGGATCAAGCCCTTGTCTCCTGCATTGGCAGGGGGATTATTTACCAATGGACTACCAGGAAAGTCCTTGATTTGATTTTAATTAAAAATACTTATGCAAACATATGCCAGCATTTATTATCTATGATGACATAAGGAACTATATTCTTCAAAAATCTAATGGACCTGCTATAATGCTGGTATCTAGGTTTTAATCAAAGTTGCTCTAATGTACAATATGGTCATTAAAACTTCCCAAAATACTGTTATCAAAATATTCAATATTAAAACAAATAAGCATTTATCTTGCCCTTTTACACTATGTGTAACTTACATGCTATGCTGTAAATAAGCAGGAAAACGAAGCAAAAGGAGCTTTAAAATATTAATATTTCAAAATTCTTACTCATCAGTTTAGTTGTGCCATACTAGCATGAAGTTTCTAACACTTAATTCAACTGTTATAGACTCGCTTACCCCAATCAATACAAATTTATTAAGTATGTAAAAATTCTCCCTTATGATTCTCAGATATGCCAAACACGGACCCAATAAATATATGATATACACCTCCTGGTTATAGTTAGCCTTCTGGCTCATAATGTCCCATTTTAATTGAAATTTGCCTATTTGGATCATTTTTAAAAAATTGAATAGAATGCATAAGCTGTTTAAATTCTATTTAATTATGGAGGAGAGTGGCTCAGAAGTCTTTGTTAAGAGACCTTTAAAACAGCTTGTTTAAAATCTCTTACTCTTACCTTTGGGATTATTTGGGTCACGGTTCAAAATTGCATAACGAGGAAGCAAAATACCTTCAGCTTGAAGAATACTATACACTTCTCTCCTGAAGAAAAAAAGAGAATACCCTTATTATTTTGCTAATGTTTCATGATAAGTATGTACTATTCATAAAGTATATTACTACTTTTCTACCACTAAAAAAGTCATGTATATAGTCTTTATTTGTAAGTAAACAAATGTCATTTAAAATACTGAAGAAATATATTCTAAGGAAATATTCAGTAATATTAGAAGTGTATGCACAAAACTTTCTGTGGCATATTAAAATACTAATTTTTTAAAACTGGGAATATAAATGTATAAAAAAGAAATGGCTAATTAAAGTTGCTATATCACAGTGACAAAATATCACCTAAAGTATTAAAAATCTTATATTCAAAGAATATTTAATGACATGGAAAAAGGTTTATGGTCTTTAAAGAGACTACTGATCCTAATTCTGTTAAATGTGAGTGCATATATGTATTGCTTTCTATATGAAAAAATATGATAGATATAGTGGCAGGGTTAAATTAAATGTCTTTCTTCATTTATTTTCTAAATTTCTCAAAATGAATGCAGACACAGACACACATATATATGCACTCCCACATATATTCACATTTGTAATATACAAACATCTATCAATAGATAGATATTAATAACAGTAATAAGAAAGAAAAAAAGCAAATAGAAAAATAAAAAACTATAAGACCTTACATTTTATATAGCATTTTCTTAGATATAATCTCTTACTGTAATGCTAACACAGAATAAAATATTATGCTAGTGAAATTATAAGGGTAGCCATTAATAGCATCAAATAAATGCAATATATGCATTTGTATTTTACAATTTCTCTTAAATATCTATGTTTTTGATCTGTTAAATGAATTGCTAAGATATATAGTAACATATTTCTCAAAATGGTTCCCCTTTATCATAATTTCTTCATCTATAAAACTGGATACAAGCATTCATTACTAAGTATTATTTCCAGGATACCACAAATTTATACATATATATATTTATAAAAGCATTGGAACTATGCCAGCTTAGGTAGATACTAAATAAATGTTGATTTTCCTCCCTTACTGCAGCCAACTTAACCACTCACCTGTCTTGTATGAGATACTGCATATTCAAGTCATTGATTACAAATGGATTCCTGAGTTTGGCATAGGCAACTGCTTTGTCCAGTGGAAATCCTAAGAATACATATTATTAACATATTCTGTACAATCTCAAGACAAGTCGACATCTCTAACTTAATCAACTTTAATTTATGCCACATCCCATAAAAGACTAAGTTCATTATGCATATAGCTGTTTTTTATAAGAGAAAATAATAAATACAAAAAACTTGATTATCTTGTACTATTAAATAAATCTTATTTTTTCTTAATTTGTTGGTAAGGCACAGCAAGCCAGTGGTTATATAACTCCATTTAGAGTACTGATATGTTTAGTTGATGCTTCCAAGTCAGCTGATAGAAGGTAAGACTACCTCATATACAAACAGAAATCTACACATAAATAACACAATTGTATTACAATCATCTGGTGTTCTTTTTAAAAAGGTTTATGTGACTCCTCACTAAAGATATTTTGATGCTACACACACAAATTAGCTGATAATTCACAGAACTGAGGCATCTTTAAAAACAGCAAAAGAAAAAATTAATTTATATTCAACAGACATGCTCTAAATATAAAATATATGAGTAGAACATGCTTGCTGCTATTGATATTAGGCCAATGTTAACACACCAGAAATTAAGTTCTTAAAATTTCTAGACTCTGGTAAAACTACTAATTACAATGAAAAACAAATCAAAAGGCAGATATAATAAGAGATTTTTTAAAAAATCTAAATTATTTTAATGGTTATATTTCACTTTCTGTATTGACACTAAAAGACTCCAATTTTATCCATCAACATGTATGATTAAGAATGGCAGGATACAAGAGAAGTTAACAGCATAAACTAGGGTTCAAATCCTAACTCTATCTTTCATCAGCTGTGTGACCTTGGGCAAGTTTATTTCATACCTCTAAGTCTCTGATTCCCAGCTGTAAAGGAATATTTTAACAGTCTTACCTAGAAAGGTTTTTGAGAAATCAAATAAAATAGTCCAAATGAAACATTTATTACAGTATCTGGCATAATAAATATTCAATAAATGTTAACTTATTATTCCCTAAGTAACTATTTTAATACATTTCTTATCTAAGGAAAAGGGTAACAGTCAGCAGGCATACATAGTATTTAACTACAGTATGCAACAGTGTATCTGTGAAGACACTATTTTGTAGCATTATCAGAATAGTTAAGAGAGGAAGTGTTAAACTTGAAGCTAAAAAAAAAAAAGCTATTGGTTAAAAAAGATTTATTTCTAAATTAACATTTAAATACTCTATACCAAGAATCACCTGGCCATAAATCACAGACCCTTCCAGTTTTATGACTAAGGATTCATCACTTACTGTAAAGATATCACAATGTCTATGGTTTAAGCCTTCCAACAGAATTCAGGAAATAAGAAACCCCTATATAGTCATTATCCTGCTTTGGCTGCTGTTAAAGAGACAGCATATGGGATATGACCTTAGGTAGTAGCTAGATTTTATAAGTAAATAACTAACTTTTACTTAATAAATATGAAGAACCATGTGATGGTAAGGGAAGAACACCTTACCCTCCTGGTTAAGCACTTTTAAGATTCTCTGAAATGAGTATCTTCAAACTGTAAAAAAGACCAGGGCTTTGTCTTCTCCATGAAATGATGAAAATCAATATACATATCTCGTCTATGGGAATACAGTTTTGACCTGCTGCATCCCCTTATTGTTAAAGGTGATGCTTTTTAAATACCTAACTACAGTGAAACTTTAACACAGCTGGAGGCCACACAGTTTGCTAACAAAAATGATTTACTGTGAACACATTTATTATATAACTGAGTACATGTATTTTGGAGTTCTAAGTGAAAATTCAGATTCTTCGGTTATAAATTTTCAGATATACACTTAATAACTTTTGATTAGTGCACTCTGTCTGACTCTGCAACCCCATGGACTGTAGCCCACCAGGCTCCTCTGTCCATGGGATTCTCCAGGCCAGAGTACTAAAGTGGGTCGCCATTCCCTTCTCCAGGGTTTCTTCCCAACCCAGAGATCAAACCCGGGTCTCTGGCATTGCAGGTGGATTCTTTACCATCAGAACCACCAGGGAAGCCCAAAGTATGAAGTAATACTTAAGCTTAATTGATATTTCAGTGTGATTTATAAAAAACAGCAAACAAAATAAAAATTCAAATATTATGTTGTTAAGAAATAAAGTATGAATAAGTATAGGAGGAATGATAGATCGTTTTCTGTATGGCAAAACATATTGGTTTATAATACTCAAAAATCAATAATTTATCCCAAGAAACTTGAGTTGCAAACAAAGATATACATTCAAAAGTTCATCACAGCCCTATTTTTAATAGTAAAAACTGGAAACCATCTTATTTTTAGGATATTAGTTAAGCATGATATATTATATCTGCAGGATGATACATGATCATACCATTGAAAACTAGGTTTTTTGACAAATGAGTTAAAAGGAGAAAACTGCTTGATATAATTAGGTTAAAAATTAAATATAAAATCATATATACACTATAACATTAAATGTGTTTTTAAAAAATAAACACAGAAAAAAGACTGAAAATATATCAAAATGTTAACATCCCTTATCTGTGAGACTAGGTGAGTTTAATTTTATTTTTCTATTTTATCTACTAGCTTTATAGTCAGAGAAAATGAAGAGGTTTCCCTCCCTGTTTTTTAAATACCTTTAGAATGAAAAGAAATAAGACAATCACACAAAGGCCAGTTTTCCACTGGTTCATTCAAAATAACATCCTCTTCAAATACTACTACTGTGATATATTTAAATAAGGAGATCCGTTCGAGAATTTCCTTCATTGGTTTGGATTTGGATTTCTTTGCCATGGAACATATTCCAACCACAATCTGCCTTTCCGGAGGCTGAAACAAAAAGAAAACAAAAATAAGGTTGACTTGATAACATCTCCAAAGTACAGCTATCTTAAATCTCTCTCAGCAGTAGATAAAGCATGCAATGAATCAACAGACGTGACAAATTAACCACACGGACATTTTTCAAGATTATACTGTTGTTACAAAAAATAGGTTTATACAAAGGTCTAGAAAGAATTTTTTTGAGTTTCAGAACACCACTACAATTTTCATTCAGCTTTCAAACTTAAATATTTCTTTAACTGGCTCAGGCATTTATTTGCCTTCTTCACACCAAAAAAGAGCAAATAAGGCCTAAAATAAAAAGGACAATGGGAGATAATAAAGAACTCTCTTCCCTAAAATAAGACGTTCTCACTACAAAGCTATGCAGAGTTAAACTACTTCTGTAGATCAAGTTTGAATGTATTTTGATCACCAATGAAAGCTTACAAGGAAATTTTAGAGAAAGCCACAGTGCTAAACAGAGGTGTCTATGCTCTTGACACCCCAATCTTCACACTCAACACTTCTAGTTTACAGTGTTGCCCAACTCTGGCACCCTTGCTACAGCTCAAACACCATGATTCAGCCTGAAATTTAAAATGCAGAGTATAGAAACAATTTATGAAGTTCTATAATTATTCAAGATTCATCCTAAGGTCTTTGCATTCAGATACTTCGAGCTTTATCAAATATAAAGCAGCATCCAGTTTTCCATTTCAGTTCTCTTTTCTGTTTTTCATATGACATTATAATCCAGGCTCAAAAGTGTTTCACTAGACTCTCTGATTATAAATCTAAAAGTAACACTGGATAATACCTGAATTGTTCTTCTTCATGCTTAGCATTGTTTCTTTATTGCCTCTTCTCACTCATATGAAATTGAGAGTTCAAAATTGATACTGGATTTGATGTTACCAAAGATTGTAAATTCTAACCTCCCTAGGATCTGCTTTCACTCTCCAATCATTCAGTTTTATGTTCTTCAATTCTTTCCTGATCAAAAGCCTTGACACAACTCATTATGATGTTCCTAGTGTAGACCTCCCCAGACAACAAGAGTACTCAGCCTAACATCTTTGATACCTTAAAAACAATCTACAACATATCATTTCTTCAACCTATTGGTCAAATGAACCAAATCAAGTTCCTCAGAAGTAACAACTATGCACCACCAATGTGAACTCTATTTAATTAATACCAGTATTCCAAGAACTATGCTAAACACTGAAGAGTTACATATATAGAAACTACCTGTCTTCAAGCACTCTGACAGGGAACACAGTAATACAGTTCATAATGATAACAGAAGTACAGACGTCAAAGTACGGAAGTACTACTGATGCAAAAACATTCAAGTTCCTCACGGGAAAAGAGCCAAGGAGAGGGGAAACAACACCAAATCTGAGGTTTTGAAGAATAACAAATCATTCACAAGGTATCCAAGGAGGGACATTTCATAGAGGTCAAGGGGCACTTACACTAGCAAAGAGGCACAGGACAGATGGAGCATGTGGGACACAACCTGGTACTGCTGCAACATGGAAGGTGGAAGAGCAGAAAGACAAGTGCAGTTCTCGACACAGGAGAAACAAAAGTCCTTCTATGGAAGAAGACTGGACGGGATGTATCAGTGCTATTCTCAATGTGCCCAGAAGAACCCTAACAAAGAGCTAAGAGTAGCAGAGGCAAAACCAATGGTACTTTCCTGTCTAAGTCAGTCAGAGAAGCTCTGCTTTTACTTTTTAGAGACTAGACTTTTTTACATGACACTTGAGATGAAGAAGTTTTAGCTGATATGAAGTTTGAAAATCACTGTGTTTTCCCGAGGGGTGAGATGTGGGGTGGGATAGATTTTAAAAGGGTGACAGCCTGATTTTGCATTTCAAATATGTTACTGCACCATGAAAGCTGTTATTAAATAACTATGACAAAATTTGAAGTCATCTAATAACTATTTTTAGTACATTTTTACTACTTAAATCAAGGATAACACGTTTTTGTTTTAAAATGAAATTATCTTTTCAATTGGGAATATAAGAAAAACATATTTTAAGTTTGTATTTTAAATCAGTTCTGTATGTGTAAAGGGACAAAAATGATGAGCAATAAAAATGTTGAGCTAACCATAGCAAAATAAACATAATAAATGTGTATTAAAGATTTGGTATGGTGTATACATATACACAAACTTTTTATTGCTCATCATACAAGGAACTCTTTTGATTTATGGCCCTAATTAGTCCCTCTCCTTGTCACCTTTTCTCCCCAGCCCTGTGTTATGCTAGGCATATCACTGAATGACACTAAAATAGTCATTTGAAACAACTTAGAAATGTGACCTTAATCGTCTTCTTGAAGCACTACAGAGTCAACAGTGTTATTAATGAAACACAGTACGTCTTTTCAGTTTAAAAATTTCCAACAAAATTCAATGTGGGAAAAAAAAAAGTCTTCCCTTGTTTAAGATGGTATCAATTCCCCTTCACAGTGATCAGTAAAAATCTTACTGGTCTTCAAGCAAACACTTACAGACTCATCTTCCTCCTCCTCATCTTCATCTGCATGGTGGAAGAAGTGTCGATAATTTCCAGCGTTTATTTCTGTATCTTCAGGTCCAACAAAGAATCTGGGGGCTTCACTCATTTTTATTTCATTTGACATAAATATAATTGAAACGTGCTATGCTAAAACTGTTTCTACATAAATAGTACCTGAAAAAAGCATTCTCTCTATACTAACTGACACATGGTCTGTTGCAGCTTGTTTCTGCTTATACAATCACTTGAACGTGTGGTGACAGTTAGTTGGCAAGTGTTCATGTGTTCTCAGATATCATTACTTCATTGTTGATGCAGTTTAAAAGACAAAGATAGTGAGGTTACTTCTTCGGTGAGTTGATGTGGCAATCCTTTTACCTAAAAGGCAATGAAAAAAGTAATTTTGGAGACTGTACTTCAAAAACATTCAAGTAAAAATAACTCCGACATTTGTAAAATCATTACCAATAACTTGATTTACAAATGAAAAGACATCTTCTCTCATAAACTTAAGAAATTTATACTCTCATTTTCAATATGCATCTTGAACATCTGACAAAGATGATACAAAATAACAAGATTAAAAAAAAAGACTACACTAAATTCCTTAAGTCTAAAAATGTCTAATGAATTAAGAGAAAATTACTCAAATTATAACAAAATCATAAAAAGACAAGTCTCTCTGGACACAGTTTAGTAATATCTGAAGAGCATGGAAAAGAATAGATGAAATATAATGCAGGCTTAAAAGCGACTGACAACTATACAACAATCTAAAATTACATTAAATCAATGTCTAAAAGGCTTCGATTTGTAAAAGTTCAATTTGCAAACAGGTTTTTTTGGGGACCATAACCATTCTGCATTTTGGTCTCACATATAAATCAACGAAACAATATTAGAACGAAAACAAGATTTCATTATAAAAGCAGCTCGTAAACTTTTAGCGTCAAAAACTCTTTTGCAAAACTGTGTAATAACTATAAATGAAGTATAACCTTTAAAAATTGTGAATCACTGTATTGTATATTGGGTGGACTCCGGGAGTTGGTGATGGACAGGGAGGCCTGGCGTGCTGCAGCTCATGGAGTCACAAAGAGTCGGACATAACTGAGCGACTGAACTGAACTGCACTGAACTTACATAATTGTTGGTTAATCACTAAGTCATGTCCAACTCTTCTGCAATCCCATTGACTGTAGTCCACCAGATTCCTCTATCCATGGGATTTCCCAGGGAAGGATACTGGAGTGGGTTATCATTTCCTTCTCTAATAATCTTCTCACACAGGGATCAAACCTCCATATCCTGCACTGGCAGGTGGATCCTTTACCACTGAGTCACAGGGCAAGACCTAACTTATGTAATATGTCAACTATACCTCAATTTATAAAAACTTAAAGTAAAAAATAAAGCCTAAAAAAAACCTCTTTGGCAAATCTACTAAAATCTATGAATCTTCTCAGAAAAAAATTACATGTACACTAAATTCTGCAAGGAACTGTATGTGATTGACAGAGCATCCAACTTTCCACAAAAACTGATGCCCATGAACATCAGTTTAAGAACTATCGTAACAGTGATATAACCACAAAATACTCCTTAGCAAAGCTGTTTACATGTACTCGGTTCCTTGGTTATGTTAAAACTAAAAACTACCATGATGAAACTACTGGATTAAAAGCAACCTAGATAGATGCCCATCAGCAGATGAATGGATAAGGAAGCTGTGGTACATATACACCACGGAATATTACTCAGCCATTAAAAAGAATTCATTTGAATCAGTTCTAATGAGATGGATGAAACTGGAGCCCATTATACAGAGTGAAGTAAGCCAGAAAGATAAAGACCAATACAGTATACTAACACATATATATGGAATTTTAAAAGATGGTAACGATAACACTATATGCAAAACAGAAAAAAAGACACATGTACATAACAGATTTTTAGACTCTGTGGGAGAAGGCAAGGGTGAGATGTTCTGAGAGAACAGCACTGAAACAAGTATCCTATCAAGGGTGAAACAGATCACCAGCCCAGGCTGGATGCATGAGACGGGTGCTCAGGGTTGGTGCACTGGGAAGACCCAGAGGGATGGGATGGGGAGGGAGGCGGGAGGGGGAACCGGGATGAGGAACACATGTAAATCCATGGCTGATTCATGTCAATGTATGGCAAAACCACTACAATACTGTGAAGTAATTAGCCTCCAACTAATAAAAATAAATGGAAAAAAAAAAAAAACTACTGGATTAAACATCCTTAAGAGTTGAATGATAAGCTAGCTAGAATTGCAAAGCATAATGCCAAAATCCTATTCCCAAAGGTCTAACTCCAGTTTAATTGGTGATACCCTAAGAAACATTAAAATTAGTTCACCTAGCCAGGTTTGCCTTTATCCACTTTTAAAACTGTAATTACATTGTTATGAAATTTTAAAGTTTGTGATTAAAGAATAAAAGCTGAAATAATTCACTTTATATATCAGTGCTTTTTATTCCTATTTCCCTTGCACTGTTTCATGTATAAAAGATATGTGCTGAAAAAGAACAAAAGAAAGTTTCCAATTGTAAAACTTGGAGGTAAGTTGATCTGTTTTCTTTTGTATCAAAAGGGAAACATCTTTGGTTTCTTTTTACTTTTTTACTCCTCCTATCCATCTAAAACTAGTCTAATATTTACTATTAGAAAGGGCATGTGTTTTAGAGTCAGATATACCTATTTAAATCTTTCATTAAATGACAAACAGGTTGTGCTAGTTTCTCTAAGTCAGTTTCTTCATCTATAAAAAAAGAGTATCATAAAACCCTGTACCTTTGTGAAGAGTAAGTGTTTGGTATAGACTAAGCACTCAAACTTTCATTTCCACAGGCACTCTATAAACTACGCTCCCTACTAACATAACATGAAAACCTAACAGAATGAATATTGCCCATTATTTGTGGATGTAAATCTATTAACAAATAGCTTTTAACCTATTATAGAGAAGGTACAGTATGAGATGTGGCAATACAAAGTAAACATGAACCTTTTTTCTTAAGGAACTTAAGGTCTAGAAGGAAGACAGCCAAGTAAACTAACATTTTCTGTTTTAGTGTGGTAAGTGCACTAACAAAGCTGGACAATAGAAATATGCAATAAGGCTTCTAGTCATCTAAGCAGGCAACAGAGAGAGCTGTTTATCAGTACATATAAAAGCATGTTCACTTATATATACATGCATGTATGCAAGTATGTATATATGTACACACTTTATGGCATTACTTTAAAATTGTACCTTTTTCTAATTTAGCTACTCTAATGAAAGCAATAAAAATCCTGTTCTACAGCCAGAATTTAAAATTAATCTTCAAAATTAGTGTCCATCATGAAAAGTCTAGAGGGCATAAAAATGAAATTTCAGAGATAAATAATACCATGACCCAGTGGCAGAACTACTGACTGTAGTTCTTCATTATGGAATTACTGGGTTGTATTTACTACTAGTCCCTTTACAATATATTTTCCTAAATTTTTGAGCTACTTTATACATGTATTATGTGTGAGTAGAAATATGCTTGTGGAGAAAAAGTGTATCCTGTACATTTCTTCCAAGAGTATTAATTAATGATTTATCTGTCCCCTTCTCTTCGCTTAAATTCTGTTTCAGTCTTCAACACTGCTTCAAGTATATAAATGTATGTCCCCCATCTGATTGTGAGTTTAGGTCTGAAAGTCTCATTCACTCATTTGAAGAGAGACAACAGACAAATCAACAAATAAATGTATGTTAGGAAGACCTCAATAATATAGTGATATCTAAGTAGAAATCTGAATTAAATGAGGAAACCAGTCATGGAGTTATATGATAAGAGCATTCCAAATAAGAAGCAAACCATAAAGGTCCTAAAACGGATAAATATGTGGCATATTTCCCATGACCAAGGAAAAGTAAGGAGACCATTGCAGCTGGAGCAGAGCAAGAAAACAAAGAAAAAATGGCAGGAAATAAAGTTGGAAAAGTAACTAGGATGCATACAGAGGACTGAGAAACCACAGTGAGAGTTTTCAATTTTATTAAATGTGACTGGATTTAAAAGAATGGGAGTAGAGGCAAGGTATGCTGACAATTCTTTAGGAGGGCTTTGCTATAAAGGTAGGCAAAGGCCTTCTTTTTTTTCTCTTTTGATGTATGAATCATACTTACAAATAGCAGAAATGGATTGAACAGGCTAGTGGTTAAAAGTGTGGATTCTGGAGCCAAAAAGGCTTGATGGTGAATCTTAATTCCAGTAGCTGTATGACCTTGAGCAAGTTAATTAACCTCTCAGAGCCTCAGTAAATTGTATCTATCTTCAAGTCTTTTTACAGATTAAGTTATATTTTAAAAGGTCTTATATCCCATTGCTCAGGCAATATTCCATACCAATTTTATCAAAACATTTGGGATGAGGGCCCATGTACTTTTATGGCTCCTCAGATTCTAACATGCAGCTGAGTTTGAGAACCAGTGTACAACTCAAAAAAAGAAGGGGGAGTATAGAACAATGGAAGCACATAGTAAGCAAAACATGTGTTTGCTCCTTATGAGAGCATGCTATTATTATAGGAAATCTGATGATCTGATAAAAAACACAAGTGATGAAGCAGAGTCTTGTCTTCTTGATGCTTGGCACGTCAAACATCAAGTACCTAACAAATATTCCTCCACAAACCTTTCCTTAACAATCTCCAAGATTTTTTCTCTGAATCATTCACTTTGACCTTTGGTCACCTGCAACCTTGGCATTATTTAATTGTTTTGGTTACATATATCCCTTCAAAATATGATAAGCTTCAAGAGAATGAACACTTCTTCAACACTGTTACCTGGCAAGTAATTTGTTAACCCAGAGCCTCCCAACACATAGCCTCACCATGAATCAATACTTTAAGCATATGTCAAAAAAATTGTCTCAGCATTTTTGGGACCCACAACCCCCTGGCCAGTTACTTCCAACACTGCTCTCTACAGTTTCTCCTGGAAACACTGCACTATCATTTTCTATGCATGCTCTAACAAGAAAGAAAGTTGGGAAGCAGTTATGACTTTGTGATTTTGCAATTATTCTCAGCAATCCTAGGATTAGAGATATTTTCCTCATTTGATAAATGCCTGCAGTACATAAATGTCCATCATTATAAATGAGGACATGAAGCATAGAAAGTTCAAGAAATTCAACTGTAATCACACAATCAATAATAGTTGTAAAAATAAATCAAATCCAGGTCCAAAGAACATCATAAACACTTAAAGGCAAAATCAGGACTCCACAGTCCTTATCACAGCATTACCCATACTTAATAGTTATAAAACTAAAAGTATGAAATAAATCTATTTTTTGTTCCCCCTACCCAAATGGAATGTACACTGAAGCACAAAATGAAATCTCATGGGCATGACAGGAGATCCAAGACATTCTAAATGAACTGCTATTTCACCTGAATCCCTGATAAACCAAATATAGCATATGCCTTTCCACATTATAGAGCATTTCAATCAACCTACATCCTGTCATAAATTCCAAAACATGTAACTGTTTGACTTTAAAGACATTAAAGACATTATACAAATATCAGAGTTGAGCCTTTCCCATTTTAAGATTCTATAGCAATAGTCCCATAAAGGACTGGCTATATCAGAATTACCTGGGAATATCTGTAAAAACCAAAGTTACTAGACCTACCACAAATCTTCTGCAGCAGATTTCTTAACCAGATAATCTATATTTTAGCAAATCAATGTACAGCCAGATTTGGTAATCTGTTTATTTGTGCAAAACACAAATACCTCTTAAGGCTGATTTCTAAATTTGAAATTAGTACATGCTACTGAAGTATCCACACTCAAAGCATTGGTTCTCAAACTCTATATTGCGTTGCAATCACTTGGAAGGCTTGTTAAACCACTAAACTAAGAGCCTGAAAGTCACACCTCTGCCAACCCTCAGATACACATCAGTACCCTCTCCCATCCTTTATGCTCCACAGCATTCTGGATCCATCTTAATGTTTCCACTAGAGTTATGGTTTTCCTCCCCAACTTTCTATTGTGAAAATTTTCAAATATTCAGAGAAATTGAAAGAACAGCTTACTATAAACTCCTATATACCCACCACTGGACTCAACAACGGCTCTACCATCTACGCTGTAAACATGAATACATGTCACTTCTAAATACTTTTGTATGCATCTCCTAAAAACAAGGGCATGCTCTTACATAACCACAATATCATTTCCACGTAAGAAAATTAATGGTTCTATACTACTACTCAAATGTAGTTGAATGGATGCTTTTAGAGAACAAAGATGTCATCTATAAATTCCCAGTACTTTTACACAGCATTTATTTGGGTGAGGAGTAAGTGTTCCACCAATTGCTAAATTTAATACCCTCACAACAACTACCCTGCAAGTCAGGAGTTTAAAACTTGTAACAGCAAGCTTTGATTATACAACCTGCACCTTCTGCCCAACCACTTAATCACTTGCTTTAAACAAGGCCATGTAAATTATCTTGGCTTCTGAATTATTTATTCTGCCTCAGAATAGTAAAGCTCCATGAAGACAGCTTGTGTTGGTCGTTAGACACAAGCAGAAATCTCAAATATTTTTCTTAGCAATACCTTCAGCTACTGAAAACCTTAGTAAAGAAACTGGAAGCCATGACGCACACTGGTAGGACAAAGGTAATGTAATAGTTTAAAAAATTCAAATTGGTGAAATCTGAAAAGCCGGCTCTTCAATACAGGTTCGAACGTTTACTAACAGCAAAAATTTACTAGAGCAAGTGAAGTGAGGCTTAGAGATGAGCCTCAGTTCCTGCCTCTGTCAAATGATAATAACAGTCTAATTCACCTCATGTAATCGTTCAGAGAATACAGAAGACAAGACGTAAAGTACTTGGGACATACAAGAACTCAGTGAACTGCAGCTATCTTTTTTCAATTTGCTTGAAACCAAACCTTTATTTTTCACGCGGAATTTTCAGCAGCGAAGCAAAATCCTGTCCCACTGCAGAGTTAAGGTCAGCAAGGAGAGCTTCCTATTTCCAGAGCTAAGCTTCCCCGCACGCGGACGCCGAGGCTGGCGTTCTGCACAGGGCTGCAAAGGTGGCAGGCGCCAGGAAGCCGCGGAGAACCTGGTCCGGGGACCCCGGCGGTCCCCAGCCTCACCCCTTCTCCCTCGGCAGATCGCGCGGGGACGCCACCCTCTCCCAACCGGTTCGGCGCGACAGGGCCCCGCAGCCTCCTCCGCGGAGGACGCGGGCTGTGGGTCTCCTCAAGCGGGGTGGAGGGAGGAGGCGAGGGGCAGACCGGCGAAGACTGAGGAAGGAAAAGGAAAGCAGCCGTTCTCTACCTCCCCTCCCCAAACTCGAGACTGCCGACTCTGGAGGAACGAAACCGCCAGCGCCTCGCTACTGCCTTTCGAGCTGAGGTGAGACCTCCGTTACCTCAAAGCCCAAAAAGGGAAGAGGGAAGGAATGGAGGAGGAGAAAGTCGCGGAGGAGAAATGTAGACGCCGAAGGATCCCTTCCAGGCTGGGACGGCCACTCCGCCACACCCGGGCCGTCTTTCTCTCTGGCCACACGCGCCGCGGAGGAGCGGCAGCAAGAGCTTTGAAACAGCTGCCCTGCGGCGGCCGCCAACCGCTGGGGACTAGTCTCCGTATCTCGATTCTCCTCAGTTCTCGGGGCCTCCCCCAGCCCCCCGCACCTGCCACGGTTGCGGTCGTCACGCGAACTGCAGATGTCCGAGTCCATTCAGGGACTCCATTTCCCCCCCTTAATCCCGGGGGAGCGGGGGTTGGGGGACGGGCAGGATGGAGGCGCCCGTCAAAGAAGACTCCAGCTGCTAGCGGGAACGTGGGTCTTCTCTCCTCAGCAGCTGCTGAAGGGCCCACAAAAAGGTACCAAAGGTACTACCGCACCTCCCGAAGCCCGGTCACGCCTCTTCCCCTCCCGCTCCCGGTCTCACACAGAAACCTCCCCGGGCGGAACGACTTCCGGCAAGAGCCAGACGATCCCCGCCTAACCTTTTCTGACCGCGGCTCCGAGACACCCTCCCCGCCCCCGCTCCACCGCCCGGCAGAAACACGCCTCTTGTGAACCACCACGCGGATAGTTCCGCTTCCGGCCGCACCACATAAGTCGCGAGAGGAAGCTTAAATCTTGACGGTAGCCTTTTGGACCACTTCGGTGAGTGGTCGTTTTAGTGTGCTCTCACAGCTGCTGATCGTTTTAAAATGAGGCGTGACCTGACTAATTTCAAAGCCAGGAGAGGCAACCAGTTTAAAGAAGGGTTTAATTGGCTTTGTGGAGATTGCGCAGGCGCCCTTGGGGCGGGAGGGCCCTGTTTGGGGCGTTACACTGCCGGCGCCCGTCGAGCTGCAAGGGGCGAGTTCCGCTGTCGGGCTGAGGGAGGTGCCTACCCAAGATAAAATTATTAAAGGAATTAAGTAATAAGTATTTTCACTTAACAGGAGTATTCACTGGTTTCCTTTAATGTTTTACCAAGGACAAAGAGTAAAAAAATAACCAGATTGGACCCTGAGTTTTACTTAACGGGTCATTTTCTTGCTTAGGCTAAATTTAGCTGGACCTTGCCCATAAGAGTTAGTTAACGGGTAACCAGAACGCCCTGGAAATGATCAAAGCGGCATCTGAAACTGGGAGCAAACTCGGAAGTTGAGTGTCGCTTTTGTCTGACGAAAGGATTTTCTTCCCCTCCCGCCCCCCTTCCTTTATCCTGGTTGTCGTTTTATCGGGTATTTCCCATTTTTGCCCCAGATCAAAAATCTGTGCGGGGAGAGCAATGCGAGCTTACGGGAGAATCTTGTCCTTTTGTTTTGAAAGAAAATTACACCTCTGTGGATTTTTTTTAAAATTAGTATGTCTGAACCAAAATGGAAAAGTAGTTTCTTAAAAAATTCATTTCTCACACTTGGCTTCATTTGCATATGGAGATGAAGGCGTTTTTAAGTGAAATTTGCACGTTGAAGCGAAGCAGATTATAGAGAAGAGTCTTGTGTAATTGGATTTCCCAGTCGTTTTCGTTACATAAAATTGTGCTCTTCCAATTTTTCAGAGATTAAAATAGAGTAATGGAGGAGTAAAGTTAATCATCCCAAGTAAAATGCTTATTGAAATACTACAGCTTTTAAGTTTTAAAGTTGAAACTCGTGCATATTATAACCTTTTAGAAGCTTCAGTTAGGTGGTCCTGTTGGGTTTTGCCCTAGGTGAAACACAGTGAAATCCTAATTTTATTTAAAGTGGTACTTAACTACCTTTATTAAACACAAGATAAAGTTATGAAAGGAATCAGTAATAAGGATTTACATTTAAAAGAAGTATTCACTGGTTTCATTCAGTGTTTTACCAGGGACAAAGTGTAAAAAATAATCAGATTTGACCCTGAGAGTCATCAATTAGGAGTTGTAATCAGACAACTTTATTGCCTTTTCTTACTCCTAGGTATTTCAGCACACAAGCAATTATTTGTCAAAGAATTCTTGAAAATAAGAGCATATCCAAAAAAAAGGTGTAGTGTAATCTTCATCTTTATAACTCAAGCCACTTAATTCTCCCTTGTAAACTATTTCTTTCCTTAATAATATTTGCAAACAGGCATTTTATTTATGTTTGTTCTGAGTATTACAGCTTAAAGCCATTTTCTCAAAGTAACTTCTGGGGTGGTTTCTAGGGTCCAAGTAGTGAATGTACTTTCGGGAAGGGAAAAATTATTAGTTCTTTTAAGTTTCACCAATAAGTAAATAGCAAACATTTGCAGGAAGCTTTTGACCTTCCCCTTGGGCTCCCTTGGTGACTCGGACGTTAAAGAATCTACCTGCAATGCAGGAGACCCAGGTGAAGAAGGGAGTAGCTACCCACTCCAGTATTTTGCCTGGAGAATCCCGTGAACAGAGGGCCCTGGCGGACTACAGTCCATGGCGTTGCAAAGAGTTGGACAGGACTGAGTGACTAACACCTTCACTTAGAAGGCCATACTTTTTATGAACTGATTTTTCTTTGTTATGCATTTCTGTTTCTTCTTGTCATATGTCTTTACTGACAGAACAGTATTATGGATGATAATACTTAAACATTTTAACAATAATTATACATTGCTTTATCATGTGCAAAGAGCATTTCAAATCCATTATCTCATTGGTCTTTATAATTGTGAGAAAGAAAGGATAAGTAATATTTCCGTTTTGTCAAACATGGATACTGAGACTTGGGTAACTGTTGCAGGCTAGAAATTTTGACTTCTAAAAGCCTTACCTTCTTCAGTTCAGTTCAGTCATTCAGTCGTGTCCGACTCTTTGCGACCCCATGAACCGCAACACACCAGGCCTCCCTGTCCATCACCAACTCCCGGAGTCCACCCAAACCCTTGTCCATCGAGTCGGTGATGCCATCCAACCATCTCATCCTCTGTCATCCCCTTCTCCTCCTGACCTCAATCTTTCCCAGCATCGGGGTCTTTTCAAATGAATCAGCTCTTCTCATCAGGTGGCCAAAGTACTGGAGTTTCAGCTTCAACATCAGTCCTTCCAAAGAATATTCAGGGTTGATCTCCTTTAGGATGGACTGGTTGGATCTCCTTGCAGTCCAAGGGACTCTGAACAGTCTTCTTCAACACCACGGTTCAAAAGCATCAATTCTTCGGCACTCAGCTTTCTTCACAGTCCAACTCGCACATCCATACTTGACCACTGGAAAAACCATAGCCTTGACTAGATGGACCTTTGTTGACAAAGTAATATCTCTCCTTTTTAATATGCTATCTAGGTTGGTCATAACTTTCCTTCCAAGGAGCAAGCGTCTTTTAATTTCATGACTGCAATCACCATCTGCAGTGATTTTGGAGCCCAGAAAAATAAAGTCAGCCACTGTTTCCACTGTTTCCCCATCTATTTGCCATGAAGTGATAGGACCAGATGCCATGATCTTAGTTTTCTGAATGTTAAGCTTTAAGCCAACTTTTTCACTCTCCTCCACTTTCATCAAGAGGCTTTTTAGTTCCTCTTCACTTTCTGCCATAAGGGTGGTGTCATCTGCATATCTGAGGTTATTGATATTTCTCCCAGCAATCTTGATTCCAGCTTGTGCTTCCTCCAGCCCAGTGTTTCTCCTGATGTACTCCATAGGCCCTTTCTGAAGTGAAATAATTGTCACCTTTGAAAGGTGTGCTCTTTTTAAATTCAGTGCTACCTCACCTGTCAGGAAATGCAAGTAATTCTTGTTCATTCACAAATAGTTGAATAGCCACTGTGTCCCTATAAAAGTCCCCTTGTAGCTTTTCTAACAGAAGACTGAACCAAGTATCAATGTTATGAAAGCTGAGGATGAGAAATAATTAAATTAGTGGGGGAGAGGGGTTGAGGTTGGAAAAACATGAAATTTGAAACAACAGAGACCAAGGTTTAAATGTCAATGGATGGACTCACTATTCCCTTGAGGAGAGCAGATAATCTCTCTGAAGCTCCTCTCTCTGAAGCTCTGTTTTTTAATCTCTGAAATAAATGCAAAATTACTACGTACCCCTTGGGATGTTGTGAGGATCATCACAGTATAGTTCCGTATAAATGTTTGCAGTTATTTTTAAAATTTGCTTTTGTAGTTATTTTTAAAAATTAATTTAAAAAAATTCTTTCCCATCTATAATTTTGGCTTTTCTAGATGTCATAAAAAGAGTAGCATGTAGTATGTTTGTAGCCTTTTGTGTCTGGGTTTCACTTAGTACAATAATTTTGAGATTCATCCCTATTAAATATATTTGTAGTTGCTTTTTGCTAAAGGGTATTCCACCATGTGGATCTACCACAATTTGTTCATCCATTCACTTGTTGATGAACATTTAGACTATTTTTAGGTTTTGGCTGTCATGAATAAACATTCACATACAGATTTTTGTTTGGACATGTACTTTGATTTCTCTTAAGTTAAAGCTGTTTTCCAACATGTTTACACCATTTTTTATTCTTACCAGCAGTGCTTTGCATATTTGGTAGTACTTAGTATTGGCAGATTTTTTTTTCCATTTTGATGGATTTGTAGTGGTATCTTATTGCGATTGGGAGCTTCTCAGGTGGCTCAGTGGTAAAGAATACATCTGCCAGTGCAGGAGATGCGGGTTCAATCTCTGGTCTGGGAAGACCCTCTGTAGAAGAAAATGGCAACCCACTCCAGTATTCTTGCCTGGAAAAATCCCATGGACTGAGGTGCTTGGCAGACTGCAGTCCACGGGGTCACAAAAAGTCAGACACGAATTAACACCCGAACAGCAGCAAAAACTTGTGGTTTTAATTTGCATTTCTCATTGCATGATGGTGTTGAACGTCTTTACATGTTATTTGCTAACCATATCTTCTTTAATGAGGTGTCTGTTCACATCTTTTGCCCACTTTAAAAATCTAATTGTTTGCTTTCTAATTATTGGGCTTTGAGAGTTCTTTATAGATTCTGGACCCAAGTTTTTTTTATTATTTATGTGTACCGCAAGTATTTTCTCCCAGCTGTGATTACTCTGTTTCCTTAACAGTATTGTAAAGAGAACGTAAGTTTAATTTTTTCTTTTATGGGTAGTTCTTTATGTTTGCTATCTGGAAGTCATTGTCTAACTTAAGCTTACAAAAAATTTCTTTTTTACTGTCTTATAGAAATTCTCTAACTTTAGGTTTTACATTTAGATCTGTAAACCATCGTGAATAATTTTAATTTCTTTGTATGGTGCCAGGTGTTTGTTGAGATTTATCTTTTTTAATGTGGATGTTTAGTTAGTTGCTTCAGCATTATTTGTTGTAAACATTACTCTTTCTCTGTTGAATTACCTTGGCACCTGTGTAAAAAAATCAACAAATACCATTTCTGTGTAGCTGTATTTCTGGATACTATTCTGTTCCATAGATTGATGGCTATCATTTTGCCAGTACCACATGGTCTTGATTACAATAGCATTAAAGTAAGTCTTGAAACAAAGTCATATACAAATTTTCAACTATATTCTTGTTTTCCAAACTTGTTTTAGCTATTGTGAGTCATCTGGTTTTCCATATAGATTTTTCTTTTTATTATTATTTTTGTCTGTGCCACAAGGCATACAGGATCTTAGTTCCCTGACCAGGAATTTAACATACCCCCAGCACCACTGGACTACTATGTCAATTTTAGAATCAGCTTGTCAGTTTCTACTAAAGAGCTTATTGGGTTTCTGTTTGCATTGCATTGATTCTGTAAATCAATTTGGGGAGAACTGACATCTTAGTGAGTTTATACAGCTTTTTTCATTGTTAGGGTGGTGAGTGATTTTTTTTCCACCAGGCAGAAGCCTGTAGAGGAATTTTTTAATGTATTTCAGAAAGGAATAATTTACTTCCATTGTTGATATTATAATTTACCAGCCAATTTCAATCTAAATTAACCCCTTGAGGTCTTTTTTTCTTATCTGGGAAATGGGATATTGTATGGGCTTCCTTTCAGTGCTGTATTAAAGTGTTTTTAGTCAAGATCTAATTTTTAATTGTGTGATGTGGTATATTTTTCAAAATTCTTTTCATCTTTCCCTACTTGAAGATTAAATATATTTTACTATCCTTTGCTATATTATAATTGTGTGAAAGAATAGAAATAATGAATAGAATAATGACACTGAATAGAAATAATGAAATAAACTAACTCTCCTGTTAATAATAATTGGTCTTTCAAAATTAGAGAGTCTTATTTCCTGAACTTTTTGGAAATTAGAAGTACACATCATCAAGAATGATGTGTTAAAGAAGTGTAAAAATTAATTTTTCAAGGAGAAAATGAAATGCAAAGCCTTTTTCTTCTGTGAAATGACCTCCTCCCCTATTTTCTTTATTTAGGAAGTGCTTAGGAAAGAGATACAAGGAAATGACCTGATAGGTGCTTTTTGCTATACACTTATAGAACTTAGTATTAACTTGTTTTCTGCCAGGTTTCTTTAATTCCAGTTAAAGAAATGCTGAAAATTTTTAGTCTGTACCTCTGAGCGACTTATAGTATCAGTGTTATCAGTCTACAACCTTTTCTTAATCTCTGAAAATTTAGTAAATCTAATTTGTGTTTACTTATTAAATGCCTGACTCACAGTTGTCAAACTCTGTGCCAAGGCTTTCCAGGACATCATAGTGAATTTACAGGGTACCATGAAGTGTTTTAAACCTTCAAAGAAAACACAGCGACATTCAACATCTATCAGATGCCTTGTGGACTACTAGTTCACAGTTTCAGCATTAGGTCACACTACTTTCCTTTCTTTTACATCTTTGCAAAACTGGGTTTTGGATGTTGGCTGTGGTAATAGTGCAAATACTGCATGAAAATCAGTATGGAGGAAGAAAGGAAGGTGGCAGTGTTTAATCTGATTCTCAGGTTTGAGAAGTGAAACAGACCAGAGATGCATGCATACCATTAGTAAGAAACTAGAGTTACCTCAACGCTATATACTATTTGTGTCCCTCCAAAATTCATGCGTTAAAGTCCTAAGCCCTAATGAGATAGTATTAGTAGGTGGTGCCTTTGGTGGGTGATTAGATCCTGAGGGTAGACCTCTCGGAATGGAATAAGTGTCAATGGAGCAAGTGTCTTGATAGAAGAGAACTCCAAGAGCTCCTGAACCCCTTCTACCAAGTGAGCACGTAGCAGAGATGCCATTTAGGAAGCAGGAAGCAAGCTCCCACCAGACAGGGAATCTACCACTTGTTCTTGAACTTCCCAGCCTCTAGAACTAGGAGAAACAAATATTTGTTATTATTAAGTCATCTAGTCTATGATACATTGTTACAGCAACCCAAATGGACTAAGACACCATGGAGAAGGGAAAGAGAAAGGGTATTATGGGAACTCAGAGAGGTTTTTAACTATAAGGGCAAAATATAGACATCTCTCTGCTTTTTGCGGACATTCATGTTTCCTCACAGCCAGTTTTTTCCTACCAGTTACAATTACCCACATCCTCCTGTGTTTTAGTTTGGTGAATCGCATGGATTGATTTGCTTATGCTGAAGAATCCTTGCTTCCCTAGTATAACCTGTGTTTTAAGACCTATACTTCCTTTGAGGTGTGAGACTTTGGTCTTTTACTTCTGCAGGCTTTTTAGAGCCCTGATGAGACTTCTTCCCCTTTCCTTTAATGTCCTTCAGGAAATTTTGCAACCTTTACTGCTCTTTGAAATGGAAGCAACAGAGAATTTTACTTTTTTTTTTTTAATAAACATCTTTCTGCAGGTACTGTGCTCCCAGTGGCTAAACTGGGATGTTTTATTAAAGTTTTCTTTTAGATGATTTAGAATATTGGTGGTCCCAAAAGCCAATAAAGGAAAACAAGAATTTGGGGTCATTTGTAGTAAAAGTTTACAGAATATAGATCATAATGATTTAAACTAAGAAAAAGCAGGTTCTTCTCTCTCTTAGACTTGGAAGAGCTTGTGTCAGTGTATTTTAGAGATAAAAGTAAGACAGGAAAATGATTTTTGCTTGTTTGTTGGTTGTTTTAAGAGTGAAGGAGAATTAATACAAAACTGGAATGACAGGCAAATAGATAGTAGACTGACAGTTTATGCTCCCTACTTGAAACCACACACAGCTTCCTAAATTGAAAATTGATGAAGGATGGAAGTTTGCTACAGAATCCTTTGGCAGAGGAAAGGCTGTAGACAGGATGGGTGACATGAAAGTAAAAGCATCAAGGGGTCTACTGTCACAGATTGAGTTTGCGGAGAGGTAGTGCTTCACCACAGTCAGTTTGAAAAGCACTGAGACTTAGAGCAACATGGAACTGGAAAACAACAGAGGTGTCTACAGGGCTAGGACCGAGTGTACACAGGGTAAAGCCTCTTGATGCGTTTACTGTTTCCGGTTTCATCTATGAAAGCTTTTTATACACATCTTTTGATGGTCATACACTCATTTCACTAGGATGTAAAGTTAAAAATAGAATTGCAAGTCCTTAGGGCAGACATATGCTTAGCTTTAGAAGAAGCTGTCAGTTTTCCAAAGTGACTGTAGCCTTTTACACTTACACAAACAATGCCTGAGAGTGTCCACCCAATACCTGCTGTCTGTGTTTGTAAATTTAGCCTTTTTGGTAGTGTATAGTTGTAAATCATTTTGGCTTTAGTTTGCATTGCCCTGGAAATAATGATGTTTGAGGACATTTTCACTTGCTTATTATCCCTTTGGGCATTCACTGTTTTTGAAATCTCATGTAAGGTATTTCCCAGTTTTTAATATTTTTATCCTTTTTTATTTTGTCATAATTCATTGTATTTGCTGGGTGTGAGTCCTTTGTTAGATATATATATTAAAGATATCTTCTCCCAGTCAGTGGATTATCTCTTCCCTTTCTTAATGGCCTTTTGATGAACAGATTTTGATTTTAATAAAATCTAGCTTGTTATAATTTTTTTCTTTTATGAATAGGACTTTTTGTTCCTGTTTCAGAAACTTTTGTTTTTTCCCAAGGTTTTGAAGATCTTTTCCTATGTTTTCATCCAGAAACTATATACTTTACTTTTTATATTTAGGTTTATGATTTATCTGGAATTTTGTAGAAGATGTTGGTAGATGGTTGATATTAATTTTTTTCTGATACAAATATCCAATTGCTTCAGCATCATTTATTGAAAAGACCATCTCTTCTCCCATTGTATTAATGCACTTGTTGTAAAGTGTTGACTGTATACATGTGGATTTAATTCTGAACTCCATATTCTATTTCCATGGCCTGTTTGTCTAACCTTATGCCAAGACTTCACTGTTGTATTTACTCTAGTTTTATAGATGGTTTTAAAGTCTGATCCATTTATTTTTGAGATGTTTTAGAAATTGTAATAAGGTACATTTGTTTGATTTTCATTTGCAACCATTTATTCCAAAATGAAAAAAAATATATATTTAATTAAGAATTTAATTTAGAATAAACTATTTTATAGACATAATTAACCTGTCTTTTAGTTATGATAGGAGAGAATTAGCCTTGCAGAACGTTTGCTTTTAAAATAGCCTACACTTTATGCTAATCTAAGGTTATGGGATGTTAGAAACATACTGATATTCCAGAGTTGTGAAAAGATCAGAAAGATGGTTATTAAATGTGCAAAGTGCTGTTTCATTGGCAAAGAGACTTAATAGGCTATTTAAGACCTAGTTCATAGGCCTGGTCTATTCTGCTTTGTTCTGACCTTCTCTCTGCAAGAATATTTTCTTTTAGCCTTATCCTTAGATCTTCTAGTGGTCAGTAAACGTTCATATTGATTTTGAAAATTCAAAATGTGAAGTCTTTGCATCAGTTAACATTTCTAGTGGGAAACAGAAGATATACTGTGCTGGGATTTTAGAGAAAATTTAATAAAGCTCCTGTTTACACACCTGATGGGAAGGCTCCTGGAGACTAGCGACAGCAGAAAATAGCTACCGCCTCTAGGGCTGAAGTGTCAGGAGGAGGAAATGGTGCGGACTTCCAGTGAGAGCTAGAGACACACAAGGTGGGCTTCCTGGTGAGGGGCTGTGGTTGTAGACGGTTGCGGCTTACACCAAGGAAGGACCTGGGAAGTGAAGAGCCTGGTGTCTTCTGCTGTCCGATTTGACTGCTCATCCGTCCTGCTGGACAAGGCCAACCAAAACCTGTAAGTGCAGTCTGTAAGGGCCCGTCTGTTAGGGTGCAGCAGCCGGGAGAGCTAGGTCAAAAATACATCTGGGTCAGTTGGCGGTGACAGAACAACCAGCACAGAATAGTTTGTTTCAACGGGAAATATGAAAGAAAAGATGTTTTTCTTTTAATGTAATGGTTTTTCATAATGCTTTGGGTCTAAAATAGAGAAGTTTTGTTTGGCCAGTACAGCCAGACTTTTCTTTATAACACAGGGAAAGTACACACAGAACAAAAATCTTTTCTGTTCAAGAAAAATTAGCTTACATGTTGTTCAGAATAGTGTATGAAATCTAGCATAGCTAAAATCTTCTTTGTCACTTATCATTTGAACATTTTAAAAATGGATCTTTTTCATAAATGATTTAGGTTTTTTGTGACCATGAGTATATTTAGAAGTAACATAAAACTACATTTTTCCTCTTATCACCTATCATTTATTTAAATGTCACATAACAGAACCATCCTATATAAGTAACATTTCAAGTGATGTGTAATAAGAGACTTTAAGCAAACTTTTTGAAGTGTACTTGTTTATTTCCTTTTTTCCTAGTATGTGGAAATTTTTCAGTATTTCTTTTCACTTGGAAAGAGATAAGATAATGTGTCATGTTGTATCTCAAAAATAGCATTTGAATATTCTAGTTAATATATATCATACTGTTCCTTTTCTATACTGCAATTATTTCTTGTCACTGATAATATTCCAGGAAAGTTCAATTCACGGATAAGCACAAATATGACACAAGCCTGAACTGAAATAGCAGCTGAATTAGCTTATCACTTAAATTGTATCTTTAAATACCTTTTACCTAGGTTCATGATGGTTCGTAGTGGAAAAAATGGTGACCTTCATCTTAAACAGATTGCATATTATAAACGAACTGGTGAATATCATCCAACTACACTGCCTAGTGAGAGAAGTGGCATAAGAAGAGCAGCAAAAAAATTTGTCTTCAAAGGTAAAATACCCCCCATTTTTAGTATAGAGTTTTATGTAGGTGCTTCTCCATGTGGAGTCCTTTGTGGAGTCCTGAGAATTTCTGTAGCAATTGGTTGTTGCTTAAAGTGATAATGCCACTCAGTCGAAAGCAAAATAAAAATCACATTGAAGCCAACTGAAGGCTAGTAAGCATGAAAGGGGCATTTTAAATCATAGACAGAAAATGATAGCATGAAAAAAACCAGAACACTTGTCTAAATTAACACTGCTCTTGTCCCTTGGTGAGTCCTACTTTAGTGGTGCACTTGCAAGCATTCACGTCACGCTCAATGAAGAACTGACTTGATGCCTGATATGAAAATGTTGACCAAGTTATCTTATTTATTATTTCTGTGGTTCCTCCCTCTCACTGCTGTTAAATGGTTTCAGGAGCATATTTATCTTTGAATGCCTAATCTCCGTGAGTGAATTAAATGTTTGAAAGGCAGTGGAATATTTATCTTGAAAGATTATGATCATTCTCCCCTCTTTGTCCTCCTCCAAAAGGGAAGAGAAGTTTGAGATGGATAAGTAAAAAGTACAGTCATCAGATGGCTAAATGAATGTTGGTGTTATTAATGGAAATTTTGCCTATAGGTACAGAATCAGGCTTTTCTCAAAGCAGGTCAAGAAACTTCTAAGATCATAAATAAATACCTATTTACTTCTCCCTGTGTACACCCCTTCCAGTAACACCCTTAAACTTAAGAATGCTAGGTTGCTTCAGCCACGGCCCCCTCTTTGCGACCCCGCGGACGTAGCCCGCCAGGCTTCTGCGTCCATGGGTCTCTCCAGGCAAGGAGACTGCAGTGGGCTGCCATTTCCTTCTCCAGGCGGTCTTCCCCACCCGCGACTGAGCCTGCGTCTCTTATGTCTCTTACATACCTGTTACATCTTACACTAAAGGGGATTTGTTCATTCGTTCATCTAACGATTCGTGCACCAATTGTTTACTGAGTTCCTACTGTGTGCCAGTCACATTTTAGGCCTTGGGAACACGCTGATGAATGAAGTAGATTAGCCTCCTGGCCTCAAGTTGCTTACTTTCTAATTCAGGTAAGGAATGTTCCACTCAGCGTATTCTTAGCTAAGCACACTAATAATGGTGTCTTTTGGAGTTTGAATATTCGTCCACGCTGGAGAAGTGGCAGTTCTCTTCATGCCCTGAATACACTGCCCAGTCATAGGCTCTTTTAGGTGTATCCAAAGGAAAGCAGAACTGTCCTGAAGATATAAGTTCTGCTACTTTCTTGGCTTTACCAACCCTATTTCCTACTCAAATCCAGAAAAACTTGAGAGGTGGCGGCTTACAAAAATACAGCTCTGATGAAACACTCTTTTGGAAAACTCTATTCCAGAAGTTGCTTATATGTACATAATTTATTTGCTAATTCATGCTATTTTTAGGAGGTGCCTGCTGCAAGTGTTTTTCTAGTTTGATTACTCCCATAGGAAGATGATTTTATACTCCCATATTACATTGTGCTTTGGTGAACAAGCTAGCTCTACTTGATTTGATAGCTACAAAACTATAGCAGCTCATTTTACATATCCAGTAAGTATAATAGCTGAAGATGTTTCAGATTGTATGGTAGCATCATCACAAATATTCTATCTTAGAGGAAGAAAGATTTAACCAAAATAAAAACCTTCATGGTTTGAAGATAAGGCTGTGATTATCTTAAAAATATACAGATGTCTAAAAATTGCAATGATATCATTTTGGTGTTTTTTATTCCAGAAAAGAAGCTGTTTTATGTCGGAAAAGACAGAAAACAGGATCGCTTGGTAGTTGTCTCAGAAGAAGAAAAAAAGAAAGTCCTAAGAGAGTGCCATGAAAGCAACACTGGCGCCCACCATGGCATCTCCAGAACCCTCACTCTGGTGGAGTCCCGCTACTACTGGACTTCTGTGACCAGTGATGTCAAACAGTGGGTATGGCTTGTGTCTTCAGAATATTTGGAAATGTCTTTATAGTATACATTCAAAATTCATTGTTGCTGCAGATTAACTCTAGATATCACTTCTTGTTAAGTACTTTTTTGTATGGTTACTTCTCGTTAAGTACTTTTTGTATGGGTAGTTTTTTGTGCAGAACATTTAAAGAGAGTTTTATTTCCCTTCAACAGTCTTCTTTAAAATCACTGAAATATAATTTGAAGTAGAACAAGGCATTATTTAGATATTTGAATTTACTATATTTAGATTATCTTAGGCACAGATTTTCATCATTGAACTATTTTGTGTGGCAGAATTTAAATGGGGCTGAAGTTTCTTTGACGAAAAATAAGTCACTACATTTTTAATAACATTCATGTAGTCTTTTCTTGACAAGAGAATATTTCGTGATAAATCAAGCCCAGTATGCTTCTCATCTTTTGTGCCTGTTAACTGTCTTGACATGGAAAATGTCAAGTATGACAGAAACCCCCAACCAACAAATCAAGTTGTGAAGATAATGAAGTTATTCTGAGTTTTGTAACTTTATAACCCATTAGGACCTTCAGCTTCTTCTGATAGAAAATTCAGGGATTCTTGCTGCTAGGTCAGCTGATCCCTACTAGTGTGGTCGTGGGCTCTCTGTAGCAAATGGTAGAAATTCCTTGGTTTATGTGTGAGGATCCTTTAATAATTGTGATAGTGCATTAAAAGACTGTCATTTCAGGCATAAAAAATTAACATATTTAATTTAACCAAGTATCGTTTGTGAGTCTGTGAAGGTATTCCAAAGACCTCAGTGTTTGTATTCACCTTTAGAACCTGCCACACACTCCTTTTCCGACATTCAGTGAAATCTTTAAATCCTTATCATTGAGAAATGATTTTTGGATGTAAGGTTATTTGTGATGAGAACTAGTTTAAGTTAGAAAATAAAAATTTTAATCAAAAGTAACTATATTTCAGTAAAATCATTTTAAAAATTTTGTTCGGGCCTTTATTTGAAAGTAGTTTCCAAAATAGAATTCCAGAAATATGTTGAACAATGGCACCTTCCATAAGTTGGTCAATTTATATCTTCTCATCTCACTAAAATGAAAACTCCATGACAGCATTGACTGTATTTTTGTTCATACTCTTTTTCTAGGACCTAGAGGAATTTCTGGTACCTAAAAATATTGTTTGAATAAAGTTATATTTTAATAAGTATTATTGCAGTAGATGAATGAAAGAACTTACTAGAGTGGTATCTTTAAAAGAAAAATCTTTTTTTGCTTATAGAAATTATATATTCATGTACTGATGTAAAATTATAGCAAATGTGTTTTGAGATCTATTCATTTAATAAATATTTATTGATTATAAACCAGAATTATGTTCCATGTGAATGAGACCCATTAAGGTGGTCATTGAATAGTAGTAGCAAGTAATATTTGATTATTCTGAATAAGTTTCATTTTATTCTGAGTACAGTCCAAAAGTTTCTCCCTCAAAACATAAAATTCCTGTATCAACTGTTACAAAGTTCAGATTTATAATATTGCTTTTTTTATATTGGATATATTAACACTTGCATATCTTTTCTTTATTGTATGCCCGTTTTATAGGTATATGCTTGTCAGCATTGCCAAGTGGCAAAAAATACAGTTATTCTAGCACCTAAACAGCACCTTCTCAAAGTGGAGAATCCATGGAGTATAGTTACTGTTGATCTGATGGGCCCATTTCATACAAGCAACAGAAGTCATGTATATGCTATAATCATGACAGATTTGTTCACAAAATGGGTTGTGATTTTGCCTCTTTGTGATGTTTCAGCATCAGAAATTTCTAAAGCTATTATCAACATATTTTTCTTATATGGGCCTCCTCAGAAAATAATAATGGACCAAAGAGATGAATTCATTCATCAGGTAAGACAAATAAGCTACTTAGATCTAGGAGCATATTTTACTCACTTTTCAGTACCCAACACAGTTTATTATGTGATACTTAATAAGTTTAGATAAATTCCTACAGATGTAAAGGTTTAATATTGTATAATACAAAATTAGTTGGACTGGAAATTTTTTTTTTTTGATTAGGAGACCAGTATTTTAGTATCAATACTTACTATGCCACTAAATAATTGTGAAGTTATCTTTAGCTTTCTTCAAACTAAAATGAGGAGATTGGACCAAATAGTCTTTTTTTGCTACTAGCTTAAAAATTCTGTGATTGACATGTAGAAGGAAAATTGACTAAATGGAGAAGTATTATACATCATGTTCATGAATGAGAATATTCAATATTAAAATATCAATTTTTCCCAAATCAAAATTAATTTATATAATTAATGGATTTCTAATCAGCATTAAAAAGGAGGAAGCATTTTCCCTTGCCCTGGCCTTTATCCAAATTAAAGTTAACCTTAAAAATTAAGCAGACAGTAATATATACAAAAATTCTAACAAAGGAATATAGCTACTATACTTCAGGCATATTATTAAATTTTTACAATTGACAGAATACTGGTATAAGTAACCAGACTAAGTTCACAGCACCTTTGATATCTCAATCCAGGAGAAATACCTAAAATTATACTTATTAAATAGTTAGGGTTTGGGCCAGGGGGTTCCTAAAGTGATTTCCAGGTTTTATAGTAATAATTCACTAGGAGGACTCTGCAAATGGTCATACTCATGCCTGAGATTTATATGATTAAAGGATACAAAGCAAGATCAGCAGAGAAAAGGCTCATGGGGGTAAGTCCAGGGGAAAACCAGGAACAAACTTGGAAGACATCCTCTCCCAGTGGAGTCACACAGGACATGTTTAATCCTCCCAGTGAAGAGTTGTAGCAACACATGTAAATTGTTGTCTACTAGGGAAGCTCATTAGAGACTTGGTGCCTGGGATTTTAACTGGGAGCTGATTACATTGGCACCAAAAATTCTAGGCTCTCCAAAGAAGTTTTCAGCGTAAACCACCTTCTTTGCAAAACAGTTTAGGCACCATGAAAGTGAAAGTGAAGTCGCTCAGTTGTGTCCGACTCTTTGCGACCCCATGGACTGTAGCCTACCAGGCTCCTCAGACCATGGGATTCTCCAGGCAAGAGTACTGGAGTGGGTTGCCATTTCTTTCTCCAGGGGATCTTCCCAACCCAGCGATCAAACCCGGGTCTCCCGCATTGGAGGCAGACGCTTTAACCTCTGAGCCACAGGGAAGCCCTTAGGCACCATGAACCACCCTTAATCGGTTAGGGAATGGTGGAAACCCTCACAGAATCCAAGTTCCTAGTCATCAGCCAAGGGCCAACCTTGTAAGCAGGACTTTCACAGGACAGCAGCCTTAGTTCTGTTGTGTTAACTCTTTCTATACAGGTCCAAACAACTTAGAGTCTGTGTCCTAATCACTTAGCCATTTAAGAGAATAGTAGTCATAAATTGATAGAAAACTATTTTAATTTCATTCTTAAATAGCTGCAGTTAGCTACTAATGGGACACATATACCTGTTGACCTCTGCTTAGTTTTTCAAACCTTGGAATCAGATTGGACACTATAATCATTTCCTGTTTCACACTGACTTTTATACAATTGTTGCTCTTTATCATAGAGCGTAGAGCAAAAGTCACTCAGTTGTGTCCAACTCTTTGTGACCCTATGGACTGTAGCTTACAGGCTCCTCTGTTCATGGGATTCTCCAGGCAAGAATACTGGAATGGGTTGCCATTCCCTTCTCCATGGGATCTTCCCACCCCAGGGATTGAACCTAGGTCTCCTGGATTGCAGGCAGATTCTTTACTGTCTGAGCTACTAGGGAATCATAGCACCTATCAAAGAACAGCTCTGTAAAGATACCTCATTATCGAGAGGAATGTAGTCTTATCTAATTTAATGTTGAAAACGTAAACTACCTTAAGCTAGTAGTTTCCAAGGTGTCCAACAGATGCCAAGGGGGCCTTTTGGCACAGAATTTGTTAATTATGTTTAAAATGAGAGCTAGTATCACAAGAGAGTGGATTGGGGAAGGATTATTTAATACATTTAATTTAATTAACAGCATAAATAAAAATGTTCTAATTATTTCTATTTTATAATATGATTTTAGAATTACTGCATACCAAAATTATTTTCAGATAAATTAAAATTTTTGTGTTTTTTAATTGAAACAAGCAAAAATTCAATTTACTTAAAAAAAAAAAAAGTCTCCAAAGACTGAGTTAACATTCCAGGCTTAGGGAATAGAGGCATAGATTTGAATGGAAAAATCACCAAATATTTAAAAATTAGAAATTTATATGTGGTAAAATAACCAACACATAAAGGCCAAGAAACAGGCCAACAAAAATCAGATTCATGCAGGAAAGTGCTAATGCCTTTATTATAAAAGATTCAAACAAAAAATTGAGTCAGTGGCAGAAATGTAATTCACAAGAGGGAATAAAAATAATATGAAAAAAGGTTCAAACCCAATAGTAATGAGTAAGGTAAATGAACACCATTATTTGTTTATCCATATCAAGAAAAATAGTAATAATAACAAAAATGCCAAGTAGACAACAGGCAAAATAATACAGCTTTACATTACTGGTAGAATTGCAACTTGAAACTAACTCTTGTAAAACAATTTGCCAGAGATCCAGTAAGAGCCGTACACACACACACACGCATATATGTCTTCTGGTTAAATTAAAAATCTGGATAAAAGATTTTATTACATATACATACATATTTTATGTAGATAACTATGTAAAAAAATATATGGACTCTAGAAAGTGGTCTTGATGAACCTATTTGTAGGGCAGCAGTAGAGACACAGACAGGGAGGACAGACGTGTGGACACAGCAGCGGGAGAGGCTGGGGACAAATTAAGAGAGTAGCAGTGAAACATACATATCACCACGTGTAACGCAGACAGCGGGCGTCTGCTCTATGACGCGGGGGGCTCAGAAACATACACATCACCACGTGTAACGCAGACAGCGGGCGTCTGCTGTATGACGCAGGGGGCTCAGCCCGGGGCTCCGTGACAAGCGTGAGAGGTGGCATCGGGTGGGAGGTGGGAAGGAGGTTCAAGAGGGAGGGGCATACGTGTACCCGTGGCTGATTCATGCCGGTGTATGGCAGAAACCAACACAACATTGTAAAGCAGTTAGTCTCCAATTAAAAATAAATACATTTAAAAAATTTTTTAGAAATTAAAAAAATAGATGTAAAGAAGCTAAAACAAAAATTTGTATAGTTAACTATACAAATTGTATGGGGTTTTTAAGAGTAATAAGGTTATAGATTTGTTTTCTTAATTTTTCAGTTTGTGTTATCTTTATGTTGCTTCTGTAGTTATTAGTGATTAAAATATACATAACCATCTGTTGTTTTCTGATTGGTGCTCAGCAATAACTAGTTCTAGCCTTCCAGATAGGCTGTCCTAGCCTCTTGCAGGTGAGTAAACCCAAGTAACACATCTGGCCAGAGAAATTAAATGAATGAATGTGTTCCATTTTTATCCCGAAGTATTAAAAACTTCATGCTCAATTCTTCATTCTTCCAGTCTTATTCTCTCTCTGGAGAATCAACTGAATATTTCAGGTATTACACTAAGGGATAGTGGATTTTCTCTCATCCAAGATTGTTGAGGTACCAAGGGGAGGACAGTTGCTTTGGAGAGACACCCTGACCTGTGGCTGACCTTGTCCTCAGTTCAGTTCAGCCACTTAGTCGTGTCCGACTCTTTGCAACCCCAAGAATCGCAGCACGCCAGGCCACCCTGTCCATCACCAACTGCCAGAATTTACCCAAACTCATGCCCATCAAGTCAGTGATGCCATCCAGCCATCTCATCCTCTGTCGTCCCCTTCTCCTCCTGCCCCCAATCCCTCCCAGCATCAGGGTCTTTTCCAATGAGTCAACTCTTCGCATGAGGTGGCCAAAGTATTGGAGTTTCAGCTTCAGC